GCTGTTGCAATTCAAGGACTTGCAAGAGAAAATACTGTATTCTTCTTTAATTTTTGTCTTAATTGACTGGCAATAACTGTTGTTCGAGCTGCAACCATGATTATTTTCAGTGTAGGAGCAATGCCATAAATTTCATTCATTTCGTTATGACAAAATGTCGATTTTAGTAACAGTCAGTAAATTATATTATAGAATTATTATCTTTTTCCAACGCATGCTATACGTGTAATATACAAGTCATAAGCATAAGGGATTAAGGGATACTCAGTAAAAAAAAAAATACAATGCTAGTTCTATACGAAGATCGTATCAATTGACTGAGAATTTACTGTATGTCTGTCAAGGCTATCAAAAGTAATTTTTAATTTATTTCTATACGTACGAGTGGTGTTATGAGTTTACGCGTATACCGATCACAATACAGTGCTGTAGAATTAATTCATACTATTATTACAATCCCTAGTCCTATGCATTTGATATACTTCAAGCCAAGTAGCAGTGATAGCATATTATTACTCGTACATAATATAAAGTAAAAAGTGCAAATATAGTACGCCAAGTATCACGAGTGAGGATACGACTAGTGTCAAGAAATCAATTGGTAAGATGGAATCTATAATCCTTCAGAAGTTGCCCACGCTCCGCAGCTGCTACTACATAATGCACGTAGAGCACACAAAGTTTAGTATGATGACCATGCAGAGTAGTTTAGGTTTGTGGTCACTGCTTATGATTACTCCGTCATTGGATGAACCTCAAGATTACTCAAGATTGAAGATATGGTAAGAATTTTTATTTATTTCGACTTTACACTTTGCTTAGCAAAAAAACGTTTTGGAATTGAATTTATTTTCGATAGCCTATTTCAGGATACTACAACGCCCCAAGCCTGATGGAAAAGCCTAGAAGCTCCGTGTTCAAGTCTGCTATCGCTGCGCTCCTTGTAGAAATAGTACAGTATCCGTAGACCCAGGACCGGACCGGACCAGACCAGACCAGGAAGATCTTGAACTGGCCTGGTCATTGGTCAATCAATGGTCATGTGGACTGCGAGTAATGAACATTGAACAGTCGAGTAGAGTAGAGAGATGCACCAGGTGTAATGTAGTAGTCCATGACTCAGTGTACAGACAGACACAGTACAGGACAGAGTCGGCTCGTTTACAGTAATAAAGAACATCCTATTCAAGGATCGGTTCGAAACCATCCATCATTTACACTACACTATACTGAAGTGCATTGCTGCACTACTGTATTATGACCTTGACTAAATTTCCTCTTACCAGTCTTTGACTGTTCTGTATGGTACTAGCGTCACTTTATCGCGTCGTGCCGATTGCGCAATCTTACATTGTTAACCACCTGTCAATCACCCTTGTAGATCGAGTTCCTGCCAGGTGGCGGCTTTTGACACAGGGTCTTGGAGATACTCGCTACCTGATCCTACAGTGTGCCGTTTTCGTCTATCAGACTAGTCAAATCGGTGTTGTACACTATGCGTACACGATGTTGTATAGGAGAGAATGGAGTAGCATAGCCATGATGGATTGCGCAATAACCATGCATTCATCAATATTGATTGTTATTCTAGTGATTCTATATTAGCATACGACAAGAATTAATTACTTTAATGATAATGGTAGTGGAATAGAGAAGATTGCGCAATCTTGTCATCAAAATATGTTGCATCGCTTTGGCTGCTTGAAGTGGATAGAGAGCAACACTTCAACAACGGATATGAATTTTGGTTGCCCATCCTACTGTATACTGTACAGAATAGTAAAGTGAACTACTGTATTGTAGGCTGTAGGGCCGATTGCATCGATACCTGTCGAAAAGTACCGTACTGTACTCTCCATCAACAACATACCTATAAATAAAAACAGTCAAGGATACTATCTCTACGAGTACTATCCATTACCCTATAAAAAGAATGAGACTATCAGTACAACAAGATCTTAATTGATTCCATTGATTTGGAGGGGAGGAAGAGAGAGAGAGCGTGGAAATCAATATACAAACAGCCGCTTGCTGACTACCCCCGTGAGTACAACAGATTGGCTGTTTACTTTAATAGCAAGCTATTGTCCAAGAGGATACCATAGTGGTGCGAGAGTATGGTCTCAAACATGCATTCAATAAAGTTATTTCTGTATAGCGAAGGAGGATAGATCCCGTCGCGAAGGAGACCGATGACGTCAATTGAAGGTGTGACCCGCCCTTTTGTTCTGCTCCAATCAAGGGCTTGCCTCCCTCGATATCGTGCCTATATAACTGGATAGAAGACTGACTGAGACTCACTTTTGGTACCACTTGGCTGAGGTGTCGGTTGAATTGAATCCACCTGCGATTGTCATACTCAATCTATACTTGACACTCTAGTGTGTCGTAAGTTCATCCTGTCATATTTTACAACGTCACTTGTCCATTTGCAAGTCCGTACATCCGTTCCGGTGGTATAGGTGCTGTTGCCATTTGAGACGCTTTGGGAACTGGAGACGCTCCTTCATTTGATTGGTAAGTGAAAATTATCTATTTTTTCCCCTCTGGTAGTTGGTATATTTTATCCTTGAAATTGCACTATTTTATGCATGATTGTAAGCCTATCGTATGCCCAAGATGGATGATAGTCATTTGGGGCTAAGATTGTGGTAGAATAGGTTGTATAAGGTGGAAAATTTCAAGGTGCATGTAACTGCTTGTTTGTTCATTGATGGAGTAGATGACTAACGTCAGTTGGCTTGATCAAAGCTTGTCTTCATCTCCTGCTAATGGATAATCATGCTCTATACCTTGTTAGTGATTGCTAATAGACTTCATGGATGAGTAAAATCGATTTTTCTTGTCTACAGTAGATTCTTCATTGATTTAGATACACTCTCATGACAGATGGAGGAGAAGGATGAATTTCAATGATCAATGACCATTGAAAAGGGTGCAACAGTTGCCACCAACTTGATTGTTATAGTTATGCTTCTTTTTCCAGTAAAATAAATTGCCTATGCATAACCATTCATTACAAAATATCAAGTAAGAAAAAGGAACGATGATGACAATGATGACTGAAACGATGCTCAGGCTTTATGATGAGCAAATAAGCGCATCGAAACACCATATCCTACACATTAGAATAGAAGAAATCCATTCATTGAAAATGTCGATCGCTATGAAAGCATGATGATGAGATGGAGACAAGGTGAAGACGATCATTCAACTGTCTAGTCACAAACCATCAATAGGATAAAAATACTAGGAGGGTACTGGATAGATTGACTACATTATCGAGCTATGAACAGTGATGAAAATCTATCCAATCTTAAACATTGAATGAAATGTTGAAATCGTCCTGTGCAATCATGCGTCGATAGGAAACTGCCCAACGATTGTGTTTTTCACCTACAGTACAACGAATCAACAGGCTAAAACCCGCGCTACTCTGCTAAAACTGTGATTTTTTTTCAATTTTATTTCAGCCCAGCTTGCTTACACAACATTTGCGAAAGCCAGTAGATTGATCTATGTTACTTTCTATATTAACAATGGAGTTCGCGAAATTATCTATACTCTTATCGCTGCAGTAATAGAGACAAAAATGATAAATTAAAAACGAAGCAAATGTTACGAAAGCAAGCAGATTGATCTATTTAACCTGCTACATACTGCGTTATCATGATTTACAGTATCCATAGGGAATGAGAGGGAAAATGAAAATGCAACAGAAGCAAAGTTATATGAAAGCAAGTAAATCCTTCTTTTCTGATCGTGACACAAGCACAGGTTATCCAATAGATTACAGCATTTTTATCGATTACCTTATCTACCGCAATGCGAGATTATACCAAAAATTGGTTGAGTGCTAAAGAAAACTTTAATAGCCTCGCTGAAGCACTTCAATTAATTCTATTACGAATGAGCACTTGGAAAGCATGAAGGATACGTACATAGCTGGATCTCTTTTAATAATTATAATCGATGAAAATGTTCTGTCATCTTAGTCATCTAGTACAATTGCAGCGTGAAATGATGTCAATCCTCCTGCTGCCTGAGCAAAACTTACCACTTAGTTCTCAATTTGTCGATTGTTAACAGATATGGATTTCCCTGTTCTAGCAAAGCCTTTACAGTTTAATTCCATTGTTACTTTTTCACAGCAATTCATTCCATCGCCACGCCACGTTGATGATGCATGACTTGGTGGGCACACGCCTTATTAGAATTATTTAATTGCATTAATGATGAAAGGAATTAAAAAAATACAGTACCTATTTTTAAATGCGTTCTAGGACTAGCGAGAGTATCAGACTACCCATAATTATTTCAATTATGAATGTTGACGTAGCATAGGCATTTTGAGGTGTAATCCCATCTGGAACAGATATTATACTCCCTATTATACAAACTTTAATTAACTTAATTCAATGGCTTAGATCAATTTTACTTTCGTATATTGTATAAAATTAGAGATATACCGTACGCTAGATGTCTACATGTATATTACTGATCGTTCACACAGCAACTTTTTAACTATTAGGACGTGATACTGAAACTTTCTAAAAAAAACTTCTTGAATCATTTTGACAGTCGTCATGCAATAATAGCATGCTTATGCATTCACTTTATATCACTTCTAAGTAACTTGATCGATTACATTAAATATACGTAAGTTGCTGGATGTTTTGAGTGACATGAAGCTTGGTTCTGAAATTCCATTTTGACCGCTAAATGTGCTAATTCATTTTTTAATTGAAGTGTTTATAATGTTATCTACAATATCTTATTTCCTAAACAATTTTGCAACGATAAGGGTATCTACATATTTATATTTCAAGCCTTACTTAGCCAGAATAGAATAAAAACTGGTTTCAATATCAAACCAAATATGCTTTCACCTTAAAATCATGATAACATTCAACGTCTTCATTTTTTAGGCATTTCTCTTCGGGAAAATATTTTCAAGTCGTTATTCCATTTACTTGTATAGCAAACTGCTAAATTAAAGAATGTGTGGTAAGCTAATGTTGATCTTGCTGTAAATCTTATTAATAATTAATTACTGAGCTTAACTCCGTGCAATCTTGTAGAATTTATATAGCTAATCATCACGCCTGAAAGATTAAACCTTAGCTACGCACATATTAACACATCAACAGAGTGAGATTACAATATTAACTTTTCAAAATTTTATTTTTCATGTCAAGGCCAATTTCGCTCTTATCTTTCATCATACTCGTAATAGTCATTCTAATAGTGGTATATGAGGATAAAAGTAGCTAATCCATATGAGGATATCTTAAACTATTATTATAAAAGTCGGATAGCCCACAAGTCGCAAAATTCTTATTATTAATTCATTAATCTAAATTTTATAACTACGTAAATAAGATTACGGCATCATACCACATACTATATTCTGTTTATTAATTCTATAATTAAAGCTATATTGTAAGACATCGCATACTAACTGCAAACAATTTACAAACAAAGTACCTATTGTAATTTGCTACCGTTAATGGACTACAGTAACAAACGGTAATAAACTGTTGTTCTTCCCTTTTGTATGATAATTTCCTGTTGTAAACTCTTGCAAGCTAATAAGTTATAGTAAAGTTTTGTAGTAACTTCCTAGCAATGAATTTACACTTACCATATCGATAATCTTGATGGATTTAATAAATATAGTTTGAAAGACCTCTTTTTAGAGTGTCGATTAATTCATGATTCTTGTAAAAGTCTGCAAATGACGGCATAACTGAAATACGTGTACAATCGTAAAAACAAATGCCCCCACTAATAAGCTATACTGTAAATATAGTAGTGATTTTAGTATCCTCGTTTTACTGAAATAGCGAGCAAAACATTTTTATAGTCTTGGGATTAGATCACTACGCTGTATTTTAATATTAGCATTGGAGGAATTAGTAGTTAAGATTCATTTCATAAAAATTTGAGAATTAATTTTTACGGTCTATCCTGCTTAATGTTACTTTATTTTAAAATCCTTTTTTTCAATATTTATAGGTATTTTCGCGTATTTAAATTATATGGTTCCTCGCTCACGAGGCTACATAATCGACGCTCTAATTAAAGCCTTAAAACGTTTAGAATATCGAGGCTACGACTCTGCAGGTATTACAGTTACATTTAGATTAATTTTAGTGTGTGATAAACATCAATTAGCAAGGTTCATTTTTCAGTCATGGACGTATATAAAATATTACATACGCATTATCATTGTACGCTATTTTATGCAAATGTGAATAGAGCCGCTATATACTTTTACAGTTAATTGCCTTACGAATTTGTAAAGACTGGTAACTGTCTAATACGTTAATGCAATAATTTATCGTGATCCTTGTGATCTACACAAGGCTAATGTGTCCAATCGCCGTATAGCCTGTCAATTAGCAATAAGATACGATCATAGTGACATTGCAACTTGTCTTATTCCGTTATATTAACCATTCTCTAAAAACTTTTGCGCTATAGGAATTGCATATGATGGAGATGATAACACATGGTAAGCATTTAACCTTTGAGAAAGTGAAGAGCAAATCGTATAATTTCAAGCAAATAGTTCTGTTATCTCCACAGTACAGTTTTACAACTTGTACAATTTGATATCAATCTTTATCTGTAGTAGTAAATTGTACCACGTTGCTAACTTTTGAAGAAGATATACAATACAAGATATGCGCCTATGTGATCACATAGTAAATATACTCAACATGCGGTACAGATTTGTAACTGCTACATACATTTTTAGTCTATAACCCTACAGCAATCACAAATTTACTATCTACAATTTTTTTTATTTTATTACCCTTTAGTCGTTATGATAAAACTACGCTTATGACTTGTATGTTAAAAAAAGTAAATACGTCAATATAGCTGTTATATAAAAACTTTTAATGTATGCCATTGATACTATAACGTCTATTGTTTCTATACCATAATCTCATTAATTTAATTGCTTACATAGCATCATAAGAAATAAGGGCAAAGTTGGTGCACTCGAGAAAGCTGTAAAAGGTATTGCGATTAGTAATAATCAATTTATTGATAATTACCCATAAAAATATAACATCTGTAAAGGCACAAACGGTAACTTTGATATCTATATTACCAGCCCATAATATTGATTACGACAAAGAATTTGATAAGCATGTTGGTATTGCACACACACGTTGGGCTACACATGGCATTCCAAGCGAAGTTAATAGCCATCCACAACGTTCTGGAGAGAATAATGGTGGGTGTTACTTTCCTAATACAGTTTCATAATTGAGATTAGCAGCTAACTTATTATTTCGTAATACTAGTAATGCTCACGTCATTAATTTTCGTCAGCAAGTTTGTATAAAAATTTAAAATATGATTCTATTTATTGTTTTAGAATTTTCTGTTGTTCACAATGGTATTTGCACTAACTACAAAGACATAAAGCAATTCTTGGTAAGCACATACTTACATAGATGGGGAATATTTATGAATGTCATGCTAAACTATCTACATAGTAGATAGGGTATTACAAAAGAAGATTACTTTACTGTATTATAAACATATTTTGTGTTTTGTGTGTAATAGATTTTTGCATATTTAATTAAATTTCAATAATCGTACTTGGGCAATTTATCTTGAAATGCTAAAACAAATTATTAGCTAATAATCTTGTTTCACTTGAATGATAGCTTAATAAAGGATATACGTTCGAATCAGAAACCGACACAGAAGTCATAGTAAAGATGGTTCGATACTTTTATGAAACCATGAAGGTTAGCAATTACGCTAGAGAAATATAACTACTGATATTGTCTTATTTGTTAACAGCTACTAATTTTAATGAGAGGTATTTATAAGTTTATTAATTAATCCGATATACACTCATCATATATCTCAGAAAGATGACGGATCCGATGTTGACTTTCGAGTAATAATAGAAAAGGTGGTCCATCAATTGGTTAGTAACTCGATACTATTAGTCTTTGCTTAAAAAGAATAATGATGATTATTTTTCTAATTACTACACTTATGCATCTATCATTTAATTAAATCTTAAATTATTATCTACTATAAGCATTGCGACCATAATTACACCAATAAAAATTGATTTTCATGTCTTAATTTTTTCGGCTGTATCATATAGGAAGGCGCCTTTGCTCTCGTTTTTAAAAGTTCACATTATCCTGATGAAATTGTTGCTGCTAGGTTAATAATTTAAATTCGTATTTATTTATTTATAAAAATTGAAAGCAATAAATTTATCGATTATAATTCTTACGCATATGTTTTGGATTGAAAAGGCGAGGAAGTCCGTTGCTGATAGGTGTTAAATCTAGTAGTAAAATCACTACTGATCAAATACCGATCTTGTACGATAACCAAATGACAGGTTTGTTCACTTACCTATATTTTATCTATCAATGAAGTTATCAGGCTGAACTAATATAGATAATTTTAAAATCTAGTTAATCTTAGCTCAAGCACTACCTTTCGGAGAAACGAAAGCACTATGAATTTATTTGCTGAAGTCGATGCAGAAGTGGAATACTATTTCGCTTCCGATGCAAGGTAATTTTATATTGCTTGACAAACAAGGATTGTACCAAATAACTTGGCTAATTTAATACTGATTCAATCACTAAAAATCTACTAGTGCTGTCATTGAATATACGAACCGTGTAATATTCCTTGAAGACGATGACGTTGCCGCTGTTTCTAATGGAGGTAAAATTACATTTGGACAACTTTTAATAATAAGAGATCTAATTTAAACTAATCCAAGTTACAAACGCTTAATTTTATTGTATAATTATGAAATGAATAGCATTATCGATTCACCGAATTCATCGAAGTGGTAGCGATCCAAGCCATCGTGACGTAGCTACCCTTAAGATGGAACTACAACAAATCATGAAAGGTAAATTATCTTTTCGATAATATCATATTGCAGGGATACTACATCTAGAAATAGATTTTATTAAGATTTGATATCGTTCGACTGCCTTAGGTAATTTTAAGGCATTCATGCAAAAAGAGATATTTGAACAACCAGAAAGTGTCGTAAATACAATGCGTGGTCGTATAGACTTTGACAATAATACAGGTATAATTATGAAGCTAAATTATGCCACTTTTTAATGAGAGATAATTAACTAATATAAATTTATCATTCTACTGTAGTCGTATTGGGTGGCATAAAATCACACATTCACGATATCAAGCGTTGCCGACGTCTAATATTCATCGCTTGCGGAACTAGCTACCATAGCACTGTAGCGGTATGTCTGTCATATGTCATTAAACTAGAGCAAATTTTTTAAAACGTACACAGAAACCTAACATTTGTGTACCAATAGACGCGACAATTATTAGAGGAACTAACCGAATTGCCGGTAATGGTGGAATTGGCTAGTGATTTTCTTGATCGCAGGACACCGATATTTAGAGACGATGTTTGTTTCTTCGTTAGTCAATCAGGTAATTAATTATTGTTAATTGATCTTGATTTTTTAGTAGGTATGCGATTGCAATTATGGTATGCTGTAACTAAATTATATACCTTTATAACTAATAAGGTGAAACTGCTGATACTCTCATGGCCTTGAAATACTGCAAAGAAAGAGGTGCATTAAATGTCGGCATTACTAATACAGGTAAGATTTATCATTTTGGTAGTAATCTAGTTTGATAAGAGACATTAACGAGAGCCCTATTCTTTAGTTGGTAGTTCTATTTCTCGGGATACTCATTGTGGTGTACATATTAATGCTGGTCCAGAGATTGGCGTTGCAAGTACAAAGGTAGCAATCAGGCAATCACTGTTTTTGTACAAAACCAACATTTTAGAGACGTTTTATTTTATTTTATAGGCCTATACTAGCCAGTTTGTGGCTATTGTATTATTTGCTTTAATGATGTCGGAAGATCGTATATCTATGCAAAGTAGACGTCAGGAAATCATCAAAGGTTTACAAGAATTGCCTGGTAAGATTAAAAAAATGGATGGTGTTATATTTATGATTCGTCTGTAATATAGACAGCGTTAATAAGGAGGTCACATGCATTCTCGACAGCTAAGATTAAAGAAATTCTGGATATGGATAGTGAGATCGAACAACTTGCTAAAGAGTTGTATCAACAAAAGAGCCTTTTGCTTATGGGACGCGGATACAATTATGCAACTTGTTTAGAAGGAGCTCTGGTATATTTAAATCTTCATTATCAATTAATTTAGCTACCTACATAACTGACATTATATATTTGTATTATAGAAAGTGAAAGAAATCACTTACATGCATTCGGAGGGTATATTAGCCGGAGAACTGAAACATGGTCCTCTTGCACTAGTTGATAAGGCTATGCCAGTCATTATGATTGTTATGCGAGATAAAGTCTATTCTGTTAGTATATTTGATCCACAATAAGATTTCAATATAGTTTTATTGATATCCCGATGACTTTAAAAATTAATTTCCTTTAATTCTATTTCTTTAACAGAAATGCCAAAATGCTCTCCAACAAGTTGTAGCTAGACACGTACGCATTAAAAAACGTATATTTTAGTTCATTTAAGTTCTAAACCATAACTTCTTACAATCTCGTTAATGCTAAATTTCAGGGACGACCAGTAGTAATTTGTTGTAAAGGAGATACTGCCACGGCTAAAGAAGCCTTTAAAGCTATTGAAATACCAGAAACAATCGACTGTTTACAAGGAATTTTATCAATTATTCCCCTACAATTGCTAGCTTTTCATGTTGCTACTTTAAGAGGATTCGACGTAAGTTTATTAAATTTACGACCGCAACTATAGGTATTTTTCCTACGTAACTTTCCATTGACATATTTAAACATTCGTCTATAATCAAGGTGGATTTTCCTAGGAATTTGGCAAAGTCTGTCACGGTTGAATAAAATGAAAATCTACCGAATTGAAAATTGTTCATTATCGTAATCTTCATAGTATCTTTCTTTCTGCGTATTGGTATAGCTTAAAAGTAGCGTTATGGCGGGGCCACGTTAATTACCGATTTAAGTTACATCTGTTGTTGAAATAACAGTCACACCTAAGGTGGAGTTTTTGTGAACAAAATCTAATACCAATAGGTGGATGTAAACATTATATTGTCGTATCATAATAAGTTAACTCTGTAGTGATAATGTATGATTAGATATCACAGGACCTACAGTATGAACAACTATATCGTATATTTACTCATGATATACTTATCGTATACGCCTATATCACCATTGACTTCAATACAGTATTTAATAATATCATCATTACTCTGAATCTCTTTATCATATATTTGATCAGTTTTCTTAGCTTCTTTATCGAACGTAATAAAATGTAATAGAGCACAAAAGCTGCTCTTCTTTAATTTGTAACGAATACATTTATTCATCTTGTATAATTATTTGTTTATTCCAAATTTTCACTTAATGAAGAGGAAATCGCCCCAAAATCAGTTCTCATCAGTCTAAAGTACTGTACTTCATAAATAAGTTTTAGGGTATATCTTTATCAAATAACTGAGTGAATTCAATACTTCTAGTATGATCATAAGCCATCATCGTAATATTGTTTCTGAATCGGAGTGGAAATTCAATCATGTCTTCGTGCTCTGTGCCAGTACGAAAGCGGTCCGACATGGTAAATATACCTATCATTAATGATTTTATCTATTAACCAAGAATCAGAAAATATTGTTACAATGATTGCTGATATTTAAATATAGACCTGTAAGGAGTTCGACCGGTTATGCCAAGGTTTTGGGGTAGTAAAATACTCCGTGTTGTAATTAATTCGATTCTGACCTCCGAATTTTTCATGATCTGTATCTAAAACAACTCGATATCTAAAATGATTACCAGTTAAGGCATCAATAGTATAATTGTACGATACATTTAATATTATGCTATGTGTGCGTCATTTTTGGTATGTCAAGATACTTTCCAGCCCTATCAGCACCAATCGTATAATCCGGAAAACTTTTGTATGGATGAAAATTAAAACAAAACAGCAACTGTTCTCTTTCAAATACTATTACTTTATCATCTTCGTGATTACAACTCACATAGTTCTATTAAATTGGCATTAACACATTCTTACCACATTTATGTATCAGTCTATATTGTAATACTAACATTGCTACTTACTTTATCGCTTGATAACCATGGGTATATATCTTCTAAGCGTATCATTTCCTTATCAAATCGATAAAGATACTGATAACGAAGCAAGTCATCATCGACTAAATTATATTGCCTTCTAGCGTAACTGTAGCTCTCGTTATTTCCTACACGTGGAAAATCTAACCATTCAGGGTGACCAAACTCGTTTCCAGAAAAATTTAAATAACTCTGGCCTTCATAAAGAAACATTATTATTGAATTTTAAGATTGAGTAGAGAATTTATCTTAGCAATTAAAATTTTAAGTAAGTTTAGAAATATTTTGCACCTCCTAGGCCAAAGGTTATTAGCCTAATCATCTTGTGTAGAGCTAAACCTCGTTCTATAACTGGGGTTAATGTGGTCAGGTTTGACATATTCGTGTACATCTCCTTATCCATTAACCAGAAAGCAATAGTCTTATCACCGACCAATGCTTGATCGTGGCTTTCTGCGTATGCAATTACTTTTTCCTTGTACCGATGATTTGTCAAAATAAACGTGACATGGCCCATCTTCCATTCCTCATCCTTCTCTTCCTTAAGCATCTAAACATAACCACGATAACATGATAACATATTTTAGTAAATGGTATAATCATCATAAATAATATAATAGGATGTACAAGTTCACTATTTATCATTTACTTTAATCCACATATCAGGAATTGCCATGGCCAATCGGTAATCAAAGCCGATGCCACCGTATTCAATTTCACGACACATTCCTGGCATGCCTGAAACGTCCTTAATGATATTAATAACAATTAACAGTTTTTTCTCAAAAGTAATTGAATAAAGCATCCGTGAAAGCATCTTTAGGATACCGACGTAACTGAAAAAGGTTATACTAGATCACTATATGAGATTACTTAATAAAATGGATTTTGTAGATATTTTACCTCTGCAATTGTAATGACATCCGGATAGAATGTATGCAAGAAATAATTAGCCAGCATTAGGTATGCCACTGCATCAATGTCGGTATTAGGGCCAAAATATTCCTCATAGTTTCCGCTAAATCCTTGGGTACCATGATTGTGATATAACATTGATGTGACGCCATCAAATCGAAATCCGTCAAACATGTAATTATCCATGTACCAGCGTAAATTGGACAACAGAAATCGTTGTACTTCAGTGCTGTAGCGCATTATCAACAATTACTGTTAGAAGGCAGTACAAATACCTTAAATGAAACTAAAATTCAGGGATTATAACTATTACTAATATTATTGTGATTATTACTTGCCTAGAATAATTGAATAGCCTACTATCCCAAAGGGGATGCATTCCTTGAGGTCCAGAATGGAAATAACAAGCATCTGTACCGTCAAACTGATTCAATCCATCTAACACATTTTTAGACGCGTGACTATGGACAAGATCCAGAAGGACTGTTATCCCCATTGAATGGGCTGTATCAATTAATGATTTTAATTCTTCAGGCGTACCATAACGACTGTGATAGATTATATTTATATCAATGTTAGAGTTTTAAGAAAAGATTAATTAAGCATACATGTAATAAAAAGATCCATCTGTTCTTGGTTTTGTTGGATATCAAATTAAGTTACTTTTATTGGCACTGATATCAATAAATGTCTCTATGACACTTGAAAATAGCTTCTTTGTAATGATGCTATGGTCATCATTATAGTAAAATTACTACCGCATACGAATTAGATGCTGGTTAGTGACATTTAAATGTTAATCGTACTACTGTATACAGCGGATAGTTTACCTTGATACAGCAAAGAAATTAGTTACTTGGTAACCAAAGCTTGCATAGTAAGTATGTTCCATAACGGCCATCATTTGTATGCAATTATACCCTAAATCCGCAATTCGAGGTAGGACTTTTTCTCTAAAGTGGTTATAAGAGGCTATCTGTATAACAAAGCACATAGCAGGAGATTTGGATGGTAAATAGTTTATTCTTATACGCGAATCTAGTTACGTATTTTTTAAGAATATATGAAAAAGTCAGCTATGATAGAGATTCTTGAAATTAATAGGCATAAATTTATTGCAATAATGCTCTATTAAATACATGTTTCATATTGGGCAACGAAAACTAGGATCTTAAGTCGATTTGTATGATGCCTGTTAGGTGTGTGTACATGTTGGCAACTTTTATGCAATGCCCAATTAAAATAACCTGACACCTACTTTTGGCTCGGGCGAAGAGATACCGACATGACACTCATATATTTTTAACGATAGAGGCTTTTTCGGTTTTGGATATTTGAACGTGTATGGTTGTGCTGTTTGCCAGTATATACCATCATAAGCCAAATACGTTCTAGAAGGAACGGCATACTTAATCCAGGGTGATATATGATCTACCTTGTCGCCATGAATTGAAGTAACCTCAACCTATAGCGGTAAATAACGTTACATATATAAATTGGAACTATAATGGCAGTTACTATTCAGTAGCAGAATATTAAGATATTCAAATTATCGATTTTGTCCTACTGCAATTCGATTACCTTGACAAGGGAAGCATGAGGAATAACTGGTGTCCCATTCGATTTAGGCGGCAAAGTAATTTCCCATACACCAAATTCATTTTTCTTTAATTGATGTGAATTTCTGTTCCATTGATCTGCAATAAAAGGTAGTAGATTAAGAAATATAACTTTCACTGTAACTTATGGTTTAGTTAAATCAATAATACGGCCATTTCGTAAAATAAGTGACTTATCTAAGGTTGTCTCCTTTAAGAAATTAATTAAAATATATAAATTGAGAGAAATCTAGTAACAAAATGTTACTGAATCTCCAATATTGTAGCTATCGATTCAATATACGTATATTCGGATTAAGATAGTAGTTCTATATATTGTTAACGTAATATGAAACGTTTGAAAATAGATTTTGGCTATGAAATGAAACTAGTACTATTCTAGAATTAAGTGGTGAAATGCGAAAAAATACTCACTAAATTCTCCGATTAAAGCAAGGTTCGCAGCTGCTGGCGCCCATTCTCGATAGGTTATTGAGCCATCCTCTAATTGATTAAAGCCAAAATACTTGTAGCCCTGAGTAAAATTGTCAAGCCCGCCCATAAATTCGTTAATATGATGCAAGATGTTCTTCATTCGGTCGTACCTAGAAAATTTGAAAGCTTTTATAATTGCTTAATTATCTCACAAGACCCTGTGATACTACCCATCGCCAGTATTTCATTTATTTAAGTGGAGTATTTTGATTCTGCTAATAATAACCTCAATGACGAAAGTAATATTACACAATATTTGGCTTAGGAGAGAAGTTCAAGATTGGTTAGCCAATTTTGTGTTGACTGCCAATACTAGAGTAGCCATGTTTGTATATGAATATTACGTAATGTTTTAATATGGAGAGATGATGATACAAGTTTACTAGTATTGCATGAATGAGAGAATGTATGAAGATAATTGCACTCCTGAAAGTCTTTGCTATTTCCCATGTGACTCTTATCGTAATAAAATCGCCTTTAATAGGCCTTGAAGTCAATGCACATATATCAATATGCTGTACTTCTTACTTAAGTTAGCTGCAAGGATACTGTAGCAATGTTGTGCATTACCTGTGAGCGATTACTTTACCGAGGAAGCAGGACTAGAAGATGTTGAAATCTGCAGTTACTTTGGACTTGTCAGTTTTTCCAAGCATTAACATCTTATTATTAGCGACTTTGACATCATGCAAATTGCACCGAAGAATTCAGCGTTTGATTACAGGCATAAGGGTAAAATATTGTTTACTCTCGATAGCGTAACGTCGAAATGGAGAGCATGCTAACTGGAAGATTAGCTTTCTACAAGGGGTATTGCAGTTTCAATGGTTGCATCGTACCCTATACAGTACGCATATTACTCTATCGCGCCTTAATTACTACTATAAATTATCATTTCGTTGGATACACGGTAGCCATCTCAAATTAGCAAGTAAATAAGATGGATGTTCCCCATTAATCTAATTTTACCTTGCAACAAAATTATCACGATGTGGCTTCAAGTATGGATCTTCTTGAAAAAGATTTTCCAGTTTGGATAGCCCAGATGACGTCATCTCTGCTCTATGTCTATCAATTGATGCAAAGGGATAAATGAACTCTAATTCAATCTGAAAAGGCTTCTAGAAGGAATTGTTTCCTTTTGGTAGACTGGTAATTGCTTCTTTCCCAAACTAACTGCCAGTATGTTGAAAATTTCGCCTTGAATAATAACACCAAGCTGGAGGAGGTGCTTGAATAAGGTGATGGACTCTTTCCGGTGTTTATGTAAAAAGAGCTGGATACTCGTACGATACTGTATCGAGCTCGTACCATGTTCTGTACTGTACCGTACAATACCGTACAGTACCGTACAGTATGTAGAAGAATTACAGTAGTCAAACCAGAGTACAATGTACTCCTCGGTCTACTGTACAGCATTGGAACTGCACTCGGTAAGCACGACTAGCCCACGATACTGTAGGGCAAAAGGTTAATTGGAATCGGCTTTAAGAAGGCAAGCATGCGTACCGCTAGGCAAACCTCATTAGTTTAAGTCAGAGGCAGCGGCCAAATGGCTAATGCCGATGAAGTAATTATATCATTTTCCTTAAATGAGGTACTGTTAACGTACCGATGATTACACAACCTTTTGGATTAAGTACAGGTACTACAATAAAAACAATCAATTTGATTGGATTTAGGTTGATGATGACTAACACTGCGCAAAATACGATGGTATTGCAGACAGCAGAGTCGGAGAAGCGAAACGTCTTGTTTTGCTAAATCTTCCATTTGCTATGTGATACCGGATATGATAAAACAAGGTGTTTTCTGAAGCTGATAGTTTTATGTCGTTTAATCCAACCGTTGACACAGCATGATACTGTACAGTATTTGGATACGTACTACTGCGTACTCTACGTAGAAATAGAAGCTACAGAAGTGTAGGGCAACAACTGCCACATTAACAATGACTTTATTTATCTAAACATACGCGTACGTCATAACTAAAATCGTCTGCTAGCAAGAGGTATTGATTGTACTCGTATATTTTACTCTCGCATTTCATCAATTAGCTGCATAGTCTGGTCATACGCATTATTTTCAGTATTACAATACATGTAGAGTCCGAAACTCTTTTACTAGTTCATAATTTGATTGCACTAATACTACTTCATAACGATTGTGGCCACTTAGGGAAATCAGTATTTGAGAAACATTTCATGATATCGTTGTTTACCAAATACTGTGTACTCATAAGTGTTTGTGTAAGCGAATTATAAATAGCACAATTTTGGGATACATAACTGTTCATGAACTTTTAGAATGGAATCAATATACACTAGCAAATAGAGAAGATTACTCGCAATGAACGCAACTCTACCAATCAAGCTCTTCTACATTATTATGCTATATGACTGTAGTAAATCTATGACGATGCTTGCAGATGAGATTAGAGCTAAATAAAACAATCGATGTACGCTAGCGTATTTCAGGTTATGAATATATTAAATAGACTTCATGTTAGAAATATACGACAAGAAAGTTATTATTTTGAAAACTTTACTAACATTACTACACTGATACATAGTCAATAAGCATGTCGTGCAAATGAAATAGTACCCATTTGATATTCTGTAATGGCTGTGAAGCCTGTGATATGCCATGCAGTGTATACTGTAAAAGTCGGTTCCTTGGTAATAGACATGAGATAGACTGCATAAATACAAGACATAATAACAATAAAATTTTAACTCTTTAATAAAGCCTCTATAAAACCTTATATAGTAAAGTAGAGCAGCACCAAGGGTTGTTCCATGAGATCGTATCGATTTTTCAGTCACACCGCAATTTATATCGTACTGATTTTTCAGTCACACCACAATTTACAAATAATAGCAATAGCAATGGGTGACTTGTTTTAACTTCATATACAGTAGTACAATTTAGTAAATGCATTAATTTACGATTAGATTAACATAAAATCATGCCATAGTGTACGCCATAGTTCAAAATATCCTGCAGGAACCTACAGTTACGGGTTGTACTGATGCACCAAACCATGCAGAGGTACACTTTTTACAGAACATAGCTTTTACTGTATATATTTATGATACTTGTAACACTAAATATGCAATCACTAAATAGTATAGGAGCCACATAGTAAAATAGGGTGTATGAACTTGAATGTTGTAAATAGATTCGTAAATTGTAGTCTTTAGCATAGTATTATGTGATTCATCAAATATAAATATTTAAAGATACTTACACTGTACAATGCACATCTGCAATAAGGTGATCGATATGAGGTGCATAGCGTTTAACATGTGTTACACTTTTACAGGTCGCTTTCCATCCAGATTTATCGCTATGCATTTGATTAAGTATTAATTCTAACTCTGAAGCTACTTCCTCACCCCATTGCTGCCAAAACTGCTTCCTCTCAGATTGCACTACCTTGTAAGTATTTACATTGCCATGAACATGCAACCAACCACCGCGATCCGGTCTCAATGCAGCGCACGCAATATGCCATCCGGGGCGACTTGTAGGCAACAAGCCCAGATTCACACGATCGGCTATAAATTTGGGGGCATGCTAATAATTAAAAATATAATAGTGACTACATTGTCGTAGTATATATCAGTTTATGCATGCTGCACTAAATGATGCGTAAGTGAGCAAAAGAAAAGGTTATAGTTACCTGCCGGTTGTCTCCGAAGTAGACAGTACATTTTTCTCTTACTTTATTTAAAATTAAAGATTTTTCTAATGCTTCAACAGCATGTGGGTTCCATTCACAAGCATGTACAAACTTTGCTTTAGCATGAATTAAGTACGGCAATACAAAATAACCAATGCCGGCATATAAATCGACTATAATCTCCTCGCTACAGTCAAAATTAGAAATTCTGATCTTTTCCGTAATATTGCCAGGAGAAAACATACACTAGATGTACAGCACATCAATAAATTAAAATAACAAATTGTCAATATTGCACAGTAAGTAAAAGACTGGTAAATTGATACCCAACTCTATATTCAAAATACTTATAATTGACTATTATTGTTACTACCTTGGTAATATCAAAGGTGTATTTTATCCCATTATCCATGTGTGTTACCCAACTGCAATCACCAAGTAACATTTCGACGTTTGGAGTACGATGATTATCGTTTAGAATAGCCGAATTTTTAGCCAAACGCTTTGCTCCTATCAATAAAACTTAGTACGATCAATATAAATGTAATTTTTCCAGATCTTTGTAAAGTAAAATCGGTAATTCACTAAAAACTCTGTCATAACAATTACAACTAATGTAGCGTTACTTGATACCTAGTGTTGAACATACTAGATGCCATAATTCATCTCCTAAAGCTAGCCATTCTTGAGCTGTGAACGAATTGGCAGGTAAGACGATCATATCGCCGTGCTTAATCCAATGATTAGGTATCTGAGCAGCTAAATTTGCAGTTAAGGGAATGCCAGTGGATTTCTCATATAGAACAGCAACAGATTGATGTAATGGTTGGGATATTTTATCCAATTTATATTTCCTTGCTTGTAGAGACCTCATTGGTATTTGAACAGTTCGATAAGATAAACATAATTTATTTAGATCGAGCATCTGGCATTGAGATAACGTGCAATTATTACAAAGTGGCAGCGCTACCAAGTTGCCATTCATTTTCTTGACTTTATATTCGTCGTGCAGTAGGGCTTGTTGTTTTAGCCAGGCTCTAGTGTAAAGCAGTAAAACTTATTAGTTTGCAATAATTGATGGGCTATATACAGAAGTTTATACATAACATGTTTTTATTATAAGTACACACTCATCGTAAGAGAATCTCAATAGAAATGTAACAAACAGTTCTTTAATGTATTTAAGTCAACTACAAAGAAAAGTATTATTTATCCCGGCCATTATTGTATCCTCCATAATCTATCCATCTATCTACGATGAATGCTCGGTGAAAGGCTTCATTGCAGGCCGACAGGCTGATACTTTGCATTTAAGCGACTATTTCGATACCTACATTACCTTCAAACTAATGCTTTTGAGTAGAGTATCATGTATGTGTTCTATTCAAATATTGGACTAATGGATTCATTCCCAAATTTCAGGCTGGCTATGGTTTAGCAATTATTGCGAACGTTGCATACTATACCATTTTATTTTGTTGCCATACAAAATAAGCAATTGCAAGCAGGCCTAGAGTGATTGATTGCTTGTCTTATTCAGAATGTAACCATCCTTTGATAGTTGTACTAATGACTTACTTTACTGCTTGTGTTTCAGCTGTAGTTACTTCGATACATTGAAGGAGTTGACCAGTCGCCTTAGCTTCCTTGTCTTCCATTCGCTCTATTTTGATTCAATGCTCGATGTGTCCAAGGTTAGATTTCAGTCACAGCTTGTAGAGGATTATTGAGGGAAATTAATGGCATATCGTTGTATTGTCTGGTAAAAGAATTGCAGCATACCATGATATGCAATGCTTGTTTTGAAGCAGAAAATTCTTGGAGTATTTGAGGTCAGGATGGAATAGAATTTCAATCAGAAGAGGAATTCCTCGCCATCATTGAGGTCGTTGCCATGATTATACTGGGTTTCTTATTCATTACAATAATTTGTACAATACTACCAGGGCACCGATGGGAACCGTTACGGAACGGTACAGAACGTTACCGTACTCTATTACCGTAACTTCAAATTGGGGGGCTGTTCGTAACGCCAAGAAATGACGTGATGTACAGTACTGTACAGTCTATCTACTGACGTAATAGGCTGATCTAATGAAGCCTACTACACTGGAACATCCGTGTCCGGTGTATCGTACTGTAGAGAGTCACCCTGATCGGAGTGACGATGCTGACAGAAATGAAGTCAGCCTTGCTTCACACTATGTACCGTCAACTACGTGTGGGGCTCGCAAGATTTGAGCACAGCATCGACCGACAGCGACAGTAGGGGGAAATCGCCAAGATGGCCTCTATGTCGCAATGATCACCTTGTTATACTGTATATATCAAGTTGTTCAATTGTAGAATGAATTTAAATGATGATGCTGCTAGTTAAGAATCCAAATCCAAGTTATTTTCATTAAATAGAATTCAAAGTTTCATTCAATTTTGATTTTTGCTGTTGCCTATCATACGTTCCACCTATCCTTGCTCAAAATGGCTACTCAAATGTTCGACCTTATCCCAGTACTTCAGGATCTTAAAATTTTAGGAGATAAATTCAAGACATGGGTAAGTCGTCTTTGAAAAAGTTGACCTTGAATGAGAGAGAAAACACTCTCTTCTTTTCTGAAATAACTTTGCACGATCAATGTTGTTACTGATGGGATAGTCATCCTGCAAAATCAAACCAATCTTTGTCTATCGATGATACTCTATGATACCAACTATCGTAGTATAGATACACGCTCTGTCGATTACATTGGACATTGACAGTTGTCGATAGTAAGTAATAATCAGTACCAATCATATAGCTTATGCTACATTCAGTGTAAGGTAATGGAAGCATTGCAATGCGTCGGATCGACTTCCTAGTTCTAGTATTGCCGTGATGTTTTAGAGCGAACCTCGATAAACTAAATTGGACAAACTTGATCTACCTCAGCTATTATTGATGTTCCACTTGATGCCATTTCACGGTCATGGATACGTCTAGAGTTCATTATAGTATACTTTTAATGAATTTACATGATACGTAGTCGTAAGGTAAGTCAAACAACTAAGTACTGTATTAATGCTAGCAACAACTAGATGAGCTCTAGCTACAATAAACAATTGACCGAATTAGGCGTGCTCGAAACATACGCGTATAGCAATCATATCGCATCCCTACAAGAATGGATTCCTTCGTAGTTGTCTACGCAGATAGTTGAAAATCACCCTGTTTACGATATCTGCATACTATATTAGAAATGCAAAGACGTGCTCTATTTCATTCCTGCACAGGAGAATACCCGAAGTTGGAAAATTGTTTTGACACAGCTTTGACATGGTTTATTTGGCATGCACTTGCTTTTGCATTATCACAACACTTGCACGATCGTAATTTTGGCCTTGTACAGTAAATTGTAAATATAAACCATCAGCTTTCTACACTCCGTTTAACGTACAAATTAAAAGCTATCAAATACACTAAAATCGAATAGTATGGTGATCCATAGCTAAACAGTGAGTATTGCGTGAAAAAAATTCCACTGATCTATTGCTTTCGCATTATTCGTCTATAGATTGAATGCATGGACTGTGCTGGGCAGAATATTTATGTTGGAACTACTGATGGGTAATAATTTTGTCTTAATTTCATGGTCTACCTACTATTATTAATGTAAAAATAGTATAATATATTTCTAAAAGACTCTACTTTCAAGGTGATTGATCATATTTTTCTGAGCTTAAATTGAAGATAGCTCACTATAAAATGTTACTGATGCTATGATTTAGGTGTGTCCATTACTATATGATGGGCATTAGCGGAGATTCAAGTGGATTTAGTTACCAAAGTCGATTGCAACAGCAAAGAATTATTGGAGTAAGCTTTTGTCATAATGCATGACATAACTCAGTGTGTACTGTACAGTACTAGTCGCTAATCAATGCTTACAACATTTAGAATTGAGCATTTCAGTATCGATCTGTTTTTCAATGAAACGGTCTCATTTATTATTAGAAAAAGCCAATAACCCAGATAATGACAGCTCCGCAGATCAACGTACTTTTTGTACTATCAGATGGTAAGGAATAACACCATTTCATATTCCGCTTATGCAGTACTCAAAATTAGAATTAATAAAGTCAATTTTCATCGTATTTTCCGTAGGTTATATCACTGCACTAAATATGTTCAGCTTAGAGGTTGTATTACTATTTAAATAAAGTTCGAATTAATCCCATCATTAATCTGATACATAATAGAGCTAAATTGAAAATTATTTCATTTAATTATCCAATATATAGGTTATAACTAATTATATAAGAGAGAAAATAAAAGGAGTAAGTTATGAGAAAGCAGCTTCGACTTAGTACACAATATCGATATTATCATCAAAAATTATTTTTAGGCATAAATATAACTTTTTGTAAGGAGCTGTATTTTTAAGATTTTATTCTTAACTTTAATCTATAGGTTACCTTGATGTGTACGAATGAAACGCCGATGAGCAAAAATCCTTCCTGTGTAGAGGTAAATTTCGTTTCTTAAGAGCATTGATACTAGCCATTGTGACGATCTGATATTTCATGCCATATTTCGGTAATGACCTATACGGCAGGTTTGCATTGCACGAAAGAAATCAATTCAGATGTACATTGCTACTAGCGATCGAATTGTATCTAGTACAGAAATTTCTTTATATGATCCTCCTTTGAGCATGGTAAGAAATATCCATTAGCTGGAAATGATCTTGTCATAAAACTAACTATTACTAATTGCGATGATTGAAAAAGTAAGTCAGTTATGCTAAATTTGATTTGATAACGAATTGATTTTCTAGGCAATGGATGGTGAATTTGTGTGTCTTGCATCATCATTCCAATACGTTTTGATCAATGTTAATAATGGAAAGGTATGCTGATCCAGATTTGTAATAAATTTTAAAATATTAACAAATGTTGATGATATAATTAACATCCAAGAAAATATTTCATGTTCTACTTCAGACCCAAAATTTATTTCCAATCGTTGTAGAAGAAACTCGACCAATTGTAAAACGAATCTCTCAGGTATCCTACTGGCTACTGCTGTATTCATTAAAAACATAAAGATTTGCCATGTTCTATTTCAGTATTTATCTCGCTAAAACTATAGTACCAATAATTTCTGATGTTTCAATATAGGGTGAATTCTTTGTTAACGGACCCAGTGCGCTAGGCATGTTCGTTACAACAACAGGCGAGTCTGCTAGGGCTCCGATATCACTTACCGATATGATTCAGTCTGTTGCCTATCAGCACCCATACCTCGCTTTTCTATCTCGGTCCAAGATCGTTGTTTACAGGTTACTATCCACTTTTTTTTGATTTTGATAGCTTCATTAGCATTAAATGATCAGTATTTGACTAACATTGTGACTCCATCACACAATTTTGTATAGTATTTTTGATCAAAAACAAAAACAAGTGGTAAATTTTAAGGTATGTATGCCGTAGCTAGAATATCTTTTCTATCCCATACGGTATGTACAAGTAAATTTTCTTCTAAATATTAAGTTTTCTTGCTCTTGTACCCATAGCGTGGACTGTTTGTATGTAGCTGTGATAAAAAGATATTTGTGCCTACAACGAAAGATATTCACATGCTTTGTCCAATTCCAATTCACCAGCAGGTACAAGCATTGAGACATCATAGTTGATTGTATAATATTTAAGATGCGAGTTAAGATTTATACACTATTCTTAAATGTTTGTGTTTCCCATAAACTATTTTGCGGAAATTTTTCTCTCTTTAAGAATCTATTTTATTAAATAATAAAAATTGATATAAATTAATGCTAATTATAGATAAAAGGATTACTGAAAGAAGGTAAGATGGATGAAGCGATTAAATTAGCTGATGCTGGAGTTCATATTCATGAATTAACTGCCCTTCAACACAAAAAGGTATAACTACTAATCAAGCATCTTAATAATAAACTATGTTCAAGAGTGCTTATTGTTTGCGCAATTAATATCTCATTAAAAATTTCGTATGCTTAACTACGAACTTTTCTCACAGATGATTACCTATATACACAAATTTGCTGGATTTTCTCATCTTCAAGCTTGCGAATTTGATAAAGCTATTCATGAATTCGATCAAGCTGAAGATCTCGATTTTCGACATGTACATATATATATGTATATATACTTATGCATAAGTTTACCAATATGTAAACTTCACCCGCTCTTATAAAATAACCGCTATCTATAATTTAAATTTTATCCAGATAATTAGTTTGTATCCGTCACTTCTCTTGGACAGTTGTCAGGTCTCTTTTCCAGATGATGTTAATGAATTTTATCGAAATATACTATTAGTTGGTAAGTTAGGATTATTCATTTTTGTATTTACTTTTCTTAACTTGTTATCGAAATATTCGTGTTATCTTTATAGTGAACGATGATACGAATGAATTGCAGAATGCCATGCATGCTCTCCTCAAATATCTCGTTAGTTGACATGCTTATTTTTTAGAAATACACTGTGCGAATACTTTATCAATCTTGAAATATTTCATTCTATATAGAAAAATATTAGGAACAAAGTGATAGCTTATCGAAAGGTGACTAAATTTTATTACGGTTATTATATCATCGACTAAATTTTAATTCAAAGTTGTTATATTTATCAGGAGTTGGATACTAGCTTATTAAAGCTATATATTGAACTCTGTCAATTTGACGAACTAATTGAATTTTTAAGCTACGATAACGATTGTGACTTGAATGAAAGCATTGCAACGTTAGCTGAGAACGAGGTATCAAGTATTACTGTAAATAATTGCTTAGTATCTTACTTATTTTGCATACTACATTATACGTGTAATACGTATCTTATGCATGATAAAAAAACGCATAATTTTCATTATCATGTCTTAAAAATTGTTAACATACTTATTAATTACAAATTAAATTTAAATTTGTATAGAGGTATCATGCTCTAGCAATTTTATACGGCAATTATGGTAGTATCGCGGAATCTCTGGAGTTATTAATAAAGTATGTTATTAGCTTAGCAGTGGTTTTTTTGTGTTGATTATTTTAGTGTATTTGGGTGCTTTACTGATCTACTCTCATTTATAGGCTTGCAAGCAAAGAAATCGACGACTTTACAAAACCTAGTTTAAGATACATAGCCGAAGTTATTAGTAGGTAGGTAATGAATGCAGATCAAACCGTCTGGTGACCTTCTCATTGCCGTTATATTGTCTATAATTACGCCAATTACTTATATAAATTTAATTTTTAATAACAATTACTCAGGACTACGGATACTAGCTTGATCTGGAAGTACACAACATGGTTATTGGATCACGATCAGATAGCTGGCATAGAGGTATATTAAGTATGGTGTACATACACTTAGTTAGGGCCATTCTTGAAATCGTACAATTGGACTTTTATTACATGATCTCTGATTTCATAAATATTGTGTTAATGGCAGGTTTTCACTAAGTATCACCTCATGGATGAATCTGTAGAACTTCTGAAAGCAAGTTATATTTTAGACAAAGTAGAAAAATATCCTGTAGCACTGCGTCAATTCCTAGAGTACTTAGTCTTTGAATTTCAAATTCAGGTAATGAAAAATTGATAATTTGATCAGCCATACAGTACGGTATATATACGCCAAGTAGTACGGGTATTTCTATCAGTATACTGATTGTTATGCCAAATACAGGAAACGGTAATTATTCAATTCTTTCTGTATGTTTCTACAGAAGGAACAATATCATACGAAGTTGGGCATCATTTATATAGAATTAATACTTTCTCTGATGAAGAATGCTCCTAAGAGCGACAGCAATTTAGCGGAGGAGAGGTATATCTGTCAGTACATACATTTTAAATTCATTGATCTACAAGATACAAAATTATGACTACTCTTTAAAATTTTATCTTTTAAACCATAGAGATTCCTTACGAAAGTTACTAGAAGAATCTTCACTATTTCGTGCACAATTACTCTTGTCTCGAATACAAAATACAGATTTATTTTCGGAACAAGCACTTCTATATGGACGAGTAAGCATTGCATAAAATGTATAATTTTACCAATCACTTTTAATTTATCCGTTACGATATTTTGCTTGTGAGCACCCTAATGTCGAAAAATAGATAATTTATACCTTTATATCTTACATTACCTATAGATGGGACTCCATGATAAGGCTCTAGATATCATTGTAAACAGACTACTAGACCACTCTGCCGCCAGGCATTACTGTGCTACCTTTGCAAAGGTATTTTATCCTTTCCACTTTTTCCAGTTGTTAATATATATCAGTTCGTTTATTTGTACTTAATATAGGGCAAAAATTCAACAGAAAGAAAGAAAATATATTTTTCGCTATTATCAGTATACTTGACTTCTAGGTCAGCCTATCTGCTTAGATTTTGTCATATTCTGTGTATTTGTTTAGTGCAAATATAAATATAAATTATAAAATGTAATTATTATTTAGATGCATGGAAGCATTCTTGTGAGTCATATAAGTAAAAACTAACTTAAATACTTTTATACGATTTCAGAAATGTAGATACAAATATTGTCCCTGCTTTGGAATTGCTTAACGATCATGAGTCTATTATTGATCCTATACAGGTTCATAGTAGTTTAGATTGTCTATATAATGAAGTGACAACATGTCAACCTTAACTTTGCTAATTGATATATTAAAACTGATTTTATAGGCTTTACAGCTAATACCTGAAGATTGGTCTATAGGTGCCATATGTAAATTTTTGAAATACTCGGTTCGTTCAAGCATGAATTCTGCAAGGATGCTTAAAGTTGAGCGCGGATTATCATATGTAGAAAATGTACAGGTATCTTGATAAATACGCAGATGAATCTCTAATGCCTTAACATACAACAGTATTTCGTACTTTATGAATTAACCTGGCATTCTTTAATTGCTTTGAAATTTTTTAGACAAAGCATGCTTACCGTAGTACCGTAAATCTTACAGCTGTAAAGATCACGGATGATAGGTACAGTATTAGAATAGTATAATGTAAATGATATCGTTCTGGGGGTTAAATGGAAATTTTTGTTTTATTTCAGAATATGTCAGGTATGCAATAGACCAATTGGTGAGTCTAAATTTGTGAGATATCCCAATGGTGTTATTGCGCATTTATCCTGTTCAAGAAGTAAAAATATTTGTCCCGTTACGGGAAAAAATTTTTGTAAGGAGGAAATGTGATGTAGCAATTGATTGATTTAATACTATTTCTGAATGGACATCTCATGGCCTAGGTGTATTGTGCATGTTATAATCAATGCAATACTCTGCAAATATAGCTAATACCTTAAATCGTATAAATAGAAAAATATACTTGATAAAGGAAAATTTTTTTAGCACAGTTTAAACTATGATATGCACTGCGCATTTACTATTTTTAAATTCTACATGTATTTCGGCTACTGTAGATTTTCGAGTTCTTTCTTTTCAGTAATAGGTTTAAGAAGATTAGCAAATATAAATCAGTTTTATAATGTCTTATTCGAGAGAATTTATTTTATGTTAAGTTGTATTATAGTCAAAACGATATCTGTAAATCCGAAATATAATGTATGTTTACTATGATGCAGCCCATTTAGATATATAGTATATAAGCATTACTATTGTGATATAATTCAGATTTTTTACTTGTAAACATATATGAATTAGTTTCTTGGCTCTTGTAATGAATGCATTATAATTTAAATAAAAGAATATTTGTAGATATCTTTATAATTGATATCAGCGAGTAAAAAAGGCACAAGTATACTAAGCGTACTTTATGTAATGCAAGGGGTCAGAGAAAATTTTTCCAATTTTTAGGTCTATACTAGTTATAAATCGAAATTTGTAACGTGAGAAAAAAATTAATTATTACAGAAACTAAACACTACGAGCCTACTGTCAGGTTTGTTCTCTCAACATCTACCTAGCTTAGAGCACGACTCTAAATACTGACGATCTCCTATCGTCAGGGGGAACAGTAACCACTAGTCTCTCTTTTGATAAAACTGAACCCAAACTTTATTGAAAAGTCTGTCAATTTATAGTAAATCGACATAAACATTAATTATACAATAGTTTGTAGATAATATTATACATACAGCTGGGCAGTTATCTCTTAAAAACGTGTAAAACGCCATGGATAGATTAATCTTAACACATTCTCAGGCAAGTTATCTCATCGAAACCATGTTTACGATAGCGGCGCAAAAGTTACTCCGTAACAATTGTGGATACCAATTTAGCGCCGGTAAAGTAAATCGATTTTCGAACTCGCTTTAATAATTAATTTTTAATCAACTACAGTATCATACGGCACTAGTGAAATTTTCTAATCTAACAAATATAAATGAATAATACTTAAATTTAGGTAATTTTATCGCTAAAGTATTTATTGCTATACGTTAAGATATTATGACAGTTCTTTGTACCGGGCATCATCAAACACATCGATGCACGCGTAGAATTTGCTTAACGGGTAATCTAAAGATCTTATTTTCTAATATTTTAACTGCAAATGCTGTACGTAGTGTCTCCTAGACTCTTTCTTCTCTGTAATTCTATTATAGATGAAAGAAATAGTTTTTAAATTTGAAGAAGACATAAGCGCAAGGACTCTTTTGATAATTAATGAAAAGAAGCCTTTTCCTTTAGATTTTCTAGAAGTCCTCAAAGAAAATGTTTTCAACGATATTAATATTTAGACCCTAAGATATGATATAATTTGGTGACAAGTTTTCCTCTTAAAGAAATATTACAGTAAATTAGAAGATTCATTAAAGTTAGTTTTTAATCACTTGTCAACTAATACATTAAACAGATACAGTAAATTGTTAGTAATAATCGCTAATAGAGCTCATAGACGTAGTTATTCAAACTCATTTAAATAGCAACAATATCTAAGTTACTGCCGATGATATGGATTGTATGAGTATCGAATAATGTTATCGCACTTCGGTAATATCCACCATGTTTCGTTTGCTACAATTTAAGTTCCGAAGTTATGCCATTTCTAAATTTATGTTGAGTTAGCTTGCAAGTTAGTAATATTAATCATGAAATATGAATATAATATCATCAAATTAATATACTAAAAAGATAAATGACTACTCTGTATACGAGGGTATAACTATAATCATATACTGTACATAATAGAAGCTGGCATTAACCCCTAGTAGTTAGAACTTTAATAATGAAAATAATTAATAAGCACAATAGTAGCAAGCTTGCGAACTACTAACGTTAATGCTAATTAGCGCATTCATATTTTTGCAAACTGTTAAATGTACGTATAGTAGTACTTTTTCTAGAATTATGATCATTTTCTATGCTAATAATTAATAAATATCGATACTAACAATGTGATATCTAGCTATTATGAACAAATTATTGTCTACTTATAATTATTTATAAATTACAGCTACTGGAACTGCCTATCTATCGAAAACGATTTTTCGAGCAACTGCATATGCGTTTATATATGAATAGAATAATAAATAATGATGGTAGATTATAGATTCTTTGTCGTGACTACACCTGTTCGAGGTCTGGATTACAACGCATCTATCCTATACTACAAAAAATAAAATGCAGGTTTACTAAATGCTTGCCGTTGAAAGATGAAGCATTTTAATTGGCAAGTAAGTATATAAAATGCAGTAGTTATTCAATAAAAGCCAGGCTGCTTCTCTATAATTATAATTTAAAGACTAAATAACCTCGCCAATCTTTAGTTTCAAACATAGTTTATAAGCAAGTCATTTCTACATTCGTGCATCACACCATAACTTTAGAAATTTGTAGCCCGAAATTAACATAACCTTAAAACGGTGATACAGTGACAAGTGACGAACCCTAATGACGAGTATAGTTTATGCATACGATCGAAGTACTAAATAAATTTACCTTATTTCTATAGACCAATTTTTAGAGTACTATAAGATTAAATAATTTGCAACGGATTCAGAATTATAACTAAAGCTGTTCCCTAGTGAACAGGTTGAACTAACAGTAAAGCCTATTTATGCTCTTTGGCAGCGATATACATTGACAATCCTATCAAATTTATCCATGTTATATGATTATATAGCATCAGAAAAGATATTACAATCAAAGGATTAGGAAAGCACCTATTTCAAAATTTGATGTACTTAAGTTGGTTGAATAAAAATAATATTCTTTAGAATGTAATAAAAAATGTGCTTCGGAGACAATTGTATTTACAATGTTGCTAGTGAATAAAATCAATTATAATTTGCTGTCTTCAGTTTCTTTTTGACCTAATTAGAGAAGATTGATTCGTAAAATAATCATAGTGCAGCTAAGCCTCATTGGGCGGCCATAGGATTAGTTATCAACAGTTCCGTAACTACCTCGTGGTTCAGCAATTATCGGAGCATTAGAATTAATATTAGGTTGATCATCCTCTTCGTATAATTGAGAACGTTCATCGGCTGAACACTCTCCCTCTTCAGGTTCAGCTTTAGCGCATTTTCCACAACAACAATTGCAGCAACAGCACAAGCAGCAGCAACACCAACAACCAGTCAGGATTGTGCAAACTCCGAATAAGACCTAAAATTATAGGATAAAAATGTAAAGGAATTCAATAAAATCCTCAGCTTGGTTACTAAACACTGTAAATTTTTATTGTGCATGAAGTGCAATTGTCTATTTCAACTTTAATAAAAGCCAGTCAAAATCAATTTAACTCTTACATACTGTACGTAACATAAAATATACATATTTAATCAACGCTTATATCCTAAATGGTAACTATTCTTAAATACCATACCTTAAACCAAGTACTATCCATCATCATGTACGTTTTAACGTTCTATATCGAAAATTGAAAGCAAATGTAATATTTAAACTGATGAATAATCAATGCTACATAACGCATTCATAGATATTCAAAAAGATACACTTTTAGGCAATACGTTGTATCTATAACTACAATTATGGCTATTCAATCGAGATAGATGTACAGGATTTATTTCAGCTGATAGCGATTTAGTATGTGAATTTTTACAGAAGTTTATTATTCTACATTGTCATAAACACTAAAAGTTTACCTCCTCTCCAATTTGCTCGGCTAAGAAAAGTCCCATCATGCCATATTTATCATAGATTTCTTTCAAGCTAGGGTTTGAAAGAACTTGATTGGCTTGATTGATTTCTTTAAACTGCAATTAATACATAAAAATACTAAAATTAATGAAAATAAAAATTAAAGCATTCCTCTGCAAAATTTTCCGAGATAGTAATTATCCACCATAGTATAGTAACGAATCTCACCCTATCTGCAGCATTTGGATCATTCAGGTTTTTGTCAGGGTGATGTTTAAGAGACATCTGCAAATATAATTTGATAGCATAAATGTTAGGAAAATTGCTAAAATAGTAACGGAGGGGATTGTAGTGATAACGAGCAGTTTTACTATATAATCGATAAGTATTATTGAAATGGGTAGACCGATACAAAAAACAAGTAGAATGAACCTTTTTATACGCTTTCCTGATCTCTTCTTCTGTTGCTCCTTTCTCCAATCCCAACACCTTATAGTAGGAGTCATCATTGGTACTAAAAAACATAATCGTAAGTTCATACTTGACCTAAAGAATTATATACAGTCTCAATTAAGCTAATGAATGGGCTTAAAATAAGGGTAGGAAATTTACAGTGCTGTATACGTTACGGTTGAATACGTACGCGCAGTTTGATATTGTGGATGCAGGAAAGCAGTCATGAGAACAGCTAAATCAATATAATGGACTGTAACTCTGTAAGCATTGTAAACGATCAGCAACGTAGCTGGTAGTCGGCCTAGTAATAATAATTTATTTACTGTGTTTGGACTCACATCGGAAAATGATGCAAACATCAGTTGGGCACTGTAGATGGGGGAATTTGCAATAAGAAAACAGCTAAATCAATCTCATCTAGTTATAATTCTCGATTAAGTCAGCATTGAGTAATGGCCAGCTAAGCGGCAAGCAATTAGTCTAACGATCGATTTACTGTACATTGAGAATCTGAAGAAAGTATTGCATAATAAGATCAAATTGTCAGCCAATTTTACTTTGCGTATAGGATAGAATTGCGCTTGTGAAGGATCGATCACAGGCGGCCAACTGGAGTTTATCCTACTGAACACAACGTACAATTTTAGGTCATGTACTGTATATTCGTCCGAGTGAAATCCTAAAGCCTATCATTACTTAGTCATGGACTATTAAATACTATCGTACAATATTGCAAGGACTTTGATTAATAAACGGGAAGTCTTTGGACTGGACCTCCAGAACCCCGGACGCGATGCCCCTTGAGTTGAAATTGCCCGTACGGTTTTTGCATTTTGTCCGAAGGAAAACTACCCAAACAATAGGCTGTATAATACTATACTGTAGAGGATACGGTAAACATGGAGGCTAACCTATGTGTAGAGTAGTGTCCTGCATTTTAGCATGCTGTGGGATGCCCGCGCAGAAAAGGATCACCATATGATTCATTTTGACGATATTTAGAAACATGAGCGATTTGCTATGTCAGTAGATACTGCCCTGCTATTGCACAATTGGTTATCAAGAGATGAATGTAAAATATTAAACCGGATCAAGTGCATTATGTCTATGATATCGTATAAGAAGAAGAGGACTGGCACAATCATGAGTACATTCCACCGGGCCCCTGTCTATCCTCTTAATTTCGACAACTGCTATTGAACAATTTCTCTATGCTTCAAGACTACTATAAAAGTATACAGTATATACGTAGGTAGTACACTAGTAGTAGGAAAAATGATGAAATAATGGTACTAAAGAAATTCAGTGCATTATGTTTATGATATCGTATAAGAAGAAGAGGACTAGCACAATAATGACTCCATCCTACCGGGCCCTGTCCATCCTCTTAATTTCGACAACTGCTATTGAACAATTTCTCGATGCTTCCAGACTACTATAAAAGTATACAGTATATACGTAGGTAGTACACTAGTAGTAGGGAAAATGATGAAATAATGGTACTAAAGAAATTCAGCGCATTATGTTTATGATATCGTATAAGAAAAAGAGGACTAGCATAATAATGACTCCATCCTACCGGGCCCTGTCCATCCTCTTAATTTCGACAACTGCTATTGAACAATTTCTCGATGTCTAAAGACTACTATAGAAGTATACAGTATTTAGGTGCATTAAGTAGTACACTAGTAGTAGGAAAAATGATGAAATCATTGTACTGAAGAAATTGATCATTGGTTTGAATTAATTCAATATCCAAACACACTGCTGCTACTAAAATCATCTATAGTAGACGCGTATAGCATACTGTACAATGTTCCATCATGATTCACGTATTGTAAAAGGCGGAGTTGGATGTCTTCAAGTTTGAATTAGGATGATTAAAGCTTCTCCCTTCGAAGGGATAGAAAGTTCAATGACGACTATCATACAGAATACGCTATGATACAGTTCTAGTTGATAGCGCTTTCGCTGCCACTATGACTTGAGTATTCAATCTTAATATGCTATAGGAAGCCATCATCACTGGCCTTCCGTGACGGTTCTCCAAAGTGAACAGTACAAGCGGCAGATTACCTTTCTTATCCAATACTAAACGACAGTGAAACCGTAGCAATAAAACAAGCGCATCAATACATTACTCTACTTCTAAACTTACGATAGATTTTTGGTTCGAGAATGGAAATCGTCTGCCTTCATGTTGTCACAGCGCCAGATAGAATCTACTTGAGAGGAAAAGAAAGACTACAGAAAAATCCTGCACACCTGCAGTTCTTTCTGCAATTCTGCTTTCGTTGTTTTGCTGTGATGGCACTCCACGACACCGTAAACGCTATACTGGTACCGTACCGCTTTACTACTGACTACCATCATTTCAGTGTGAGTGACTGCGCAATCACGCAGTGGTATGTCTGTATGGCAGTCTGTCCAATAAAAATACCACGGTGCACTGCGTGATCAACTCGTAATACCGGTCTAAAGGTTCTTCTGTACTGTACGGTACCAGCAAGGAATCTATCCACAGCATGCACAGTTTACTGTGCATATGTAGTGTCATACTATACGGAGAAGACGGCCATCAAGAAGTGAGCCAATTACCAATACTACAATATAGTGTCTATAAATGTAGCTAGTACGACAGTGTACAGTATAACTACTGGTTATGAGAAAAATCAATTTGGATACACTTATTTAGCAAGTCAATCTGTATCCAGTTCGATGCCATTCATTTTACGCCGTCTAGGATTAAACGATGTAAAATTTTCAATCCATCTTTGCCATATCAAAGCAGATACTTTACTGCATTGGATTGATTTGACGGTGTAGAGATACTTTACTGCATTGGATGAATTAGCATTGATAACTGCAAAGTATTCAAATCACCCTGGTAATATCTGCATTGATATTGTTTCCATCCCTACTCACATTGTACAGCGCTACAGATACTTTACTGCATTGGATTAATTCGACGGTGTAGACGATTGAACACTGCAAAGTATTCAAATCACCTTGGTAATATCTACACTCATGTTGTTTCCATCCCTAATCACATTGTACAACAGCGCTACAGATACTTTACTGCATTGGATTAATTCGACGGTGTAGAGGGTTGAACACTGCAAAGTATTCAAATCACCCTAGTAATATCTACATTGATATACAAATACTTTAACTGCATTGGATTAATTTGAAGGTGTGGACGATTGAACACTGCAAAGTATTCAAATCACCTTGGTAATATCTACACTGATGTTGTTTCCATCCCTACTCACATTGTACAACAGCGCTACAGATACTTTACTGCATTGGATTAATTCGACGGTGTAGAGGGTTGAACACTGCAAAGTATTCAATTCCCCCTGGTAATATCTGCATTGATACTGTTTCCATCCCTACTCACATTGTACAGCGCTACAGATACTTTACTGCATTGGATTAATTTGACGGTGTAGAGGATTGAACACTGCAAAGTATTCAAATCACCCTAGTAATATCTACATTGATATATAAATACTTTAACTGCATTGGATTAATTTGACGGTGTAGACGATTGAACACTGCAAAGTATTCAAATCACCCTAGTAATATCTACATTGATATACAAATACTTTAACTGCATTGGATTAATTTGACGGTGTAGACGATTGAACACTGCAAAGTATTCAAATCACCCTAGTAATATCTACATTGATATACAAATACTTTAACTGCATTGGATTAATTTGAAGGTGTAGACGATTGAACACTGCAAAGTATTCAAATCACCCTAGTAATATCTACATTGATATACAAATACTTTAACTGCATTGGATTAATTTGACGGTGTAGACGATTGAACACTGCAAAGTATTCAAATCACCCTAGTAATATCTACATTGATATACAAATACTTTAACTGCATTGGATTAATTTGAAGGTGTAGACGATTGAACACTGCAAAGTATTCAAATCACCCTAGTAATATCTACATTGATATTGTTTCCATCCCTACTCACATTGTACTGTACAGCGGTAAATTGTCCGCATCAAATTGTTTTAGACCGACAATAATGCTTGAGTTAGTTAGCCGCTTGTCAGCTGATTTCTTGAATTTCATTTTTTGGGGGGTGGGGAGAATTATCGGGATCAACTCGGAAGTACAAATCGAGTCCCTACAGTACAGTATACAGTAGTAGTATGCGTAGCGCAACAACTTTCTCTTCATCAAATTTCTCAATGGGGTGAATCTGTATTATGCAGATTATATAATTAGTACTGTACATATTTGTTGTTTTGTTTTTATTTATTTTTCTTCTGAAGTACTTACTTTTACGATGACAAATTGACCACACCAGAGAAATGAGAAGATTGATCAATGCAATTTTTGATTTATTTTATTTTGTAGGACTACTGTAATCATGCACTGTACGAATGCTATCCTTTTTAAACTGCCGCCATTACAGTACTGTGGATATCGAATTATATTTTAACTGTCAATTCTCATTCTTGGATAAATTCAACGGATTGAATTCATTATTTCCAACCATTTTTATCCATATTTTATCCCAATCGTTTTACTAATTCAATACACGTACTACGTATTCATTGTACTGTACAGTTCTATAATTTAGTGAATCCTGACAATGCTCATTTTGGTAGTACCAGTAGTGTACACTGAAAAGTAGTTGCAATTTACAGTTAAGACGAATTCATAGATTGCCATCATCGAGGTATACGTACGTATACCATATATGAATAAGATCATTATCCCACCTTGCTTACTTAGCAAGTTCAACCAAATTAAAATTATACAGTATAGGCATACACACAACAAATTAGCAAGGTAAAGTAGGATCATTCAACCCCAGGTCCAAATTAAGAATTTCATGGATGGATGACACAGTATTATAGCGGATCGTACTTACGTACTATGATACGACGTGAATAAAATGAATCCATCGATAATAATTAATCTCCAGCAATATACGCTACAGCATATGCTGAAGTATTAAATTAATCTTTCCTTTTCTTTGTGGTTTGGCATTATCATCGTTATGAACAAGTTGTGGTAACTGTTGTACAATGTACGTACACTGTCCCATGTAAGACATCAGAAAACTTTCGTCATCAAGCTGATATCCAGTTGCTATAGTTAGCAAGTAAATTCCCACTAAATGATCACATTTATTCGATACCATTAAAAACATATTTATTCAAAGCCCAATGACAAATAAAGTGGTACGTATATTAATTAATTATTTATGAGGATGCAACTACCGAATTAAAAAAATTCTGTAGGAAAAATGCTTATTCATGTAATATCCAATAAGAATTCAAGACCAGACTGGACTAAAACGAATGCTAATTCAACATTTACGGATAGTTTTATTTTTAATGCGAGTCCCTGATTCAAGCTCATTCGACTCGTCTCAAGAAAAATGGTAAATAGGAGCGTAGAAATCATTGAGACTATTCCAAGCACGAGTATATCCATTACGTCTTAAATCGATACTCTGCAATCGAACATCCTTGTACTAGGTTCTTACAGTCAGAGATACGCTACTCTTTTATTTTTCCTTGCTTGACACTTTGTACTAGGTTCTTACAGTCAGAGATAAACTACTCTTTTAATTTTCTCTTGCTTGAAATTGCACTACAACCTTCCTACGCAATCGTTGAACTCTAATAGCATAAGCCTTACAAGTCACTACTGCGCGTAGGACACCAACTCGGTTCAGTAAAAACCTGAGTGCATACATACTGCGACAAAACGTGCTTGCTACAATTATTGAAAGAATATGGAACTTCTATGGAACGACAAGCTAAAGAGTTGAAAAATAATAAAATAACAATTATCATAAAAGTTCCAGCTACCAAATAGCGTACAGTATATTGACGTACACTATTTTATAACAAGATACGTATTCCTGATTGTTAATTCTTGTAAAAGTTCACGCAGTGACATGAGCCACTACTATAGTAATAAGATATTTTTAAAACATTATATCCCCATTTACTAAAATGAGGTATTTAAAGCATATTAAGATTGTCAACTTTAAATTGCCAATTGCCATCAAAGGTTGGCAGGCTCTTTGAAATTTTGGACAGAAGACGTTCCTTGTTTTCGAAAACAAGCTCATTTGCTGCTACCGGAGCGAAATTGTTAGTAATCACTCTTGTGTCATCATCCAAATTTTTATCCGTCACTACAAACATTATAGTATCTCCACCAGCTTTTACAATTTGTATAACTTCTGGATGACTCAAATTCTCCACGTTCTTGCCGTTAGCTTCTAGAACGCGGTCACCATTTCGAAGACCCGCTTGATCAGCAACGCCATCAGGTGTAACAGCTTGGATGAAATTACCACGGCGTCCTTTTTCGCATTGCAAGCTGAAACCAAAACCTTTGGCTCCACGACGCAAGGTAACTTCTCTTCTTGATGAATCAATGTCATTTCCATTCTGAGCGGGTGTAGCCTCTGATTCCTCCGCTTTCTCAGCAACAACATCGGCAACAACTGCAGCAGCAACTGTTGTAGCTGCAGCCTCTTCTTCAACTTGTTTACTTGTAGGAGCTGGAGCAGCAGCAGCAGCAGGAGCTACAGATTCAATCGCTGCAGCACTAGTAGCAACACCTAGTGCAGCATCAGCGGAGACGTTAGAAGTTTGTGCAATGAACGGAGTTTCGCCCAGGTCACATACTACAAATGTTAAAGAATCGCCGGCCTCCTTAATAACTTGAACAATCTCCGCATGGTTAAAGGTTTCTACGTTAAGACCATTAACTTCAATCAAGTAATCGTCATTCTTTAAACCAGCTTGTTCCGCAGGTAGTCCACTTTCAATGTTTTGAATGGTGTGGCCACGACGCCCGAGTAAACCTTGTACAGTAAACCCAAAACCGAGTTGTCCTTTACGGATGGTTATTGCTCTTGTGCCATTAAATGTGAAGATAGAGGGTTCTGCCTTGGCGGCTGATCCATTAGTAGCATTACCATTGGTGGTTTGGGTAATAGAATCTACCAGCAAAAGTGTAACTTTATCACCGCCACTTTTAATAATTTTAACCACATCATTAGTAGTAAGATTTTGAACGTTTGTTCCGTTAATTTCAACAGCGCGATCACCGACTGCCATACCAGCCATTTCCGACGGGCTGCCGCTTGCCACTTGTGTCACGATATGGCCACTTTGATTGCCATCATCTCGAAGGGTAAAGCCAAAGCTAAGCCCCGACGAACGTTCAATGCTTATTAATCTCTTGCTACTTACAGTTGTAACTGTAGTCGACGAAGTGGTCATTGAAGCAGAAGTTGAAACGGATGTAGTTACATTTCTTCTTCTTGCGGCATCCTCATTGTCAGCGACTAAGAATAAAATCTGGTTGCCACCGCTTTTAATGAGAGTAACCACATCGGCATGCTGTTTGTCTTCAACATTGATGGAGTTGATTTCAATAACATAATCATTGGCTTTTAAACCGGCTGCTTCTGCAGCGCCGCCGGCATCTACGTTCTGGATATAATGTCCAGATTTACCAGCTACGCGATGAATACTAAAGCCGTAGCCGGTTGCTGCTCGTGTAACCGTCAAGATTCTTATACCTGGTAGAGTAGCAAGAGTATATTATGATAAGAGTCCATTAATTAAGAGCGTTAAAATAATATACGCTACTACAAGACTATTTTACCATATTAACTTCCTAATTTAGTATCACTAATACAATAATCACTAATCTAATCCTATTTTCATTCTACTTCCTATGTAATATAATTGCTTTCATGCTATCAAGAATAGGATTACTGTCATTTCCACGTTAAAAAAATATTTTTCCGCTACTCTACTTGACAAGAAAACGTGACATTATCCATATTTTACTGTAGTCTACATGTTTTTTTTTACCTGGTGCTATTTCGGTCATTTTGAAAGTTATCTTTCTGATGTTTTCGGATGTGCGAAATGAATCTACGATGCCAAACTTCAAACTGATCACTCGTTAATGGCCAGGATCGCAAGAATATTCCAGCGCTACTAACAACGAAGCCTTACCTTGTATTAGTCGGCTGAATAAGGGGCAGGGTAACATTGACACAATGTACATTGTATACTGAGTACAGTACAGTAAGTTATCAAGGATCGATCACGCCCAGTTCGGAAGCATTCCATTGGATATTATATTCTTACCATTTACCGCACCCATATACAGTACATTGTACTGTACTCAGTGTACTGTAGGAAGACACAAGATAATACAGTACTGTACAATACAGACTGATACAGTACTGTAGTGTACTGTACTCAGTGTACAGTACTGTACCAAAACCTTTGTTTCTGCTCCAAAACAGAGTCTAAAATGAATTAATTAATTAATTAATTAATTAATTATACTGCATCCTCTAACATTAGCATGGTTTGCCTTCGGCTAGTCCATACTTTACTAAGGAGTCCATAAAGGTCAGAAAAAAGGGATTCTTTTCTTACCTCTATGCCATTCTCTGTATAGGAGTCACTTTAAAGTCACTATTTGTATTTGCATAGTTATTAGTTTATCAAACAAACAAAAGCTCCCTACTTAATTATTCTACTACAGATATACTATACAGCACGAATGAACTTATACTGTATTTAGGTATGCTCTTTCATGGACTTTTTATGCAGCAAACTATTCACAATCTGTAGTTACTATAATACAGATATAACACATGTACGAATATACAGTACTGTGTTGTAAGTATAATAAGAGGGAGAAAAGGAGGAATCGCGTTTCTTTCACGTTTATAATACGATTCATACCACATGCAGCTATCCAGTTTGCTATACGCAAGAATTGTTCGCGGTCATTTTCAGAAGTGTGGACGTGCAATAGAGACGCTTATTTATTAGGGAATTTTTAGGATACGAACTATCAATTATACTATGTAGTACAGTATAAGTACTGTACAGTACATGCCCAACTTGCTTGGTACTCTGACTTTGTATAAAAATTGCTAATCACGATGGTCTTCCGGTTAACAACTGTACGTAATTTAAATAAAAAGAGACCGTACTGTCAGGCTAGCAACCACCAGGGAATATGTTTTGTTGTACTAAAATTGCTGTCTGAATTAGTGTATAACTATATTATATCATTGTTTCTAAGCTGCTAAGCAATTTAAGTCTTTAATGAACTGAAAAAATTGCAATAGCAATATTCCTTCGACTGTACCGCAATGTAATTTAGACATTGGACAAGAGTACGCTGTTAACTACTGTACAGTACAGTAGAACACATTTTAACTTTCTACCATGGTTCTACCTAGTTCTACCTATGATAAAACGCCATACAGTACGCTATTTTTTTTTACAGGGTGATAGCACAAACACATCTAGCGTTGCCAAGTAGAGATAATATAGCAATGAAATAAAATAAATGGGTGTTTACCATGATGAGTCACAATTTTAAATATAACAGCACAGTCACGGCAAAGCCACTATTTCACCAAAAATAGTCATTGCTAAAGGCTGATTTATTAAGCCTTACTACGTCATTGTGGCTCTTTGGTCCTTGACTATTGTCGATGGTGAATGAGTGTACAGTACACTGTACTGTACACCCATATTTTTACTTGGTACTGTAGCAGTTTGGCTACTTTAATTAGTTATTACTGTATGAAGAAAGTACTGTAGACTTCGCACGCAGATTTTAATTGATGAACTATGTTATTTAGCTCTTTCTCTACCGATTGGTGTATAGTTTGTGCAGGATTTTAAAATTTAATTTAATTTATCGGCTAAAATATCTTAGACATAGTGTACAGTACAGTCTACAGTGTACTGTAGACTACTGTACAGTACTGTATTATGACTATTGTGACTTGACTGTACTGCACACTGTATGATACAATACTCTAGCCTTTCATGTTGCATCAGTCAGTCAGAGTTCGGAGCAGTTCGGAGTCAAATCTCTGCGTTGGCCCGAAATCTCACTTTGTGCAGTACACTACCATGTACAGTACAGTACTGTACTGTAAACACTTCGCGTCATACTGTACTGTACACTGTACACTACGTGTTGATTTCAATTCAAATCTCAAGACGACTTCAGCAACTTTGAAAGTAAAAAGAGAAAGACATTGCCTTCGAAAAGTTGAGCGAGAGGCCTTAGCTTAATTCAAACTGAGATTGTTATACAAGCTATCCAACCATTGGTACGATTGATTATAACATGCTCTATTTGCTTATTAACTTAATTTAGCTCTGTGGAATACTACAGGAATATGATAATGAGTTACTCTTTCCATGGCATTGCTACTGAATGTATCTCAATGCGATTATCATTACAATACGTAGGCGTATTGACTACACCAAGTAATAGAGTACTAGCTCATAGCTAATAAATATGTATATGTCATACTTACTGTATGTATATATCTTGAATTTTGAATACTGTACAAATAGCATCCGTAACATAAAAACTAACTGATGGACATATTCTAAAATAGAAGCATTTGAATACAAATGACATACATAGGATAAAAAACTGACTAATAGTGATGTTATAAACTCTACATTCGTACGCTAGGGAAAAGTTAATTTATTAATTAACTAATAGATACATATGTCAACTGTTCATACAATGTATATATGTGCGTACTGGATGTAACATTGAAATAACTTTGAAGACATCAATCCTACTACATTGATTATGTGTAATGTTCTCTTGCATTTCTTTAGCTTTAGCATCCACCATTAGCACTAGAGATTGAATATCTGAAAATCATCTCACTGATTCTCTAATATCCATATCGTATACGTGTATATCAACACGACAATCGCATAGGCTGCAAAGTTTACTCTTCATTATACAGTACAGCTCGACAGTATACATGGCGCTCTAAAAATTCAAATACTGTACTAGAAAATTGCTACATACCGTTGTGTCTGCAGTGTTATCATTAGCATACGGTATGGATTAAAGTACTGTGCTGTACTTACGCGTACGTAGAAGTATTCTTATCACGATACAGAACCGTATCCGGATGTAATAACGTGGACTTTTCAATTTCATAGGTTTCACTTCCGTATTAGAGTCACAAATATTACTACTCTTGATGTGTTTGATACAATCATACTAACACTTAAAACTTAAATCTTTATTTTCTAGAGGATTATTCTTCATACCTGTAATTATATGAGGAATGGACCCTATAAATGAGAATCAAATTAAACAAGTTGATGAATATTTTAAAGGCAGTGGTGCGCAGGTACGTTGTGACCATGTCCACACTTTTATATTGAAACCTGTATACTATGTCTTAGATAAATCAAAATTGGAAATATCTTAGATTTATGCCCGTTTCATTCTAACTTATTGTAATGGAACCTGATAAATACTGTAGTAATAACGCATTAAGATCTATACCATACTTTTGTATATATATAATATATACATTGTATACGTATGCCAGTTACAGGTAGTATTTAATACTGCAGATTATGGTTTATAGTCCTTATATATTTCGCAGCATAGTGAAGCCTTTCAAGACTTGTGGCTATGCTTAGTACCTACTTAGTGCAATGTTAATTATCATTACTCTAGAATAAATCTTTATTTTCAAAGAGTTTTCAAGTATAACGCTAATCAGTAAATGTCTCTATTTTGCTTCTGAAATTAAAGACTCTATTGAAAGAAGGTCGCATCCTGTTAGGACAAGGTTCTTTAACAAAAATGTGTCGTAAAGGTCCGCAACGACGGCAAGTGAGTTTTATGCCTGTGAATGCATTCATCGAGTTATGATCGCTATTATAATGATCCATTTGGAAATAATGTAAACATAGAATATTACATCGTTGCGTGCTATATATATACAATATGTAAGTGGGGTTGCAAATTAAACCTTACTAACTTTACACTTACACTTCATCAAGCTGAAAATGTATATATAACTCAAACGTACGTGTACATGTGCCTATTAACGTAGATGGAGCTGTTTCATTGCAATTTAAATAAGGTTTATCATAATTGAGTCATCGCTCTTGAGAAAGTTAATGCATACCGTACTGTATTCACCTATGTTTAGTAGCAAATACCGGATGATATTGTTTGCAACGTACAGTAAACAATTCTACCAAAATTTTTTCATGCTAACTGATGATGGGCGATCCTACAGACTTTACAGCGCACCGTATCTGATCTTATACGTATATCCATAATCACGGTGTTAACTATCAACAAAATCTTACTATATAGAAACACGTCCATAATAAGGTGTTTAGATTACTGCACTTATATATAAAATAAAATTTCTTGTTTTGGCGATAGTCGGACAACAATTGATCAAATCTCGCTATTATTTGACTTAAAAATTTTTGACAGTAATTTAATAATACTGATAGTCTGTTTAGCTTGGATTGTATTAGATTTTCGCTAATATATTATACTATGTTTTTATAGTTCTTCCTTTTTAATGATATACTGGTCTACGCAAGTATAAAAGTTCCTCACAAGAAGGTATCTAATCAAAACTTAGCATCAATCATGATTGTCTAACTTTACCCATAACAATTTTTGACCACTTCTAAAAGCTGATTTATGCCTACTCATATGTACGATATCAACCTAGAGTACCATGTTAATTATTACATAACTAATAGAAGCCAAATAGATGGAGTACTATTTTATGCATTACTAACGTTTATTTATAAACCTGTTCTGAATTATGTGCTGGCCTTGAAGTACGTTAAACAAAGAATCATTCCGCTAGAATATGCAGGATTAACTTCCACCGATAATACAGGTATGGCATAATGCTGACCATTATTAGACATCTAAATAATACCTAAAACCTTGGCATTGACCCATCTCTCGATGAATCAACAAATAAAAATTTCTTTTCAGCGGAGTTAAAGCATGGTTGGACCATCAATAGTATTGGCAAGTCTTTCGTAGTATATGCAGATTCAGAACGCGATAAAGCAAAATGGATGGATCAGATAAACGAATGCCTTATTGCTGTTTCTAGTCGCGGTAAGTAGACGATTCTTCGTTGGCGTTACCTATCCTGTTTGTAAGAATAACGTCAGAATCTCTGATATTTTTCTATGCTACTTAAGTGGCTGACAACTTAGTCAGTCGTAAAAATAACAACTATTCTCCAGTCTGGATTCCCGATAATGAAGCTCCTGAATGCATGGCATGTAAAAAAACCAAATTTACGGCCATAAAGCGACGCGTACGTACAAGTATTTTAAACCTTACAGCATTTAATAACTAGCGTATATGTGTTTATTCAATAACTATTTAGTAGAGAGCACTTAGCGAGTATCTCATGCTATTCATAATTTTTTAATAGCATCATTGTAGAAAATGTGGATACGTTGTTTGTAGTAACTGTTCATCGAATAAATTGTTACTGAAACATCAATCAGATAAACCATTGAGGGTTTGCGATAACTGCTATTTGAAATTAGTTGACGATTGGAAGAAATTAGGTAAACGTTTCAGCTTACTAAATACTATGTACACCGATAAATATTGACATAATGTGTTTTTACTGTAAAATGTTAATTAATTATAAAGCTTAACTGCGCTTCATGCAATATAGGGATCTATAGCTCCGATTCTTCGGACTCTGAACAAGAAGTACTTGCTGAACCCGCTCTCGTTGTTATATCATAATTAGAAATAAGTGATTGAATTTATTATGCTATTTTAAGAAAAATGATGATACGCGTACATTTTGCTGAATCTGGAAAGAATGATCGCATCACTGCAAATAATTTTATAACTAATCTTTGGGATGCCATTGCTTTAAAAAATAATCTGTTAGCCGGAGATTATGTTCATCAAAAGAGCACAAATTAGTTGCTCAATATTATTTAAGATCCGATGATACTTTGTTTTACTATACACTAATTTGAATTATTAATAAATTATTATAAGGTAATGGAGAACTATCTCTGTCGATTTCAATACTAAGGACCTAATCGCTTGAAAATATGTATCATAATTACAGATATGATTAGAAGTTAAGGATTTAACAAAAATTCAATGAAATCTAATATTTTGCCAATATGATGTTCGCACCATTCTAGGCCACAATAATTAATACGATCTCTATTAATATTGTTTAAATATATTTAATTGTAAAAGAAATTATTGACGATTTAATTCACAGCTGTTTTACCGACACTTTAATAATATAATCAATTTTCACAAATTCATGGACATTCGTGCCGCAATTGATCTTCGAACTAATAAGTTTTAATGGATAATCTATTAACCTTAGTAATAACCTATATTATTGTATTGATTATCAACATTAAACATAAATAAGGAAATGACGAAGTACTAATTTAAAATTTTAATTAATAGCAGCAGGTTTAATAAAGTCAATTTCATTATCTGGAATAAGTTATGTGTTTTAATTTTTGCCTTTTCATAATATCATAGCCTTTGACAAAACACCATCTATATTTTTATAACTGATTGCATAGATTTGCTAGTAATAGCGTATACAATATTTAATATATTATAGAAGTAAAAACAAAGTTTAGGGTAGCCCTTCTCATATGCGTATATATCTATTCGTTACCATATCGTCCATTCAACATAAGATTTAGGTACCCAACGCTGTTCATTTATTGATCGTATAAGTGACAATAATTTGTAATAGAACGCTTGAGGTGATACCCGATTGTCAAAGCTATATACAGTAAGAAAGTACTTCAAACAATCCTTCCACCTTGCACTCTTATATCACTAAAACATCCCATAGAAGCTAAATACGGTTGCCCAAAAGTAAATACAGTCATATTACATGTACACCATATTCGTACATTTTTCGTGCGAGTACCTAAATTGGAAGTTATAACTTATTGTATTGGTATACATCAATCATGTTCTTGCCAGAATATTTCATTATTATTGTGGTACTCGATTTTTTTTCTTAAAATTGCATCGATAATGAGGTTTGACAAAGGAAGACTTTTGATGTTAGCATCAGATAAGAGACTCTTGATCAGGAATCTTTGGCATAGTTCTTCTAACTTGTAGACTAAACATAAACGAAAATAAGAAAATTAGCCATTACTGTATTGCAAGTTATCGGCAATACTATTCCATCTCTAGGAAATGCACGTAAGTACTGTAAGTAGATATATTAGCTACATTACAATAAGCATCACTCTATTTTGAAAGGGTATTTTGCTTACGGTAAATTTATACGGACAATGAATTAGATGAACAACTACGTTCGATTGTAACCTATAACAACTTACTTGGATAAGTAATCAAAACATTAATTCTTAAGGCAGGCAATTGCTGCCCTTGTTGATTGCTAGGAATTTTAGGAAGGTAAACTTTAGCGAAATTTATCAAAAGACGTTCATTACGACTACTATCAACTGCAATCCATGGGTGAGTCTCAAAAGTATTAATATCGAATCGATGTCTAGGAGGGATAACTTTATAAACAACCTTTTCACCGCGAAAATTTAACCAGATCATTTTAGCGTGTCTTCCTGAAATATTTATGAATCTTACAAGAACTTTGTTTCTTGAGTTTAATGATTTAAATCGATTTTCGTTGTTTGGTTGATTTGATGCCATTTTTTTTATTTTTCACTTGGAAAGCGCCAATTTCTTATTACGTAACTTCACTCAGTAACAAATCAGACATTGAATTCAGCCTGGAAATAGAACTGTAAATTGTTCAAGTTTCACTTTGTATGGAATAATCTAACCAAATCTTGAATTCAACATTAATCGTATTGTATTATTTTAAGCACAGGAAGGAAAAAGCCACGATCTGCAAGCCGCCAATAAATGCCAAGTATTATCTATCAATAATAATTCAATTTCTTCAGGAAGTTGGTATCTGACCTAGCTCACGTCCTCATTTTGCCAAGATGTTACTTAGAAGTGTTCTTTTACGATGCCGCTGAACTGAATTTAATACCAATCAGAGAAGATACACAGTGCAAAAAGTACAACAAAGTGGCAAGGAGTCTAGCGACTAACTCACTTCTCAGTCAGACCATGGAGATGTTAACTCTACAGTATGAGTCAGACTGAGTTCTGTACAGTACAGTCAGTACTGTAGTACTGTACTGTATCGAACCTGTGGTGACTGCAGTACGTACGTCCAGCAGTCAGTCAGTAATTTCATACACGACATTCTCCCAAATAGGACAAATTCCTAAAAGTGACCACAATGTATATGTTCAAGAATGATTGATCGGATAAATTCCTAAAAGCGACCACAATATATATGTTCAAGAATGATTGATCGGATAAATTCCTAAAAGTAGCCACAATATATATATTCAAGAATGATTGATCGGACAAATTCCTAAAAGTGGCCACAATGTATATGTTAAGGAATGATTGATTGGACAAATTCCTAAAAGTGACCACAATGTATATGTTCAAGAATGATTGATTGTGCACAGAAGTAGTACAGATTAATCAGACATTCCTAGGATTGATCTAATTTAATTGGTCATTCTTAGCAATGGAAAAATATTCTATTGACATTCTTAAGCTTGGACTAATTTAATTTGTCTGTCCTAAGAATAATAAAATTCGTAAGATGGATCGTCACGTTCTTAGCGACGCAGCTAATCCTAGGAATGGCCGTAACATAGACGTGTAACACTAATCCATAGCATTATAGGCCCATATAGCATACGTATATTTAAAATATTATATTTAAAAACTTTACTACACTGCTCAGAGCACAGTTGGCTAGATGCATCGAGTAGTCCATGACTCGCAGTTGATTCTAGGTAGTCAGAGCCCTTTCCAATTAATGTATACGAGTATAATCACCTGCACTACTTTTCGCTAATACGCTGCTCTCTTCATTGACTAGACTATTTCCAGCCTCGTTTTATAGTATCTATCCATTTCTGGATATAGACATATTACTGCCAAGACAGCTACTGCATATTGTTACTAGAAAAGTCATTCAAAATTCGCCAATGTAATGGCCACATTAGTTTTGCATCGAATTTTTTAATCAATTATAATTTGCTATCAATCTGATCAAAATCTGCATATTATGTTATCAAGTTGACAATGTCCACTGTGTAGGCGACTATAATTGTTCATATTTTTCTGATAAACTAAGCTGGAATTCATTCTATTTACAGCGATAGAATCATTTACTGTAAGATGCAGAATATTCATGTAATCTCGCAATAAAGCAGCTTAGATTGGATGAAAAATTTCCCGTGGAAAATAATCAAAATCAAAACCGAGACTGTCGAATATTACATAGAACAACAATTAATATTAGTGTATGAATAAATTAAAGATGTAGTAATTGTATGATAATAGCAGGTTAGACTACTTCGATATGTAGGCTAATATAACTCGAATGGTACTATATTAAATAAATATTTACAAAGAAATCAGCAATACAAGTTATAGGAGATGATAATAGATATTCAAAAAAATGGGTGATTAGTTGTGGTATGAATATTAAATCATCATTAATCGCATACTAGCGATAAAAAGCTTTAGACGCTAGTGACAATCTAATCATTTCGTCTCTTAACCCTGCATTTTTTGCAAGCTCTTTAAGGCCATCAACAATATCACCAGTGTAGATTATATCTGTGAATCGGCGCTTTTTCCGCGTAAAAGGTCCAACAATCTCCTTGTTAATCAACACTCGCGGGGTGCGTTGCGGTATTTTATCGACTAAACTTGCGAACGGTTCAACCTGTAAAGAAACATAGAAGAATTACTATTGCTACTGTAAAATTCACTGTAATTTACTAAGGCATATTTCAATGAATACTGTATTTCGTTAGAACTATTTCATTGAAATCGCATCAACACTAAAAAGTAATCTTCTAACGAATTACTCTTGCAGCAGTCTATGTGGTATAGTTAGAATATGCTACATCTTACCTGTAAAGATGTTCCCATCACGATAACCAGATCGCATCCTGCGATATCTTTTTTATATAATTTGTAAAAACGTTTAGGTAAATTTTCTCCAAAAAATACAATGTCTGGCTTAATTATGCCCTATCGTGTTGTCGTAACAATGCGTAAACGATTAGAATATTTCAAGTATACGCGTTTGTAATGCCTAAGATGACTTATAACTTAATATAAACAACTATTTCTTATTAGCTACATAACCATACAACAGATTCTAATTGTAAAATTAAAGACCCCTAAGTACAAATCATTGCCATGACTGATGATATGGACATACCGAACACCGATCGCACTTAGGAATTATCTTATTCATAATCGCAGACTGAAAATAAAAATGAAAACTTTCTTTAATTTCAATTGAATATCATTTCCGAACAATCTTCGTTATATTCCATATAGTTGTTCAATTTACTTTATTTTAATACTATATGCTATACTTTTGATGATAAATGTACATAAATATATCTTACGTTCATCTGTTATCTTACCTTAATAAAATCTCCATTAAAAGTTTTCTTACAACATGTACATGTTGCAGACGAGAATGTACCATGAGCTTCTACTAATTTTGATGACGGTATATCTGCCACTAGAATAGGTTTTTTTTAATTAGCATACTCTAATACATTTATTCATTTTGCTATATGGCTAAATAGATCATAGATAAAGCCATGGCTACATTATTAAAAAATATCCTCACATCTTTCCAAACCATCAATATTTTGTGTATACATTCGCCCAAGAAGCCCTTTATCACACAATAGTTTAATAAAATAATGAGCATAATTTGGCCTGTATTGCCCAGGATATAAATCTTTGGCAAGTTCATAAAATACTGCGGGATTGCTACGAAAGTAGTCAATGTCGAAAGCATCGGTAGGGCTTGATAAATTATTATTCTTAAGTATACTATATATTCCAGTTTTAGGAGATCTGTTCGAAAAGAAAGAGTATTGTTGAAATAGCATGATTAAATTAACTAAAAATGTGTCAAGCTTGAATCACCAATTGTAAACAACATGAAAGTCTAATTAAAAAATCGTTTAATCATGAGTAGCTAAACCAAATAGTACCGACCTAAAATCAGGTATGCCGCTGGATGTACTGATGCCAGCTCCGGCCAGGATTAGAATATTTTTACAGCTCTTGTGATTAATTATGGCAGCAATCTTGTGTAGGGGGTCTAATGTTCTACTACGCCTTAGAGTTTTATTATCTGATGCAAGTTCACCACCATTCTTCCTCCTTGTACGCTCTGCACTAGTTATATTTACTTGGCCCCGGATAGGAAGGGCTTCGATCCGTGATTTATTATTTTTGGAACCTTTTCCACTGGAACTTTCTTTCTTGCCGGTTCGCTTTTCTGCTTTATCGACATACAATTTGATTCTATCATTTTTAAGATTGGTTTCATCCTTCTTTATATCCGGTGAAGATATTGTTAAATCGGTAAATAGGTCGACTAAGGTGTGAGTATTACAAGTAATAACACTTTGCTTCTTTCCTTTATGATCCATTTCGTTTAAGATGTCTTTTTCGCTTAGGTAAACCGCTATCGAATAGATTTTATCTTAACTTTTAGACGTATACGGATATATATACAGTGCCACTGTACAACAGTATATCGTCTATTTTTACTTTATTAAGAAATAAATCTTCGTGTATAATGACACACTGCCATGTTAGCTATTGATAGCTGTATCTTAATGTTTTTCTCTCTTGAACATCCTAGTGCTGTGTTACGAAATATTTACGTTATCAAGCTTACATCCACAGGACTCCTCGATTGTAATTAATTATTAGTCGCATATACGCATAATTATCTTGCAAGATATCTACTGTTGTCTAGTATTAACTAGAGTAAGTACCTATTGTATACCGATATTACTCTATCAGAAGTTATATATTTACCAACTACTTGCACAGTACTGTCCTTATTTGTAGTAGCTGCGATCGCATCCCGTTGCCATAGTGACAATAGAATGACGACATTAATTATTGCTACAACACTGTACACTGTACAGTATATACCCGTAGGTATCTCATGAACTGGATTTTGTACATTACTTAATTCAGTACCACTTTAATTGAATCATCTACATTCTATAGAATTCTCGTATTTGAATGCTGTCATCCATATACAAAAACGTCAAATAAGCGTACATTTAGAATCGCCAAAATATTCGGCAAGAATAAGAGCATGAATTCTATTCACATTTTTTTAATAAGAATATAGTGCTGTCCTTAATCATCCAACAGAACATAATATGCTTACTAGCAAAAGCAATAACCTAATTATTGATACCGATAAAAATATAAATCTATTGAAAGGGGTTGTTGAATTACTGTGATTGTTGATATAAGTTAACGACCTAGTCTATCAAGTATTCGTATCTACAGATTAGTTCAATCTAATTAAATATACACAGGTGATAAGTTAAAGCGTGATATTTTTGAAATGTAAGTTTCAAGAAGATTACTTACATGAAAACAGCGTTTAAATTTACTATAATAGGAGAACAAGAAACTTTAATTTTTAGAAATTATATAAAATTTAGCTTGGCGTTTCATAGTTTATTAAATAAAATACAAAATGCATCACGTTGCTAATAGTATAGTGCAACCAACAGCGCAATTACTGTATAAAGTATATAATGTAATAACTATTTGTGCTTCAATATATTATACGAAGCTCTAATCTCTATACCGTACTAGGTTTACCTAAAAAACTTTATATTTCGACGCACATAAGTACGTTAAATAATAATCAATTTATAATAAAAAGTAGTACTTAAACTGATTAATATTTAATCTTAATGCTCATAATTTTGGTTCAGGAATCTAAATTATATCGTTTCTTCAATAAGCATTCCATATGAGTTTCCCAACTAAGTGACTGAGTCAATTTTTTCAATCCCTTGATAATATCACCAACTTCCATTACATCTTTATTGTACATACCAAATGTACCAACAATTTCATTGTTGATTAATATGCGGGGTACGGAAGAACTGACTTGATTTGCTAAGGACGCAAAAGGATAAACCTATTGAAGTCAAAATTTTTAATCCTTAACAATGAACTTGTAAATAGAGTAGCAACATCCACAAAACAATTCGTTCTTTACTATTGCAGCACTTATGAGCAGTATACGAGTATTAAATTTAAGTTAATAACAATGCAAAGCCTATCTTATCTATTCGTAGTAGAATTATTCAGAGCATACTATTCAAGTTTATTTAACTGAACTAATTATTAGATTACAAACGAAAACAAAGTCAAGGCAATTGAGTACCATAGCTCAACCTTAAATACTTCCTGATAGGCGAGTCGTGCAACAACCAAGACGTATGGGTTGTAAAACAAATGATTAAAGTGACATCATCTTACTTGTAAGGAAGTTCCCATGACAATAAGTAAATCGCACAGTTTGAAATCTGTGGCTTGCTCAGTAAAGAATCTGTATGGTAGGTTTTCTCCAAAGAAAACTACATCAGGCTTAATAACTCCCTATAAATCAAATCAAGTAAATTACTAGTAACTATTTTCACGTTTATAAATAGATAGGTACATTTATCTCGCTGATAACATAAAATAACCTGGCATCTATCATCCTTACAACGTGGCACCTGTTGTTGTAATATTGCTCCCTATCAAATATATTTAATAGAAGGTTAGGCAGCTGAATACTGCTAACCCGTCTTTGCATGAATTTATTTAGTAATTTACAACCTCAATGTCAGAACTTGTGTAACGTTTTTTACATATTCTACACGTAGCATTGGCAAAAGAACCATGAGCTTCGATAAGTTTCTCTTCTGGAATGCCTGCTTCTGAGAAATATAAGAAAGTGAAGCATATTACTGCTCGTACTGTCATAGGTATATTACACTACAAATTATAATGCTGGCGTTCATAATAAAATTAAAGTTAATCAATTGTTAGCTATAGTTTATTGTAACATTGTTAAATTACTTCTTTCAAGTCCGTCAATATTTTGTGTATAGATACGGAGTAAGAGGTTTTTTTCCAATAACAATTTCAGAAAATAGTGACAGTAATTTGGCTTATAATTACTAGCATGTAAATGCTTTGCAACACGGTAGAATGGGTGAGGATTGAGGTCAAAAAAAGAAATATCAAATATATCCATTGGATCACTAATTTCGTCATCATCAAGAGTATCGTATAATCCGCTGCCTGGAGATCTAGAGGGGGAAAAGAAAGGGAAACAATAGACGTAAGTAATACTTGGTAAATTGAAATTTATAGTAGTGGTAAGGACTATAATATTACAGATTGTGTATCATCGTTTCTTGTCTAACTTATTACAGGCACTGTTGTATTCATCAGAGTTATTACTGTATCAGAAAGTGTCATTAACTTCAAATACAGCATAGTCTAACCTGAAATCGGGTAAACCACTAGCCGTGCTTACTCCTGCTCCAGTTAAAACAATAATTTTCTCTATAGAACCCATCTTTATTTCCTTCGCTACTGTATCCAATGTCCATTGACTGGCAGCCTCGGTTGTTAGGTATCTTTTGCCATAGCTATAATTTGACGTACTTGTATAAATTGCCTGTCGGTTATTAAATGTATACTTATCACAGCAATCATGATCTAGCACATTCTTGCTGTAGCCTCTGTAGCTTGCAATTCTATAATTGCTGTGTCTCTTGGTATTATAAGTTACAGTTTTGCGAATGCTATTTAGAACAGCTGCAGGTCTGGAGCTTGCATACCAAGCTCTAATCATTGCCTCTCTTATTTCAAGCACATTAATGCACAGTATAAACTAAACTTAATTCCATTGGCAGTATTAAAAGGATATAAAACTGTATTTGGATATTTATTAGTAACTATTCAACACGCAGTACTGTATTTGATGTGATGAGTAGAGGAAGACCTTTAACTCAGGAGCTCAGGAGCTACTGTCGAGGTGTAGTATCGTGAGATAGAGAAATTAATTATACGAAATGGTACTGTAAACTATCTGAAGTTCATGGTGCCGTATGGTCCATTATTCGATCAATACTGTCGTCTAGAACTGCAAGAGCTGCTACTGTACTGTACTATGATCAAAGCACTTCTATATGGGTATGTGTGTATATAAACAATTAACTGTAATTATAGATTCAATTATTCATCTAGTACAGTACTAGTACTACAAATGTAGTATGGAGTCCATGGACTAATGGATAATAATAATTATTATTTATTCTCCCATACGCATATACACTTCTACAGTACAGTATGATGCTGTCAATGACTGCAATGTTGCAAAACTAAGTCTCCATTCGTACTTCAAAAGGTCAGTTGCAATGGATATGTTGGCCAGATCGAGTGTTATCAACATAGCCCTTTGCAGGATAATCGAGTTAGTCGATTAGCATCGATCGAAAATGATTATGCATGTTTGTGAAATAACTGTAGACATATTGTACTTACTTTTTATTTACGCATGCAGGACTGTCCTATGCATGAATAAATCTAATTGTATATTAGGAATCAGATCTAATTAGGATACGCGTCGTATATGACTTGTCGAGCTGTATTACATCATCAATTTGAAGGCAATAGGCAGATGATGAGTGTTGTCAACATGGATATGCAATGTATGCAGGATGATCAACTGATATTGATTATTTAACCAACAGGCTCCATCCCTACAATGTGGTTATGTCTGTCTATAAATTGAGTTGGATTAAAACTAGTAAAAGGGAATACTTTGCTAATATTAACTGTAAACATATTTCTGGTCTTCGTCTCGCTCCATCCCAACCCCGAGGTTAACAAGGTCAACCGCTGTACTCAAGCTTCTGTATACAAAACACTAACGACCGTCAACTGGACTTTGTACTCTCGGATCGCTACTAGATGTTGCCAGTAGACAAGCCCAAAACATAGCTTAGACTACAGTAGATTGTAGAACATTTGCCTCAGTAATCATCACCGTACTCGACTTGACTACACATCCCCTATGGACTAGTTGTTGGAAGTAAAAGCTGCCGCGCCTCCCTAGGGGCTACCGATGTAAGACTATGTTACCGTACTGCCCAGTCTGCCCACATGTTGCAAAGGGTAAAACCATGATTGCTCGTTCATTTGAAGTTCCTTCTTTCTAATGGTTAAACCTTTCACCTTCTAGCTTATACTTTTTTCCAATAGTGGTAGTAGTAACTGAAAAAAGAAATTAAAAACTTGGATAGCACTACTATCGTAGCGGATTGATCTGTTAGAGGAGTTAATGTAGTACCGTATGTTGAAAAGGATCAGTCAATCGTGGCTATGCAAGCTTTAATGGTGTAGGCATGGAGACGACTTTACCTAGATAAAGTTGCTATCTAATTCGACAAATCAGCTCATATCCTAATATTATCGTACGTATATTATTATCTCATCCAAAGTAAAAGTCGTTTACCAATAGGACATTACTCTATAACGTATCATCATCTGTTGTCAAGTGCTCGACATTCTGGCATCGGTTATTATTCAGGTATAATGGATTTATTCATCATATTGAAATGTAATTGCAATATTGGATGAGAATTGGCTGTGATAGTGAGTTATTGCCTTTTAGGATAAGGATTAACTGTCTGTAGTGGATAGATTCTTAATCCTAGCTCTATGCTACATACTATTACTGTATTCCCTAACACATAACTACTGTAATTAGCTGAAATTATGACACTGTCATCGTGGAGTTACTATACGCGTATTATCATTATTGCTTGAAATTGAGCTGGTATAATGAAATGATTACAGTATACGCGTATTATTAGATCAAATTTGACTGAAATAGTGAAATTGTTTCATTTTTTGGTTGAGCACTAGAATTGGCTAGAATAGTAAAATGATTGCAGTATTGGATCAGATTGGAGGGTGATAGTAATAGTGACGTTATTGGATGAAAGTTGATTGTACTGTTCTAGATAAGTCTGATGTGCAAAATCACATTATTGAATGAGAATGAGCTGTAATAGATCGATTTTTTTGTCGCGTAAAGTTTCTATACGTATTATGTAGTATTTGATAAGGATACGTAATTATGAGTTATTGTATGATCATAAATTATCTCTTTTTTCATGTGCATTGAAACTACGGTAGTATTCTCGTCATTGATAGTAGTAGAATGGATGTTAAATATCAAATTAATTACTCATCACAGATTGATATACAAGCCCAACAATTTTATCCTCCCATACGCTTGTAAAATGTCCAAGTTAACATTTTTGACAAGTTGTGAGGTCGCGAGTATGCGATTGCGAATGATATTGTATCATGTCAAAGCAAGAGAATTATCCGGTGAAGCAGGTACGCCGTAAATTCCTCAAACAATTCTTGATTACGCGCAACCTGCTAGGGTTGCAGCTTCCCTAGCATAATGATTGTATTTGCTGTCTGCTTCTAACTACCAATACATGCAGCTAAATGATCTATGAATATTTGTTATAAACAGATAGTATTTTAAAAATTGGAAAAGTTCGTAAAGATATTAAGAAACCTGCCAATCCAGAATTGGTTCCCGTTGGCTACGGTATAAATAATTAATTAATAAATGTTTTGCTATCTTCTCTCTCTGTTGCCTCCTATCTAATCTTACCTGAATACTGCACTTATTAATAAATCTAAAGTAATAGAACTATCTTCCATATACAGACTTAATCATTTACTTTGATATTCACTACTTTTAAGTGGAAAGGTAGTTGTAACACTTCTATTCGATTAAGATATGTAAAGTTTAACTAACACTGGTTCCTCTTAATTATCTTATTCTTAGCTAACCAAAATGTACCAAAGACCGTACAAAGGCACTTGAAATGGATCATGCAAAAGGTAACAAGCTGATACTATTACAGTATAACTAGAAATTGATACACTGAATACCTCTAGAACATCCAACAACAATTTTATAAATTATAACATACTAAATTGTTTACCAAGATATAAATCTTTTACCTGTCTTCCAACTTCATCGTTACTAATTCTTGATTGTTTTTCTACATAAGTGTCTCTTTATAAAGTACGATAATGTTACACTAAATGAATGAGCGCAATCCACAAGTTTCGTTGATCAATCTGATCAATCTGATCAATAATCATGATTTCGACTAATGCGGCATGTTAAACTTGATTTGCTCCTTGACAGGACAACATACAACAGGATGTATTTTTGATAGGAAATCCAGGACCTCTACGTAGAATTATTGTCATGCAATACTTGGTTAGTCCAGATATTAATCATTTTTCATGTTTTGGTGCATAATGCCATTTAACATCAAATAGAAAATCTGATACTAAAACTACGATCGCATATTCTTTAGGAGCTAACCAAGAGTGAATTAGAGTATATTCGTCTATCAAGGGATACTACAGAATCCGACCTTAAGCAAAGAAGAGAGATAATCTCTGGTACTGCTCACTACATCGATCAGTGTGCCGTAAGAGCTGCAATTCATGGAAGAGTCTTAGTACTAGATGGCATTGAAAAAACAGAAAGAAATGTGCTTCCCATTCTAAATAACTTATTGGAGAATAGGTAAATATATCCCTGCATCAGCTAGTAATTAATAGCCCTTTATAGAAAGCACGTTACAGTTATTGATATTAACATTCGAAAAATGTATAAATTTTTTTCTGGTTGTAGGGAGATGCAATTAGATGATGGACGCTTCTTAATGGCTGCAGATCGTTATGATAGCTTATTGAAGGTATCACATGTAAAACAACAAGGCTCTATCGGCGTTTTCGATGATAATTTTTAACACCTAATAAATACACTCTTTTAACCTTACATTGGAATATCTGACGAATATATCTGATTACAGACTCATTCGAAAGAGGAACTTGATGCACGTAATCTGGTAAGAGTTAGTAAAGAGTTCCGTGTAATTGCTCTTGGTTTACCTGTCCCAAAGTATATGGGAAATCCGCTAGATCCTCCTCTACGATCCCGATTTCAAGCTAGAGATGTAGAATATCTACCATATCAGGTTTACCTGTGTTACTGATTCCCTTCGTAATTCATCATTCTCGTATTGTACTATAGCTTAAGAGTTGATATGCTAGCTAAGGTATTCATAATTATAGACAAAAAGAAAACATTAAATTTTACCCGATAGTGTACACTAACGGTATATGAAATTAATCAGTCAATTATAGTCTGCATTTTTTATCTTATATCTAGGAATATTTGCAATCCTTTCAGAAGGAGTTTCGAAATATCCCTAAAGAAAGGTACTTATAATTCGAAACAGTAATTGTAGACCTTATCATCCTTCTATCTTGAAATTGTATCGTATGTTTATTTTACATCTTTATCACTCCGATTTCCCTGTGCCGTATTTAAAATGGTTAAAACGCAGAATAAATTGAAATTTTGAAACTAAAATTTGATATTTTACACTACGCAGACTGGTAAAAATTCTTTCCTATGGCAGTACACTCTTATTATCGGAAGATAAATTACTTGGTTTACCTGACTTTCCCTTATCTAACCTATACTCAGTTGCTAAGATTTTGGTAATCGACACATAATAAATAAATCATTTATACTATAAAATATTGAATGCTGGCACATTCCTTAAATCGTACGCTCTCATTTATTTATTAAAGGATTCTGCTCCTGAGGCTTCAACCTATCAAACTTTATACAAACTTTATCCCTATGAACTTATTCTAGGGTACGACGGGAAAATGGCAGCCAAGCATGCTCTCCAGGTACTCAACATCAGTCATAGTATTGTCCATAGAAAGAAACTTAGATTTTATACCATATTATCTGCAAATGCTGTAAACTGACCTATTGTTATTATTGGTAATAATATCAGATGTTTGACGTGGTCGATAAGGTGGATGCCAGATTACCTTATCGAATTACGGATATTAAACCGTCTGGTGTAAGCTATATTAATATTAACATGTATGGAAATTACCGACGTAATATTACGTTTTGTTTTATTAACCGAATAATTTTCGTTATCAAATACGATTACAGAATGGTTCAGTTGCTTCAGTAACGTTACAAAGTCACACCAAGAATTTATGCCATATTGAAGTTCCAATGGGGAAAAATAATCCTCTAAGGAATGTTGAAGATATAAAGGTAATCAAAAATTTATCCATGTAAGTATTCGGATTAGAGGGTGTTGTTTACTCCAATTTCGTAATATCATATAGTATTTCGTACCAACATCTTATCATTCTGGAACACTGGCCGACATGATATTATCACATATGATGCGCGATTTCTGCCTAATAGGTCCTAAGGTTAGTGACCATGGTTTGGCCATAATTCTGGATTGACTTATGAGAATGCAGAAATGATATTTACTGTTTTGTTGTCTTATAGGGATGTGGCAAGACACTATTAGTTCAAAGCTTTGCTGACATTTTAGGATATCATACCGAAAATGTTGTATTATACCAGGTTAGTTTGACTGAGAATTCCGAACATTTTGAAGCCCTAGTCTATCTTAAATAATCTCTTTCATTAAATTATGTTACTCTATTAGGACATGACTGCGCGTGACCTTTTGCAACAACGAGTTACGTTAGAAAATGGCGATACAACTTGGAGAAATGCTCCTCTTATTACAGCCGCCCTTGAAGGATATATAGCCATTTTAGATGGACTTCATCGTCTTAACCCATCAACGCTAATGATTTTACAAAGGTATTTAATTAAATATAATGAGCAGAATATGCTTCATTTGTTACACTTCCTTTCTTATTTATTAAGGTTAATCGACGATCGAGAATTAACTTTGCATGATGGTACACGATTGATGTCAGTGGATAAATATAAATTGCTACAGGAAAGTTCAGGTCTATCAGAAACAGAATTGCAAGAAAGGTAGGTATAGTAGCTATGATTAATTAGTGATGTGGAGATTTTTAACCAAACCTGTAAAGTTTATATGAACTATAAACTTATTGAATTTTTAATTTGTAGGTCTATATTACCAATACACCCCACTTTCCGTATAATAGGTTTGGCGGAACCGAAAGGATCATCTGGAAAAACTAGTGGGCAGCAGTGGTTGAATTCTGAATTGTTAACATTATTTTTGCATCACGAAATTCGACCTCTAACGAAGTCCGAAGAAATCGACGTTATTAAAACTCTGGTAAAAATACTTGTTATGCGAGATGACTGATTTATTTTCTGTTATAATTATTTACGCTATCTATTTTTGCCTATTGAATCCGTCAGGTTCCCAGAGTTCCAGAACAAGACATGGGTCTGTTAATGAAATTTACACATAGTTTACGAAATAACAATGATCCTACGGTATTGTTATGAAACTTATTGAAGTGGCTTTACCACTAATACAATTTCTTATTTGTACCTTTCATGGAGTCTAGCATTCTCTATATTTTAATGACACTAAGTACATAATAAACTAGAAATTGAAAAGATTTCATATTTCATTCAAGGTCCAATCTATTTCTTCATCTCTCTCAACACGTCAACTTTTACGAATTTCACGACGATTAGCAAGTTACCCTAATGAAAATCTTAGACATTCTATTTATAAAGCCTGTTTATCGAAGTAATTTAGCATTAACGAAAATAAATTTGTTTATTCCTTTATCAGATAAATGCAACTATTAATATGTCGTCAAAATTAAATATTGTTTTTACGAATAATTTAGATTTCTACCACCTTTAGCATCTGATGTACTGGAGAATGGCCTTAAAGAAGCTGAATTTGTTGCTGAAAAATTAACTGATGATGCGGATGCAACATGTATGTCATCCAACAATGACATTGGATTGATATTATTTGCTTTAAATGCATTAATTAGTTATGATATATACGTAAAATCCCGGTAAAAAAGATTGATGTCATTACGAAATGATTATATTTAGATAAAGTAGAGAATGATAGTTTAAGAATTGGTAAGATAACAACTACGAGATATAAACCTGATAGCGAGGTTATGGTTCCTGATGTTTTATTTTACGATAATCTTCAGGTAAGTGTTAAATACTCGTACATGTATATATCGGTTTTACTACCATCCAGGTATGCGCATATAATGTCGTTGCTAAGGGATTTTTCTTTCACATCAATCTGTTAGCATATTAAAATTATGGAAGATATGTTGAAAGACTTCTTACTAGGAGAACACTTACTACTTATAGGGAATCAGGTTATTTTATCTACCTATAAAATGTTCAAGTATAGCATTCAAAAGCTTCTAGAAATACATTTATGTTTACAGACTATACAGTAACATTTTCTACAACGTGCAAAATTTAGGGCGTTGGTAAAAATAAAATTGTAGATCGTTTTCTTCATCTCCTTAATCGTCCAAGGCAATACATTCAATTACATAGGTTAGTAATTAAGCAATAATATGGTGAGCTTTAGAGCCCGGTATATTAGTTCTACATACGATTATTATTGTTTATACTGTTTCACAGAGATACCACTGTACAAGGACTGACATTACAACCAAGTGTTAGAGATGGACAGATCATTTTTGAAGATTCGCCTCTGGTAAGATAATATGGTCTTACGATAGGCTCATACTGCATGCGCTATACGCGCCTAATCGTATAGTTATTTTAATGTGAGGTGATACAAATCACGCACACTTCGGCATATCCAGCTCTGACATAGTTATTGTATACCCTAATTTAAGGTCAATGCCGTTCGGAACGGACATGTCCTAGTAGTTGATGAAGCGGATAAAGCTCCTACTCATGTAACATGCATCCTAAAAGCATTAGTCGAAAGTGGAGAAATGCTTTTGGCTGATGGAAGAAAAATTGTAACCGGTAAATAATTTCATGTCAGTATAATTTGATATAAATTATATCTGAATTATCAAGTTCTTTTTTGTTAGGCGTTCGACAAGCGGAAGCCCCGGAAAATGCCATACTTGCTCACAAAGATTTCAGATTGGTTGTATTAGCTAATAGACCAGGTTTTCCTTTTCTTGGCAATGACTTCTTTGGATCATTAGGTATGTAATACGTTATCCACGTGAATTTAAATATTGGTATATGAAGTATCCTTAACTTTTTTATTAACAGGGGATATTTTTAGCTGCCATGCCATAGATAATCCGCCAGTCGATTCTGAAGTGGTACGTTTACTACGTGATCATCATATCAATGTTGATCTAATGCATACAAGATATTAATATTAATTTTTACTCTTATGAACTTATTAATTACCGTAATATAATGAAAATTAGGCAATGCTTAAGAAGTACGGCCCCGATGTTCCTGAAGAAGTTATTAGAAAGCTTGTTGCTGCTTTTGGAGAGCTCAGGCACCTAGCTGACGATGGACAAATATCTTACCCATATTCAACCCGTGAAGTTGTTAACGTTGTTAGACACTTACAGGTAATTGATTATAATAAGTATAGATATTGTGTTTGTGTAATTTCAAATATTGTTGTCATGTGTTAGCTTTGCTAGTACTTTATAAGAATAAATTATTTTCTTTCTATAGAAATATCCTAATGATGGAATAGCAAATGTTGTCAAGAACGTTTTCGATTTCGACAACCATCAAAACGAATTAATGGAAGTCGTCATTTCCACTCTACGTAAACATGATATTCCGATTGGAGCATCAATCCGCGATATCCGCCTAGCTAAGTCGTAAGGAGATTATGCAGTGCATGACAATAAAAAATTTTTCATCTATAGATCTGTTCTATCTGCATATATCTGTGTCAAAGACTATTTTAAGTACTATTTCTCGTAAATGTAGAATGAATCTATTATCCAGGCGTTGTATTAATTTAATTTAATTTTTAAGACCTTACTACGAAAGACATTAATGTTAGCCAAAACTTATTTGTTTGCTTGCATGTAATTTTTGTAAGAAATAATCTCTCATTTTGGAGACTAGTTAGATTTTACGTTTAAGCATCTGTTTTCTTCTTGTCTTAGTTTACAATAAAACCGTACCGTACATCTGTTCTTGTTTATTTACTGCTGCTGATTCTTGTTTACGATAGCCCATGAAAATTCATAGTATGAATGTGCCAATTAATTATCATGGATGATGTTACACCAATTTAGTTACAGTCCAAAATTTTACTGCAAATAAATTAGTACGCATGATATGTACGATATGTAATAACTTCCGGATATACATTGTTTTCATCTCACCTTATGATAGATTTCCTTTACCTCCGCCAACACTAATGTCGAATTGGACGTTATCTAAGCAGCAACGGTCATTTAAGCCATGTAGTATTGAAACCTCATATCTGATAGCTCAGGTTAACTCTTCATTTGGATAAAATTGCAGTAGAGATAAGCCGATTATTGCAAAAATTTATCTAACATACAGTTTTATTCTCTGTGTTAAAGGATCGTTTAGAAATTGGTGTTGATCATTTTGAAACACAGCAGATTAAGCAGCGATCCATAGCATTCAATGAATTACTTAGTACATGGCAGTTATTCATGCATTCATCCAATAGAATTGCTGCTGTTGCGACAACTAAGGGTAAATTAGATATTTCTACTTTATGTTGATACAGAACGTAGCGACTTTCGAATTCGTGTATCTTTCGAGCTTGTAAAGAATTTGTAGTTTATCTACGCAGTAATACGTAAATTGATCTGTCTGATAGATGGGAAAAAGAATAATATCTATGCTGCAACTTGTAATCCAGTCAGCGTATATGCAATGGAAGAAGACGCTGACTCATACACCTTTCTTGATTTGTACGGAATGTTCCCTAGTACTCGTTACAGATGGAAGCCTTCGTTAACAATTTCAGCGTTAGGCAATTCGATGAATGATTGTATTCTACTGCACGAAGAAACTGTAATTACCAATTTTTAAGCAAATTTTTAATTTTGATTCTGTAACAACAAAAAATGCAGTGACCCACTGATTTGTGCTATATACACGTATATTGCGCTTATGCCAATTATTATAATTATCGCTATTTGTAGAGTAACACCTTAATGCTAGTGTGGCCTCGTAAAGGTGAAATTCAAAAGATTCATACCAAATCAAGATTTGCTAGGGTTCGTGATTCATTTACTCGAAGAATGGAAGAATCCGAGGTTAGCGAGAGAATTTTTATATTTAACTCAGATGCTAGTAGGAATTATAGTATCGATTATAAGCCAATTTTACTATCTACATCCTGATTCGTAAAGCTTCCTTCGGTAATAAATTTTTTAATTCTCTCACAAGGAATTACACAAGATTTGTAACGAATTTTCGCATGAAAATTGGGTCGTGACATATAGAGAACATGGGTAGGTACTTACATTTCTCATAGAAGCGCTTATTGCTAACATATTTCTTGATATCCTAAATTAAGAAGAAATCTAATTTGATGTACAGAAACCATTTAAATGCCATTGATGTAGAAAGCGGTACCTGTTACACTATAAATCTGCCCATTTCGGCTTCTTTGGTGCGTCTTATTCATAAAGACGTTTGGCTCATAGTGGAATCCAATTCTTCGAAGTAGAAACTAGCATAAAATCTGACTAGATGTTATTCACGTGCTTAATTTGCTATAAACTTACAGGTCTTCAAAAATTCACAATATAAATAGGAAATATCTCCTTAAGAAAGAACATGAAACCGATTTATGGCCTACTATCCTTATACAGACAGAACAAGAAATGTTATCATCTGGTATCTATCATATTAAATCGTTATTAAGTAATTCTGACGTATGTAACCTCCAAAATTTATAATTGCAAATTTCAGAACTCCAGCAAGAACAGGACCTTCAATTATCATCGAAGGCCACCTCAGAAGCGATCGTACATAAATTTCTTGATATATCAAATATTGATAACATGACAAACAGGATAGTGTCCGATGATATGAGTTATGCCGGTATAGCAGTTGGCCTTCCTGATAATTTCTTAAATGATACTGATGTAAGATAAAAAGTTGTTGCCTAATTTCTACTCTATCTGTATAAGATATTAGTCAACACCGGTTCTATATTAATTAGTTTTTATCTAAATTAAAATAATACTGTAATTACAGACTGCAGTTGGCTTATTTAAAGTACCACGTACTTTACAACCAGAAAAAAATAGCGAAATAGGAAGAACTGTTAGCGATGCCGTTTTTCTAAGTTCTGTTGGTCAAGTAGCTCGAATCGTGAAAGATGTTCACGTTCCAGAAGAAATTTCGAAAGAAGAATGTAAATTCAATACTTCATTCAAACCAGTTTTTGCATAGTTAGATTCAAGAGTTGTGCATTTAATAGAGAAAGGAATACTTAGTCTACAAAATTTCATCTCTTTGTCCGTTTATAGCATCTGATCATTTTATCGAAGTTGTTGACTTACAAAGACATGTAGTGAGATTCTTACCACTCCCAAGGTAGATAATAAGCTATAATGAAATCATAAACTATTTCTGTTATGGTATTTAAACAGTTTTTAAATTCCTTAAATTCGCTCTAGAGTCCCGAGATCAAATTATGTGTATACCCCAGGAGAGATAATCCCATATGCAATCAATGCACTACCAGACGATAGGATATTGGTTATTGACTCTACTGGACGTGTTACTTTATGGGAAACAGGATTTAGCAACTTAGAAAGGTATATTTCAAGAAAATTAATTCTTTTAGATTAACTTATTTACAACTACTTTGGAAGATCTACACCAGATATTAGTACAAAAAATTATTGATTAAAGATTAGATAGCGAAAATTAGTTAAAAACTTTGGCTTCTGTAGTTCGCTAGATAAATGGATGCAACTAGTTACTGATGAAGGTGCAGCAGAGGATACACAAGTAAGCCAAATGGATTATGTGGATATGTAATATTATGATCAGTATCTCCTATCCTTATTGTCGGCCAGTAACATAATTATTGATCAATTACTAATAGATAACAATCGAGCGACCAAACGATCTGGAGGTTACAGATCCAAAACACGGAAAGGTTTGACACTTTTAATTTGAAGATATAGCTAGTACGTGTTTGCTTCCTAATATTTTTCCTTCGTATTAGATTTTAACGTTTCTTGATCTTCACGACTATAGGAAGATCCATCAAACGCGCCCCATGTTGGCGGCAATACCTGGGCTGGTGGTACTGGTGGAAGAAGCACTGCTGGCTTAGGAGGTAGAGGAGGACCATACCGGTTAGATGCTGGGCATGATGTCTATCAAGTTTCCGATACTGACAAAGAAGTCGTACCACCAGAAGTGCGTTTAATTAAGCCAAGCTTTATGTACTATAGGATTATTACGCCAATATTTCTCCAATTTACTATTCTAATATCAGTACGATACTATAATTTTAAATCTAATACTTGAATATTTCGCAGATCTCTGAGGCTGCTAGAAAGATGAACAGAAAAGCATTTCAGGACAGGTATTATATTTAGACGTTTAAATTAAAAAATTGAGCGTATTACTGATCTTTCATCCGTAGAATTCAAAAGTTTGTAAACAACCAATTTTACTTAAAGGCTTCGGGAGATTGAAATGAGTGAATATGATGCCGACGCTTACGACAAAGTATCGAATACTGTTCAACGGCAGGTTAAAGCCTTACGTGTTATATTAGACAGCCTTGAGGTAAGAATTTAATTTCTGATTAGAAAGCTTCAAAGTAGCTGTCAGTAAACACCTAATGGTGTCCATTCCAGGCAAAAGGTTTAGAAAGAACTTGGGCAAAAAATCAAACAACTGGAGATCTTGATGATAACAGGGTATGATATTTCATACATAATTCTTTATGAAAGCTAAAACTTCCAGTAGTATCAACTAATTTATTTATGTAAAATCTTCACGAATGCTATTGTGCAGCTGATTGAAGGCCTAACAGGAGAGCGTACAATATATAAGAGAAGAGCAGACAAGGAACCTGAGGTTAACTTTACGAACGACACATTTTATTATTTTACGCATAGATAGCATAGGTATGAAATTGCTTCTACTAATGTTGTCAAAAATTAATTACAATTCTTAGTACAACTCCCAAGATCAGGAACACCCAAAACGACTTAGGCTAGCTGTTGATGTGAGCGGTAGTATGTATAGATTTAATGGAGTAGACGGTAGACTTCAGAGAACACTAGAAGCGACATGCATGTTAATGGAAGCATTCGAAAACTATGACCAAAAATTTCAGGTAAATTTACAAATACAAGATTCTACAAACTATACCTGTGAATATTAATTTCTAGAAATCCTGAAAGTGTAATGAATGAATACTTTAGCTTACCAAATAACCGGAGCGTCACTAGTAACTCTAAGAGTGCTTAAGTCACAATAAATAACTTGTGAAGATTGCTGTATCATTTCTAAAATCGATGCTTACTACTTAATACTATAGTATGAAATTTTCGGTCATTCCGGAGAAGATCCCGAAATTCCCTTTATAAGATACGACAAAGCACCTAAAAATAATAAGGAACGACTTAAAGTTTTAAAGGTAAGAACCAACAATTCTACTACGCATAACAATTTGAGGGCAGTATGTTATTATAGCCTATTTTTAACTTAATTAAAGAGCTCAAAGATACGTTCATACTCTATAAATATATACTATCCTAATTGAAATATATATTGCTTTTATTAGGCTATGCATGCACATTCTCAATTCTGTTTTAGTGGTGATACTACTATGGAAGCTACAAAAAATGCAGTAGAAAAAGTTGTAGAAGACGAAGCCGATGAACATTTTGTAATTATACTATCTGATGCAAATTTGGAAAGATATGGTTTAAACGCAGCCAAACTAGGAGCAATGATGAGCTCCGATCCGAGAGTTAATGTATTCTTCATATTCATTGGTTCTTTGGGAAATCAAGCTGAAAGGTTAGCTTACATTATGAAATTCGAAATGTTGTGTTACAGAATTAAAATAAAAGTCTATTTATTTCTTTGTAGACTAAAGAAAAAACTTCCTGCTGGACATGCTTTCGTTTGTATGAATACCAAAGATATTCCACAAATATTACAACAAATATTTACTTCTACAATGCTTTTAACAAGATGAATAACTATTGCTAGTGATAATAGTTAATATGATTAATTAAATCCAGAAGACATCTTTATGTGTCGAAAATGATTGAGATAAATCATGTTATTCTAAGAAGCCTACGGGTTATCTTTAATTAAAGCATACGCATATATCCGTAATAAAATGAAGCCTTAACAAGGTCCTAACTCATGCTAACGGTTAGACTATTCCTAAATACTTATTTTACGAATGATTTAAACACAGGTCACATAACGACATCAGAGGATCGATTGTTGTCGTAATAGTAAGGATTAACGTCAATACATAATGACGTTCAATCAATGTCTAGGTCATAGTAACTAGTTCCTCAGAGGACGTTGGATGAATAGCAACGGTATTATCAAAGTCAGCCTTAGTTGCCCCCATTTTTAAGGCAACGGCAAAGCCCTGCAACATTTCATCAGAGCCAATACCAAGAATATGCAGACCGACAATCTGAAATAGGATTTTGAACAGTTAATTAAACAGGATCATTAGATTATTAAAGATTTTGTTAAAACAGAAAGTGTGAACCTTTTCTTCGGGTAAAACAGTAATTAACTTCATAAGTGAGGGAGTTTTTCGGGTAGTGACAGCATGATACATCGGTGTAAACTTTGATCGATAAATTTTAAGATTTTCTCTGCCGAATTTTTGCACAGCTTCATCTATTTAGCATAACGTCATTAATGTAAATAAAAATCATCACCAATTGCGAAGGTCTATAACTAGTGTATTCTATACCTTCAGTTAGGCCGACTGTGCCCATGGGTGGATGGCTAAATACCACAGTAGCGATATTACTGTAGTCAAGTTTTGAGTCTGCCTTATTTTCAAACAATCTGTGAGCTAATCTACGGCCGGCAGCAATGGCAACTAAAAAATCGATCGATAAAAGGCATAGTTAAATTAACATGAAATTATATTTAGTAATATTACATTGCTAACACTCGTATATTAGCATCTCAGCCAGTTAAGGTTATTTTTAGGATGTAACTTTACGCTTACAATACCTGGAGTTAAAAGGTAATGACCACAAACATCTCCAAGTGCATATATGCCGGAAGTTGACGTATTTTGATACTAAATTGGTATAAATATAAATGATTCATCTACTGTACTTTTCATTTTAAAATTATCTTAACAAAAATAGGTACTAACCTCATCGACTGTAATAAAACCTTTCGAGTTCAGCTCTACACCCTGTGGAAAAGGTACTGATTATTTCAAAATATAACAGTATTTTCGCAATTTAAGTATATGAGTTTAGACTTACAGCAACATCTAAGTTAATTGCAGTAGTTGGTGATCGTCCAATTGCCCATAATAAACAGTCGACATTGGCTATTTCTTTAATATCTCCTTCAGTTTGTAAATCAACTGTAAGCAGCCCAGAGCTTTCATTCTTGGTGACTTTACTGACCTAGAGGATGCATTAATCTATTATTAAAAATTTATCCTAATGCGATAATATCTATAATTATACACATGAGGCGAGAGCCCTTAAAAGCGTATCGCAAAAACCTGTGTCTGAGACATGACTTTAACACCGGTGTTTTTTAATTCTTCGGTGATGATTTCACTTAGAGAAATATCAAATGAACGAAGAACCTGATAAATAAAAGCAAATATCCTTATAAAATTGAATGTATTAATGGAGTATTACATGGTAAATTTATAGCTATAAAAATGTCAATACTGAAATGTATACCTTATCACGACGAATAAGTAAGGAAACATCCGATCCTAAAGCATTTAATATACCGGCCAACTCCACAGCAATATAACCAGCGCCAACAACTACGGTTTTCCTATATCATGGATTAAAATTTAAATTGTATTTGCGTATCTACACTCCCTATGCCGATAATTTAACAATAATGGTACGAATTTTATAAATTCAATTATAGCATGCGCAGAATTTATGCTTACTTTGGTAAATCTTCTAAATCAAAGAAACCATCGCTGGTGATTCCATACTCAGCGCCTGCAGGAAAAATATTACCGTAAAATGTATCTTTTCATTCTAGCTGTGCTCGTCAAAGTCGGGTTTAATGCTCATACTAGACCTGGTTTATTAGGAACGTCGGGGTATCCACCAGTAGCAATTAGTATGTGGTCAGCCGTATAAACTTCTCCATTAACTTCGACCTGTTTATAGCCACAAAACTTGGCAAAACCAGTAATCTCTTGTACACCGTCCTATAAAATTGATTGAAATGTGCCATTGAACTTGTAGCCGATACAAGTAAGAAAAGAGTAGCTTTTCTTTCTATTTCACTTTGTTTACCTTGGCTAAATTACGATGATAGATTCCATTCAATCGCTGAATATATGCATCACGAGATTTCTTGATAACACTAAAGCAATAAATAATATAATTAATTAATAATGGAATGATGCTATTCCTGTTCACTAATTAAAAGTATGATACAATAATAGTGCACAGGTGTATAATCCTACAAAACTGCCATGCAAACACATTACAATACTTTATGTTATTGAATTAAAGATAACGATACTATGATCATTGTTTTAGCTAGCTAAAATAATACAAGAAACGTTAAATTAAAACAGTAGCAATAGTGTTAATAATATTACAAACGTAACAACAGCTTATTTAGTGTGTTATACCTACCTCCAATCAAATTTCGCTTCACCAATGCTGAAACCATAATCTTTGTGATCGTGGATAAATTCTGAGTGGAGAGCGGTATTAAACATAACCTAACGTAGGACAATGTAGTAAAAGTTGATTAGGGAATCTTATCTCAATGACTATTATGATGTATGAGAATGATGTAATAAGGATCCTATATCATTCTTATCTACGGAAAATCAATTCTATAAATTGAACGTTACATGAAATTTTTTACTGGAGATTACTAAATGATATTATACGAATTATCATGAGGGTCTGACAAAATAATTGGCTTATAAGTAGGTATTCTATAGTACAGTACAATATAGTAAGTGAATACCTAAATATCTTATTTATAATTATCGCTAGTCGTATGCTAGATAAGATCAAAATGGCAATTTGCGGCAACATTGCTATCGATACTATCATTACAAGAATGATTTTATCTTATAGAACTGCATCCTCATTTCTGGCTCATATTTTGCAGTGGTTGATATTAGTAGAAAAGAATTGAAATCTAAATTAATATAACATAGCTTGAAAGTCGACTGGTGAAACGTATTTACCAAGTTTATTTTTCTGACCCTATTATTAAAATTTTATTCTAGACGATCATAATAGTTGATCGAATTGTACTGCATAAGGCTATTACTGTATCATCTGCTCGTACGAGTGACATATTTAAAATGAGCTTTAAGACAGAAACTGACAATTGTATAGTTATTCGATTAGGTTTACCTTCTTGGGCACACAACCGACATTGACCTAAAATTGAAGAGGAAAATTGGTAGTGAATGATTCAATCAATATTATCATTAATAGACCATTGCTATGATTATTTTATTTTTAACTTAACAATGGAATTAGACAATTATGGCTACAATACATAGTAGCACACTTGGAGTTGATCTTATTGCTAACGAGAGGAAATGGATCGATATTATCATCACTTACACATGTGCCTCCTATACGACCACTTTCAATGACAGCAGCTTTAGCCCCTAGCTTTGCTGCTCTACGAGCACTGGCTAAGCCTCCAGAACCACCACCAATAACTAAAAGTCATAAGATTAGAGTCCAAAGGAAGATATATTAAGGGGGGAAAAAAATAATAATTATTCAATTGATATCCATGATATTATACAATAAAGTACAAAGGCAATTTAATCATGATATTGGGTTATTATTTTTTTGTCTCTCTGTCTGGAAGTTGTTTTTGGTATTGTTTACAAGTAAATTAGAGAGGCGACAATATGGGAAACGATGCAAAAGAAGAGTGAATTATTAGCCATGGTGATCGTTTACATATCGAAGTCATATCCATAGTCAGGCCGTTATGGCTGTAAAATCAACTCGTTCATGGCACTTGGATCATTAGGATTGATTGCTAGTAAAATCGAGAGGTTGAGACTGGATGAGATCGATCGATTTGTATCTTGATGGGATACCTCTTACAACTTTAACTGATCCATCTATGACACGGGGCACATTGGAATCAGTACATCTAGCTAAACTTGTATATACAAGATAGATCTAGTCTGTGGTAGAAGGAAAAGTTTGTTATTTTGATACATTGAAAAAACGATGGAAACGACCTCAGCTTGTAGCTCGTTGTTGTCCATGACCAAGCATCGATACTATAGCTAGAAAAGGAATGCATAGCAACATCGATGATGAAACAATCTATCCTCTACAATTGCTATAGCCATAGACTACGAAGAAAGTGATCCATTTTCAAGCTATGAGCATGATAAAAGCTATTATGCCAGCCTGCATGATGATCCTCCAACACGACAAGTATTCCCTTTCTTTCTCTACAGTATTGCATAGCCATCTCCTAAGTCACGATGACACAGCTTTATCAAGATGGTCAAGCCTCCACTCACTCTACCGTAGACAAGGAGGTGATTCTCAACTGCATGGACTGATGGAAACCCTCCACTTGATCGTCTAATAGCATTGGCAATAACGAATGGATAACATGATTGCTAATCTACTGGCCAAATCAACTGGATCTTACCTAAATAATCGAAATGACGACAAATTTGAGCAGCCATACTTGCACCACCAGCCGTTGTCTTGATCCAATGGTTATGAGTGAGGGTTACAATCAACCCCGGGTAATAGAAAGGGGGGTCAACAATGGGGTGTTGCTTGGTAAGTGAAGCTTCTAACCTACTGTTTGATACTAGCTTACTGTCACTATGCTACAGTATAAGCAAGCGGCTCCTTTCTTGAAGCAGAGCTTATGGTATACAGATAGTACAGCGACCCGGACATGCTGCACCATGGCCTGTACAAACAAGGAAATCTCTACTTAGCAGGTTTCCTTCTATTAGAAATAAAAAGAAAATCTCTGGATAAGTGGATCAGATTGTTTAGTAGTTTTACTAGAGGTTATTATTCACTTTTATTTCTTTCTTTAAAGTCACGGCCTAGTAGAAGAATGGTTCTACCTGGACACCTGGTCTATACCTTTGTTGGGTAATATCGTGAATAAGTGGCACAATAGTACAGTGACATTAATTTTGCTAGTCATTTTTGAGGGCAGCATATTTAGTTATTACTCACATTCATCAGGTCATGAATAACTACTTTATATAGAATATTGAGTTAGTAAAGTATGATCGCTATGTCCTACAATACTATAGTAAGTCTTACAGACTTACAGTCTTGTATTAACATGATTACTATACGCACAGGGAAAATGACGAGCAAAAATAATGTCATGCCTGCAGTACATAGTACATCTGTACCGTCAAATACTGTCGTGTACAGTGTACAGTAGCACATGGTACTGTACTCGATCACGCTAGAGATTGTAGCAAACTGATAGTACAGTGTGCAATGGACGTTCTACAATTCTATACTGTATACTATACACTGATCGCACATAACTGCATACGCAGTAAAAATACGAAGTCGAAGCAAGTCCGTAGTCACGTGGTCAATCGCTGACGTCAGAAGTCAGCCTGTTTTTGTTTTGTAGACTTCGCCGCCGAGCTACACGTGTTGAGTCGATTCAGTATCGTGGTTGAAAACATACTGGATAGCAATAGCTTTTAGTATAAAAAGGGTGTCGATCGTATTGGATCGACACCAGTTTGCAAAGCAAGCACCACCTCAACCGCGGTTGGGTCAACTAGATGTAATTGACTCGCTCGTATCGCGTCATCCAGTAGCAACGACACTTGCACGATCGGGTCATCTCACTCGAGCGCTTCAACTCTTTTTCCTATCCGAGACCTGGACAATTCCTCCAATATGGCAGGTAATTTTCTACATCAAGGCTTGAAAATAACCAGTTAAAAGATAGAATAACGCCTAACTAGTAGCAATAGGACTGCAATATTGTAGATTCAAATGTAATGAGTCGATAGATTGAATTCTATTCATGAATGGCTTGATTGGATTGTAGATACTTCCACTGATCTGAACAAGAAGAAGAAGAAACACAAGGCTGATAAAGCAAACTCAGGTAAATAACACTGATTCTATTGCTTGCAATACATTTCTGATGCTATTTTTAATTGGTATGGACTGGTAGAAATTATTGCTTAATAGTAGTCATCATGCAGTACATTGAAAAGACTATAAATGCACAGTAGAGGGCAGTCAACACGTCGATGTTACCGCTAAGAGAATGTAGGAATGGCTGAAGCTCTAGTCAGAGAATTTGAGCTTTATTTTGTATCGATTGACTCGATCTAGTCTTGCAAATCTAGCGGGTGGATACCTCTCTAATTGTCTATATCCTACCGAAACATAAATTGCCTTGTTTTCATAAATCTTGACGGTAGTAGTACCGTAGTGCTAAATCGATCATATTGCTTCTTATTGAACGATCAATAGTGTCGCAGTACCGTCGTTTCCGCTGTAGTATTGACTGTTTTTTAGTCATGGTGCATGAGCTAGCGCCTTACTTCGTTGCATGGATACACACTCCATGGATCATATCAATACTCTTGCAAACATAACGGATGGATATCTATCTACTTGTAATCGTCTATATCCTACGAAAGCAAATAGCCTTGTTTCATAAATCCTTGATAGTACGACAATGCTAAATGACTTATTATTGAACGATCAATACCATCGTTTCTAGTATTGACTGTTTTTAGCCATGGTACTTGGGTTAGCGCCTAGCTTCGTTACATGCATTCCTTGATGAATCTTATGAGTATTCTTGCATATATGACGGGTGGATATCTCTCTACCTGTAATCGTCTATATCCTACGAAAGCAAAATTGCTTTATTTCGTAAATCCTTGATGGTACAACAGTGCTAAATGACTTCTTATTGAACGGTCAATTATTCCGTCATTTTTAGTGTTGACTGTTTGAGCTAGCGCCTAGCTTCATTACATGCATCCCCGATGGATGGTATCAGCAAAGAGCTTGCAAACATAACGTGTAGATATCTATCTGCTTGTATTCGACTATATATCTTACGAATAACAAATTGCTTTGTTTCGTAAGCCCTTAATGATGCAATAGTACAAAATGACTTCTTTATGAACGATCAATACTGTCGTTGACTTTTTTTAGCCATGGTACTTGAGCGAGCGCCTAACTTCGTTGCATATTGTACATCCCCGATGGATCATATCTATATTCTTGCAAACAATAATGAGTGGAAATCTATCTGTAATCGTCTATATCTTATCAATAGCAAATTGCGTTGCTTGGTAAACTCTTGATGGTATATCAGTGCTAAATGACTTCCTATTGAACTATCAATGAGGTGTAGTCATTGCTATCGTTTCTAGTATTCATTGTTAGCTATGGTGCTTTGAGCTAGCCCATGTACCTCGTTGCATGCATTCCTTATAGATCATACTCGTATCAATATCCCTGCAACAATAACGAGTAGATATCTATCTATTCCTCTATATCCTATGTTAAGCAGATTGCCTTGTGTTCGTAAACTCTTTGATAGTAAAAATACTGTATAACAGTACTAAATCGCTTCTTAACTATTGAGCTGTTTGGTATCATATTATGGCGCTAGCAACTATTGTATACCGAATGCAGGGCCTCTTGTGTACAAATATAGCACTAAATACGGTTCACTATAGCTGAGGCAATCATTTTACAGCTCGTTGGAGAAACATGCACCCAGAGAACTTGATAACGAATTATTCATAAAATCAGCAAACACTGAATTCGTAAAATTATTAGCATTGACATACGATTGATACGAGTATACAGAAAACTACTATAGATTGTCAACAAGCTAGACACACACTGATTTTATATTTGCATGGCTAAAACATAGGAATCATAACCTAAAGTTCATTTTGCATCATACACTAATTTCGGGTACCTCTATTCACCTTTTTTAGCTTCTGCAGCGGATAGCTCAAATCGCACAGTTGGGGTAAGTCGTAATTGACTACACAATAATGTTTCAATATAAAATTTTATCCTCGCATCAAAATCCTGTACATTCTTTTGGACATAGCTGCCTATCTATTACACCCAACTAAACAAGTAAACGTACTATCTTTTACCATAGGAAATTCAACGTCATGAAGACTTTTCTGTTAAACCAGAAAACAAAATCCATAACTTAGATACCTCGGAATGGCCATTGTTACTAAAAGTATGCTTTATATTCAGTGTTGTTATAAATGCCACTATTGATATTCTGACTTTTATGCTGATCTACTGAGCTACTATTGCATGTCGTAAACTTTAAACACGTCCTAAAACAACGATGAAATAATAGATACTAACCCTAATTTTGTTCAATGATATAATCTTTACATTATCCATCTCCATGTCATGTATAGAATTATGATAAATTGAATGTACGCACTGGCCATTACACACCTTTAACAAATGGTATGTCACCACTGAAAAGACCAATTCGTGATTATATTAAGTAAGTACCGTTCAAATATTTCTTTTGAATGAATTTTAAATTTTGTACTCAATGATCATCTACTTCGTAATAACTGAAAAGGGGCTAACACAACTAATTTACACTTAAAATGAATGCATATTTTGACATATAGGTGTGGATTTATAAATTTGGATAAACCGGCTAATCCTTCATCTCACGAGGTAAACCAGAGAAAGTAAAGCAGTAATCAATATACGAGTTTGCAAATATCAATCAAAATATGTATTGAAACATATAGGTTGTAGCTTGGATTCGTAGAATACTGCGAGTCGAAAAAACTGGCCACAGTGGTACACTCGATCCTAAAGTGACTGGTTGTCTGATTGTTTGCATTGAAAGAGCTACAAGATTAGTAAAATCTCAACAAGGAGCTGGTAAGAGAATACATAAAATTAGATAGTTTATACTTTGAGATTAAGTTAACGTGTTATTATTCATTTCCTAGGTAAAGAATATGTATGCGTTATTCGATTACATGAAGCGATTGAAAACGAGGCCGTTCTAGCTAGGGTACCTACAATAATTAACATTACAAACTTATGCATACACTCACTGCATATGTAATTGTCACAAACATACGAGATGGAATGCTAATAGAATGTTACCTAACTCAATTGAACGTATTTTTTTGATATCTTATCAGACACTAGAAACTCTAACAGGAGCACTTTTTCAACGACCTCCTCTTATATCTGCTGTCAAAAGGCAGTTAAGAATACGAACTATATATGAAAGCAAATTGATAGAATTTGATAAAGATAGGCATTTAGGTAATCGGGTTATGCTATCTGATGGTGTGTGCTTGCGAAAGATATTTATGCAATAGAACAGTAGCTAAAGATAGTATCTATTCTGCTTACAGGTGTGTTTTGGGTAAGCTGTGAAGCTGGCACGTATATTCGTACCCTCTGCGTTCATATGGGGTATTTAATTGGCTGTGGAGCACACATGCAAGAACTTCGAAGAGTCCGATCTGGAATCCAATCTGAACAGGTAATTAATATATTTCTCAATAACTATTAAAATAGTCGACTATGTTAGTAGTGTTCGAATTTATTTGTAAAATGCTTTTTTAATTCAACAATTTTCGAATTTGTTCATGTATTCAGGATGGTATGGTAACGATGCATGATGTTCTAGATGCTCAATGGGTTTACGATAACTCCAAAGACGGTAATAGCTATAATTGTAATAACTACGTTCCTAAATAAAATTGCATTAAAAAGGATTCGCTACCAAATTTTAGAAAGTTACCTTCGCCGTGTCATTAAACCATTGGAAGCCCTTTTAACATCCCATAAACGCTTAGTGGTGAAAGATAGTGCGGTAAACTTATATTAATAATTAATTAATCATTATAATCTTAACATTATAAATTTTTTACTGTTACTGATATTGCATAATTTAAATAATTTAGGTCAATGCTATTTGTTATGGTGCTAAATTAATGATTCCAGGACTGCTAAGATATGAATCTGGTATTGAAGTGAACTCTGAAGTAGTAATAATGTCGACAAAAGGAGAAGCTGTTGCTTTAGGTATCGCTCTCATGACAACAGCAGTTATGGCTACTTGCGATCATGGCTCTGTAGCTAAGATAAAACGAGTGATCATGGATAGGGATACCTACCCTAGAAAGTGGGGTCTAGGACCGATGGTAATTATAATTTTGCAACCAATTGAACGTCTACCGGAATTACCTAACCTTAATAATAAATATTGTAGGCTCTAAAAAAGAAAAAGATGGTAGCAGCTGGTTTATTAGATAAATATGGTAAACCCAATCAAAATACACCAGCTGATTGGCAAGAAAATGGTCAAGCCAAAACTGTGTCTTCCATGAATGAAAGTAGTGCTATGAAAACTCCTGATGCTACATCATCGGTATTGGGCCAAACCAAGGTACTCATTAGTACAAGACTTTAACTTTGTTCTTAGCTACTTGCTTAAAAAAGCACATACGTTTGTAGCAATTGATTGATACATATCCTTTCATCATTGTAAATTGTAATAGAGAGTAAGAGAAAGTAGCGATAGTGAATCTAGTGTTAAACTTGAGAAGAAAAAGAAGAAGGACGAGAAAAAAGAAAAAAAGAAGGAAAAGAAGGAGAAAAAGAAAGAAAAGAAAGAAAAGAAAGAAGAAGAAAAGAAGGAAGAAAAGAAAGAAAAGAAGGAAGAAAAGAAAGAAAAGAAAGAAAAAAAAGAAAAGAAAGAGAAGAAGGAGGAAAAGGAAGCAAAGAAGGAAAAAAAAGAGAAAAAAGAAAAAAAGCAAGATGAATCACAAGTTTGTGCAGTATTTAAATATCTTTGCTCTCCAATAGATATAAATTACTCTTGTTAAAGATAAACAAATTTGCAGTTGCATGAACTAAACTAGTGTCTTTACGAATTTAGGAAACGCCCGACAAGAAGAAAAAAAAGAAAAAAGAAAAATCCGTTGTCTAAACAGCAATTTTGTATACTCCTATTAAATTTACTTTATTATGATATTGTAATATTGACTGTACACAGTACATGCTGTTCTGTTTGTACAGAACTATGCAATGCAGTGTTATACAGTATTAACAGCAGAAAGAATTTACATCATGTTGCATGGTCTTCTAATCCAATCTTAATAGCAGTAGTACATCAGAATGCATTTGTTTTTAGCAAGCGATAATTGCAAAAGTTAATTTTTTACATTACTTTTGCTCTTGCATGGATCACTTTTAAAAATGTTCTTACCACAGTTAAAAGTTATGGTACCATATTTTACGCTGGTTGCATAATGACACGTCGTTTAACTTGACCATCATTCACGTTTATCTAGAAATACATTTAATCTTTTATATTTGTAGCAGCTAATGTGCTCCAAAGTCGAAGGTATAAATAGAATATCATAAGAGCTATACAGTATAAAGTATGGAGAAAGATAGAAAAAGTAATTGTTATCAGGCATTATTTGATAATTATAACCAGTCTATACCTGACTGTGGTCAATTGCTTGCTTAATTTTTTGTTAATTCTTTATTCATGATACATTTACACTGCTCAGCTCATGTAATTCCATTAATCAATTGTAACGATGGGTTTGTCAAAGACTTCGGAAAATTTAATCTTGCAGCACTATACAAGAATATATTGGACAAAATTCTGTATTATCTTTTTGGATTACCCCACTGTTGCATTGTTTACTATCGACATTATAAATACAATCTATCCTTACTTAATGTAATCAGTTTTTATAAATTGATAGGATCAGTAATAAATATTGTGACATACGATCTTCACTGTTTGGATACTATTCATATATACTTGTATGGTTTGAACAGGTAGGTGCGCTGAAATACTGTTATGAAATGAGATAGAATACAAATTGACTTGTTCCTTCTAGCCTAATAACTACTTAGTAATTTATTTAATAGTTAGTAACGATATCTAGTCTTGATGCAAATTGCAAAGTTAGAGTTGGCGTACTGTAGTACTCGTTTTGCAGCTGAAGACATTCATAAGACTGTAAATAGGAAATCGACAGTATAGCAATAATCTCCTTGACAGTGCATAGTGTATTATCTAGTTTGGGCCTTTGTTATTTGGTTTTTGCTATTCTAGAAATATACTAGACTACTCGCATAATTTGAACATTATTCAAGACTGCGGTAGCATGTACGCATACAAGCCATTTAATGAATAGTTAACTGCATTGCTTACTTTGATTTCCTTATACTACAATGGTAATATGTACCGGTGATAAACTAGTCTATTATTTTTAATGGCCTAAATTGAAAGGAAGATTGATTGCTGGCATTGCTCTAGATTAGATGCCACTATAGTCTTGAATCATTAAATACCGTATTCGAAGTCGTTTTCTCCTTCCATTCTACGTCGCTCAGCACTTCTACTTTACTTACTGGCACTAGACTACATTAGTCTACTTATAACTCAAAATTGAGTTAAGATGAATTGGCAGCATTACAAAAAAATGGCTGAGATTGCTACTATAGTCTTGAATCTATTCGTCATTTAGTTTATTCTTTAATGACAATAATTATAATTATGCGTATAAGTAGCTACCATGCTGTTAGTCATTTTTGGTAACAGATCAAGAAATTGATGAGACTGCCACTATAGCCTTGAATCTATCCGTTATTTAGTTTATTCTTTAATGACAATGATTGTAAGTAGCTAAGATATTCTTAATCATTTTTGGCAACAGATCAAGAAATTGATGAGACTGCCACTATAGCCTTGAATCTATCCGTTATTTACTTTATTCTTTAATGGCAATGATTGTAAGTAGCTACGATATTCGTAATCATTTTTGGCAACATATTAAGAAATGGATGAGATTGCTACCATAGTCTTGAATCTATCCGTCATTTAGTTTATTCTTTACGAGCAATAATTATGCGTATAAGTAGCTACAATACTCTTAGTCATTTTTGGTAACAGATCAGAAATTGATAAGATTGCCACTGCATGTAGTCTTGAATCTATCCGTTGCTTAGCTCAATCTTTAATGGCAATGATTGTAAGTAGCTACGACACTCTTAATCATTTTTGGCAGCATATCAAGAAATGGATGAGATTGGAAAGTAACTACGACACCCTTAGCCATCTCCTTCTGTATTAGCATTCGTCTATAGTTGGTAACATTGATTAAAAAAAGGATTTGATTTACTGCAAGAAATGGATTAGATTGGATATATTAGCACTAGTCTGTTGTTAATGCTAGTTAAAAAGTATGGATTCATTGGCAGCACTGCAAGCTATGAAATTCCATTGGAAAGTAACTAAGGTACTCGTAGTCATCTCCTTCGTATATTAGCACTAGACTAGGAATGACAAACAGAATTAAAATATTCCTATGCAATCGTTTTGTAACTCTTAATGAATAGGGATATGTAAGATCTTACTCTGTGAACTAGCATAGCCTAAATCATAGAACTAAATACAGCTAATCAAGTTGGTGTCGATGATGGTATGTGGTATTTCTTGATGGAAGTATAGAAGCACCAATTGTGTCCTTAAAAGATTTTAATTACAAGCTACTCTCAAAGTAACTAACGTGTAAAATAATAGCATGTTACATAACAAATTGATCGGCAGCACTGCAAGAATTGGATTCCATTGCCATACCAGTGCAGCAAGAAATAGCTTTAAGCGTTAAAGAGAAATCACTGAGGTATCGTCTCTGCGTGTAGACTCCCTTTAAGGAATCTACTCGATCGTATGTAGAAAATAGACTAAAGATGAAGGGATCTACTGTAGCATAGAAGGTTGCTAACAGAAGAAAGATCGATCTACTCCAATTCCACCATGGTATGCACTACTGTACAATAGTCCATTTCGAAACTAAGCCTTAGATCAACACATTTAGGGTAAATAAACTATTTTGCAAACAAACATTTTTTCCCCAGTCCATGAATTCCATCAACAAGTTAATGTATACAACATGGATAGCCATGCTATGCAGAATATACGATTGGTGTGCTCACTAGCAATACTACACTATTAGGATCCACCGTTCTGTATAATTCATACATAAATAAATTTGAGTATTGCTTCCTACTGAGAGGCCCAACTTTGAATATACAGTTTACTGGAAATCTCAGTTCTCGTGAATAAGTAATTATTGTCCTATGCACTCTTTATTGCTCTACTATACTCGTATCATAATATCCAATACCAACTAGATATTATAAAATATCATATTCGTACATCTTGATGGCATATCTTGAGATATTTCGAACAATCGTGCTCTAATTGAGAAAAAAAGATCAAAAGGAAAATCCAATGGACCAATTTAAATTAATCCTTTTCAATCTTATGTTAGGGCTAATTTGCCAACAAGCGATCGCTCATTGCATCCAGCCAACTCTTCCAACACAAGCCCATTCCCGACAGAGTTTTCCATTTCAACACCGGCAAGAAAGAGCTATAGTACGAGGTAATTATATATTGAATATGCAATCTATAAGTAATAAAAAAACTTCATCAATCCAATCGCATTTTCATGTCCTATTGGGTCTTTTTGTTAATCGCAATGAACTATCGGATCATATATGCTAGTTTAGTATTAAAAATGATTGGTCCATAAGTAAAAAACTCCATCAATCCAATCGCATTCTTATGCCTTATTGGGCCTTTTTAAATCCCAATCAGCTATCCAATTGTATGAAGTAGTTTAGTGTTAAAAATATAATAATTGATCGATATATTTGCTCAAGTTAGGATGGATCCATCTCCCCTTGTTTACTGCTCTTTATGGACAGTATTTATCCTGGCTAGAGTTGGTTTGAACTGAAATAGAATAGCCGTCAATTTTATGTTGAGAAATTACAATATCAAGAGTTTTCCTTTCTACCCATTAGCTTATGTAGTAGCAATGATCACGTCTATCTTTATTTATTCAATCTTGACGACCATGAACAAGATGGATCGTTATTCCTTAGGGCAGTGCTTTGATTATTTTTCGTTCTACATACCAAAGCTATAGACTGCTACATGAATAGGACAGTCGATTGCTAACAGATCGACGAAAAGATGGAGCTAATACCATTTTGGGGGCTTAGTATTCATTGACCATGATACAAACTTGGAAACAAATTAATAATATCCTATAGTTCATCTTTTCCTATCATAGCCCACACGTTGCGACGACATTGGCTTGGGAATAAAGTTGAAAATGTCCGTTGATTCATCTTTTCCGATGGTGATGCACATATTACAACAATATTCACTTGGAAATAACTTGAAATTGCCTTGACTTTCAACTTTTCCTATCATGAATTCAAAGTGTCCTAACGTTAATCTCTTCCTGTCATGATTTGCATATTGTCCGGATATTAACTGGGGAATAAATTTATACTAACGTTAATCTTTTCCTGTCGTGATTTGCGTATTTGTCAGAATATAAACTTGGGAAAAAAATTGACACTAACATTAATCTTTTCCTATCATGATGCATATGTCGTGGCGACATACATTTAGGAATAAGTTCATAATGTCCTTACGTTTATCCTTTCCTGATCACGATATTGTGGTGATATCGATATTAACTTGGTAATCAAATCGAAAATGTTCTAACGTTAATCTTTTCAATCATCATGAGTGACGATATCGATATTAACTTGATAATCAATTCGAAAGTATCCTAGCGCTCTTCTTTTCCTGATCTCTATGTTATGACGATATCAAATTAACTTAGTAATCAATTCGAAAATGTCCTAAAATTCATTTTTTCTTGATCTCTATGTTGTGACCATATCGATAATAACTTGGTAATCAATCAGATAATGTCTTAAAGTTCCTATCATGATCCTAGACGTTGGACGATATCGGTATTAACTTGGTGATCAACTAGAAAATGTCCTAACGTTTATCTTTCCCTGATCTACGAGTATATATTGTGATGATATCGATCGTAACTGGGAATCAATTAGAATTGCCCTAACGTTCATCTTTCCCAGATCTATATATTATGACGATATTAATATTAGCTTGGTAATCAACTACAAAATACCTTAACGTCCATCTTTCCCCGATTTCTATATTACAATAATGTCAATTTAGTAATCAATTAGAAAATGTCCTAACGTTCATCTTTCCCTGATCTATATAGTGTGATGATATCGATCGTAACTTGGGAATAAATTAGAAAATGTCCTAGCGTTCATCTTTCCCTGATCTATATGGTTTGACGATATCGATAGTAACTTGGTAATCAATTATAAAGTGTCTTAACATTCACCTTTTCCTACTATGATCCATAGTTCCATACGTTGTGATGATATTGATAGTAACCTGGGAATAAATTAGAAAATGTAATGTTGATCATGATCCCTATACACGTATTTGACGATATAGATAGTAACTTGAGATTGAATTGAAATTATTCTAACGTGAATCATTTCCTATCCTAACTCATAAGTTAAAATGATATATTTAAGAACAAATACATGTCCTAACCTTTTCATAATGCTATTGAGGTAGGTGGAAGAGAATCATCGATAGCTTACACTGGTGGCCAAGCCAAAATCACCTGTAAAATTTTAAAATCCACTGATCGCGATCCTCCATCCAAGCCGGAATGTACTAATTTGTTCTGTCTCAATAAGCGTAAACTTTACTTTTATTGCTCTAAAACAGAGCAATACAACTATAAGGATAATTGCTTAGCTTGCTGGAAATTTAATGGTAATCTATTGCCTGTAGAAGGACAAGATCAGTTTTCCTTCGGTTTGGAACAGAAATCGGATACAAATTCAGCTTATTATTATTTCAATCTGATTATTAAAAATGTCCATAAGGAGAATGAAGGAAATTATTCGTGTTCACTAACGATGCTTGAATACGGATATAGTCATACAATGCAGGACCTAAGCACTCTTCAAGTCAAAGGTTACCTATTCAACTTGAATTATTAACCAAATTAACGTTTAGATAGAAGTTTTAGTTTGCAATAAACGAAAAGTTCGTTTTTTCTTTCCAATCGTCCACTTTAAAATAGAAGAACAAACTGGCACTATAAAACCTGATTTGTTATTTACAATTATATCTTTTAGATTCATGGATTCAATGCAGTAAGGAAAAAATGATGGAAGTACAGTATGATAACGATGGCAATCAAGCTAAGATTTATTGCAAAGCTTATGGAGCTCCACCTTTGCATTTCCAATTCCAATGGTATCGAATAACTGGAAGGAATAAGACAAAATTAAGTGGAAATTATAATGCAAATCAAGGATCATCTATTATCAATGTACTACCAATCGATCGAAGAAAAGTAGAACAAACTGGAAAGATTATTTGTATTGCTCGAAATACTTTGATCAAGGATTCTCAATGTCAATATCAAGGCAATGTAAATCCACTAGATGATGCTAGTAAGTCAATTCAATCTTGATTAAGGTATAGATAGGGAAAGGAATAAAATAGCTAGAATATTCATTTACTGCACAAAATAAGAGTAGAATTCGTATGTCAGTGTGAGCCATATTGACCTACGCACTACCCGATTTTAGTAAATTGATTCTATCTTGGTTAAAACATAGATAGGGAAAGGAATAGTTTAGCTGAAGTATTCCTTTGCTGCCTAAAATAAGAGTCAAATTCTCTATGCGAGTATCAGTAATACTAATCTACAAAAAATGGCTTAAAAATCCAGTGATGTATCGACAAATAAATGAGTAGACTACATTAATCTGCGTCCTTATACGTATGTTGATTACGGAATAGATACGAGATTTATTCTTGATTTATTCTAAAGTTACTGAACACATTCTGTATTTGGATATAGAAAGATTTTTCCCACGCCATTTCTTAGCTAAAATAAGTACTAGACCTTTCATGCTAAAATTATTGTCATAGATAATCAAAGATAGATCAATTTGGTTCCACGGTAAACTTATTTTTCCCTATATTACTTGCGATATTTCTACTATCAACTAGCTTGGATGGTCACGCTGATTAGTATTTTAGGATCTGGAACACTAACGTTATGTATTATCGGCGTATTGCTAAAAGTAACACGAAATCAGACTATCACTGGGTTGGCCAGAACCTTAGTGACTATACTCAGTAGAGAAGGTAAGTCAAGGTTTATTAGCGCATAGCTTATAAAATTCAATATTCTACTTTACTCGAATTATTAAAGATTCAATCTTTTTTCTATAACACTAAACTAAGATTTATTAGTTCATAGCTTATAAAACAATTCTAGATAGGCTTTATAATAAATTCAATATTCTCCTTTCTCGAACCATTACACCTGCTATTTTTAATCAATAATAACAAAGTCAAGATTAATCAGCTCATAGCTTATGAAATAATTCTAGATAAGCTTTATAAAAATTCAATATTCTATCTTACTTATAAAATAATTGTAGATAGACCTTACAATAAATTGAATACTCTACCTAACTCGAAGTCAAGGTTTATTAGCTCATAGTTTATAAAATAATTCTAGATCGACTCTACTTGTATAAAAATTCGATATTCTTCTACCTTACTCGAACCATAAAAGATGCTATCTTATGTCATAATGACAAAATCAAGATTTATTAAATCATAGTTTATAAAATAATCCTAGATAGGCGTTGTAATAATTCAATATTCTATCTTACTCAAACCATAAAAGATGCTATCTTTTGTCATAATAATTAAGTCAAGGTTTATTAGCTCATAGCTTCTAAAATAACTATAGATAAGCTTTATAATAAATTCAATATTCTACCGCTCTCAAACTATAAAAGATTTTAACGTTTATCATAATAACGGTTATGCAACAGCTTGTATCTAGAGTAGTAGCCTCCGGATTTTCAATCAGTACTTACCCAGTCGTAACTTTCTCGCTATACTCTTCCGTTCATAAGCTTGCTTGGAATTACTATCATTTCTCTTATAAAATAGGATAGAGTAGCTCATACGAGTAAGTTATAAAATATCATGTCATTAGTGTTATAATAAAGCCTTGAGCATATTGATAGTCAGTTCGTCGAAGAAAAATTATTTTATATAATAATTTTCGTCTTGATCTTCGGATATCTTATATATTAATGTATATTATTGCGTCTATCATGATAGTCTTGATAATTCAAACACAACCATTCTTAACTGAAGATATAGAAGAATTTCGTAAGGAAATTGGAGCAACTTATAAAGCCAGAGTCTTCTATATTGACAATACAACTGCATGGGCAGATATGAGAACAGTTGTGGCAAATTTAAAAAGATTTAAAGTTGTCATATGTATCATTAGTGAAAAAATACTGCATGAAGGTGTCAGTAACCTACAATTTAAAGATTTTTTATGTAAAATTATTACTAAATGTATAGAAAAAGAGAATGTGACCGGTATGCCGCCTATACTTATTCTTAAAAAGGAGGAATTTAATCATAGCCACTATCCCGATGACGTCGATCAATTAGAATGCATTGATATTCACTTAAAGGACGAGCAATTTCAGCAATTGCTAAAATCTCATTTAACGAATGAGCAAATTCAATGGCTAGAAGATCATTTTACTGATCAGCAATTCAAGCAACTGCTTAAAATATATTATAACGATCAATCATTTCAGCTATTGCGAGAAAATTGTTTAACCCATGAGCAATTTCTAATGTTACTTGTAAGTCATTTAGACGATGACCAATATCAGCAATTACTAAAAACTCAATTAACTGGTGAGCAAATTCAATACCTAGAAGATCACTTAAATCAGCGGCAATTACGACAATGGATTAAAAATTATTTCACAAATCAACAACTTCAAATATTACAAGAATCTCGTTTATCAACCGATCAAGAATTACAGCAATTGGTAGAAAACCAGTTAACTGATGATCTACTCCAATCATTCCTGCAAACTCGTTTAACAGATGAGCAAATTCAATGGTTAAAAGATCATTTAACTCCTCAGCAATTAAAGCAATTGCTTAAAAATTATTCCATCAATAGACAATTTCAGCCTTTGCTAATAGCTCTTTTAACCAATGAGCAATTGGAACTGCTGCTTCAAAGTCATTTAATCGATGATCAATTCCAACAATTACTCAAAAATAGCCTAACTAGTCAGCAAATTCAATGGCTAGAAAATCATTTAGCTGATCAGCAAAGCAAGCAATTTCAACAAGTACAAACAAATAGGTTAAGTACTGAACAATTTCGTCAGTTGACAGAGAGTCATTTAACCCATGATCAATATGAACAATTACTCGAAAGCTTTGCTCGATTTTACTATTACGATTGGAAGGATTGAACGCCTTTGGCGTAAATCGTCTTAGTCCATCCATAAATAACGAATAGGATTAAAGTTAGAGCTATGGTTGAGAAGGAAACTACTATAAAAGATTAATAGTAATTTTCCTATCACTGCTCTATCTAACTCAGAATTGAATAACATAGGATTGGCTGGCATGGATCTAAGTCCGTTCAGATCAAGTGAATAATCCAAATGCTTATCTCACGCTATTTCTCTACATTATTCGATATTATAAATCATTAATCAAATTTAAAGAGAATTTACAGTGAAAAAATATCCAGGATTAGTAATGTTCTAAAGAATTTAGAATGTATGACTTCTGATGTAATCATCAATCCAATTTTATTCCATGTTATTTCTTTACTTCATTTTATTAATCACATATCGAGTTTAAAAATCATCCACGAATAGAAGAGATCACCAATTGAAAATAGTGTTAAAAGAATGATTATTGTAATTATTGATCGAAATTTTATTTATATCATTTCTCTGCTCTATTCTGTTGTATTTCTGAATCATCCATTACCTATCGAGTTCAAATAAAATCTAATACAGAGTATCTCTAATTACGAATATTGTAATAAATGATACCATTAATTAGCAACTAAGTTTAAATAAATTCCTTAACAGAGAGTCTCATCAATTAAAAATATTTTAACAAATGATACCATTAATTAATTATTGGCACCTACCCGAGTTTAATTAAATAAAATTACCTAATACAGAGTCTCCCCAATTAGAAATATCTTTAATAAGTGACAACATTAATTATCAGCACTTGCCGAGTTTAAATAAAGTCCCCTAATACAGAACCTCACCCAATAAGAAATATTGCAATAAATGATTATTGTTGTAATCATGGATCCAATTCCATCTACATCTGTATGATTAAATTTGATTCTTCATTATTTTCTGACTCATCGAATCTTATACTAAGACTTTAATAACATTTACAGTAATTTAATCTGCATGATTAAATTGGATTCTACAATATTTCCTTGCCCATTTAATTTTAAACTGGGGCTTTAATAATATCTACTGTATTTTAATCTATATTATTCTACGCGATTCAGTAGGACTTATTACATGTGAGGAGATGGGATAAATTAGGGTTAGGGTAGCAAATAGGATTACGATCATTGATGCAATGCCATCGACATCAAGTCTACGATACTATTCTATGTTAATTCTTTCTCTACTTTACAATATTAACCACATATCCAAATGTAGTAAAAGGACTAAAAGTAGAGTCCTTTGTAGTTTTTAGTATGTAATTAGTATTATTTTACTATACAAAATACCTAGAAAGTGATAGTGTCTTTAAGTTTTACCCTGCCAAATCATCATGTCGCCATCTTTTCTTCTTCATTATTTTACAAGGTATTATATAGATTACTATACAAGTAGCCCTATAGAGCAAATGCCTAATCTAAAGAAAGGGCGTTTGATCGTCTATTCAAATTGTAAAGAAATTTGACTTAGTAGCAAAACCCTATCCTTAGAGAAAGGGGATTTATAACATGACGATAAAGTACTGTAAGGTAGTCTATACTCGTACAGTTACAGTACAATCTGACGCTAAAACATCAACTGTCAATACTCGCGAATACTAAGCGATACTAATGTCAGAAAAGTAGTCGTAGTAGTCATATAAATTTTTTGATAAGCGATTACTGTGATCTTTATAAAAAGCGAATTTTTCCGGATTTGTGTCCGATATAGTTTTCGGATTCTGGGACCGGTCGGGTTTGTGTCCGATATAATTTTCCTGTTTTGGAACCGGTCGGGTTTATTTTTAATTTATGTCTGAATTATAATTTTTCTGTTTTAATTTTTGGATTTTTGTTCATGAAAAATATCGTAAGAGTTGATTTTTGAGATATGGACTTTTTGTTATGAATTTGAAACTTTGGAATTTTATGGCGTGACTTGAAGTCACATTAGGAGATTTAGTGAGGAAAATAGAAAATAAGATGGAAATTGGCAGAGGTTGTGTTGATTGTTAGGTAGTTAGAATGTTATTTTTATGACTAAATCTTGATGTTTAAAGGTTGATTTTTAGCTTTTTATAGTGTATTAATGATAGAAATTATATTAGAAATGAAGTTTGATGTATTTTTATAGTTAGCTTATTGCTTTTATAGTATTTTGTAAGGGAATCGTAGGGTAAATTGTGTCTGAACTTTGAATGATTTTTGTTTTCTTAAATGGTGCAAAGTAGTTTTGTAAAACGGATCTTAAGAGCGATTGGTTAGCAAATGTTTAGTTTTAAATACCTCTGACGGCTCTATGAAGCCTATAAATGATAGTGCAATTAGAAAATTTAGAGGGAGAGTAGAAGAAGATTTTATTTGAAGAACTTGTTGAATTTAAAAGGCCTTCGGGGTCGAATTGTCGTAAGTTAAAACGTTCTTGTTTTTGAAAGGTTGTTTGGTCGTTGACAGTTTTTAAGTCTGTCATTTATTTTAATAATACTTAAAGCTAAGTATTTGTAAGGTTATTCGGTTTATACTTCTCTCCATTTTTGTTTTGAAATAAATTGCTGTTCGGTTATTTCCCCAAATTTTATTTGGTGTCAAAGTATTAGCGTTAAGTCGACCGGAGTGCAACGAAAGTAGAATCAAAGTTTGTTAAAGTTTTGTAGCTTGATCTCTACACATTTCATTTCATTACACAAATATAAACAGCATCTACTTATGGCGAAAAATCGTGAATTAGTAAATAATGTCATCAATCATTTCAGTGACTGAGCTAAGTCCATCAACATCGGAAGGTACCATCCAATTTTATTCCATGCTGATTTTTCTCTACTTCATATTCGAATTCATCACTTATAAACAAAGATAAATAAAGTTTCTCAGATAAAACGTATGGCAAATTAGAAATAGTACAATAAAATTACTTTTCATTGATGTGATTCCAATTACATCGACTAAATTATCTTGAATTAATTTAGATTGAATTGAGAACTTCATAATCATCTGTACTGCCGTATACTCTGATCTACTATTTGATTTTTACACTATACAAAATATATAGCGTCAAAATAAACTTTTCAAGTCTACGAAATTTTCAGCTAAACTGGATAGATTCATGACAATTAAATAACATTTTCTCCAGTATTGATCACTTAAACGTACTATAATAAATGAGCAACTGCATATTATACATTTACATAATTAGTGAAATGATTAATATGATGATGTCACTAACAAATAGCATTCTACAGTACTGCACCTTCTATTAATCAAAACAAACTTTTAACGTCTACAAAACTTTCTAAACTGGCTAGCCCCAAGATAAATAAACAATTTTTTCCCAGTATTGATCACTTAATTCTAATTTTATCATTGATCATTCATGATCGATAGTCAAAATATTCTTTACTAAGGATAAGCGACATACGATTTTCTGACATTAGAAATCAATACGAATTCGAACAAGAATAAATTGCATTGCCATTCTTATTGACTATTTCTTATCAGACTATTTCGATTTAATGAGAATAGTACATGAGGTAGATAAAGTCAAGACTGTACCAACCTTCCTATAACTGATTTTGCTGTTAAATGTAACCGAGAAGAAAAGATGAATTACTACAGAATTCTAGCTGGATGGTTTATCCTCTTCATGAATAGTTCATTCATTCATACCGGTAAGAATATCAATGATTGATCTATTCCTTAGCTTTATAATCTTGTGTTTAGAATTTTCAACTTTGATCTAACAACATGCCACACCCCTTGGAAAAGATTCGAATTGCCGATCAACTATACCACCTTATGAACCGCTATCAGGTAACTTCTTGTGCTGAAGTTCGTTGTGATATCGATAATTAGAATGCCATTACAACTAGTGGATATCCGATATAATCACTTTACATTAGGTAAAACTAGGCTATTACGAATTATCTAATCATATTATCACTTGTTTGCAATCAGCTGGTATCTTTTACTATAGTTCGATATATTGCTCGTAAAATAAAATGGCGTCCCGACTATGGTAGATATCTAAAGTAATCCTTCTACAATCGCCAAAAACAGATTATGACTAACATTAGATCAATGTATTGACTACTATCAGTTTATACCTTGCACTCAGTATATAATGTTGATAAAATAAAATAGCATCACAGCTGACAGATATTCAAAGTAATCCTTCTACAGTAGTAAAGCTTGGGCTACTTAGGTTATCACTAGATTATTCCATTCTATGGATTGTTATCAGCTTGTATCTTCTACTATAGCTCAATAAATTGTAGAGTAAAATAAAAATTACATCACAGCTGGCAAATATGCAAAATAATCCTTCTATAATGACAAAACTAGGATTATTAATACTGTTACTAGATCATTCTATGGATTACTAACAGCTTGTATCTTATACTATTGTTCAATAGAATATTGTGATAAAATAAAACAGCATTACAGCTGATAAGTATCCAAAGTATTCTTTCTATAAACGCAAAACTAGGGTTACTAATACTATCAGTAGATCATTCTATCGATTCCTATCAGCTTGTATCTTGTACTAATAGCTCAATAGATTGTGGAGTAAAATAAAAATGGTATCACAACGGTCAAATATCCAAGTAATCATTAAACAATTCCTAATCATAAACTACTGCTGATAATAATTTAATCATTCTATCGACACCTAACAGCTTGTATCCTACATCCGTTATAGTCCGATATAATTTCCGTAAATTGAATTATATAACAGTTAGTTGATATCCGAAAGTAATCATCCTATAATAGCCAAAACGACTAAGACTGTAACTAGACCTTTCATCAACTGCTGTCAGTTTGCATCCTACACTACTGGACTAGTACAGCGCAATAAAACGTCGATGGAGTAAAATGCCATTATAGCTGATGGTTAATATGCTAAAGATCATCTTTAAGCAGAAATATGTTATATCGATCGTAATATAGTAGATAGATTGTCATTAGGGTTACCGATTGTAAAATTAATTCATTTTCCAGTAAAGGAATCATTACTTGAAATTAGTAAGAAATTAACTTCAACTATAAATTACTTAATCAATTGATAGCTATAGCACCAATTTGATGACAATATAGACGATTATATTTCAATCTTGATTCTAATAGTGTACCGATATGATTCATGGAAGATGATATTAGATTGAAAAATGATTAAAGTTTCTATTGCCTCTGCAATTGGGAGAGTATGATAAATATCCTAATAACTTGCTATCGTTTCATGTATTTTCATTTAGATGAGCAAATATCAAAACTTAATAGCAGCATAAATCTGTTATCAGCACAAGCTTATGTTGGAGCTGATGGCTACATAAGATGTATAATAAAAATCGATCCAGAACCTACCAGCAATTGTAACAAAAAAAATGTAGCGAAGCAATGTAATATATGCCCAGAGGAACTGTGTCCTGGATGTCGAGATTCTCCAGATAAAACGTGCTGGGATTGCTGGTTTAGAAATGGTGAAAAATTACCGATGCAAGAGCCCAATAAATATGATTACGACATTTCTCAGAATCATCCCTCTGGTCAACACCTGTCTCAATACTATGAATTTCACCTTATCATTAGAAATGTCACTGAAAAGGATGCTGGATATTACAATACTGAACTAAAAAGATTATGCGAATATGAAGGAAGTTTTTCAAATCATAGCACTAAACTAACGATAAAAGGTGCCGTAATGACTAATATAATATCTATCTTTGATTTGTAGAATGATATTTGACTAGCTCTACAATTAAATATTCTGCTAATATGGATACAAATACGGATATCTCCAATATATTGGAGATATCGTCAGTATTTTTCAAATTGTTAATGTTAATCTTATAGCAGAACTTTTTCAAAGTGATAGAAATTTATTTGAAAATTAATACGTGGAATAACTTATATTTTATCTCTGCGTCGAGAACCACAAATAGGATGATAAAAAATCGATAGCATCTGTTACAGGGGTATCAACATCCGTTACTTTACGTTTACTAGTAGTTATAGAAGTCATGACATCCTGATGAGGAAAATTATGAAGTATCAGCAGATTTATTAGAGTGAAAAAAGATCAGATGATATGGTACTACGTTATCAGGATAGCAATAGGTACAAGCGTTTCTACATGCTGATGCACATAAGAATGTTCTACCCAGTATCTAGCTCTATTTCAAATAGATTAAAAATTATTTTCTATTTATTATATACTATGATCTAAGATATAGATATATAAATACCCTTTCTATATAGATTTGGTATGAGTATAAAATCAGGACCATACTAAGGATTACAGTTAAATATATATTCACTGTACATATATACATATATACTGCGAATGCAGAATACAGACAGAAGAGTACATAGTTGTAGCCTTTACATCTTTAGAAAGCATTGTGAGATCAAGTTAGGTATAAACACTTCTACATGTTTGTGTACATAAGAACATTTTACATAGCATCTAGCTGCATTTCAAATAGACTAAAATTATTATCTTTTTATAATGTACAATGATATTAGATATAGAGTTGGTTAGAGCATAAAACTAGGATCATACTAAGAATTACAGTTAAATGTTTACTTAACAAAATCATAATTTAGAAATTTTGTATCTCATACTTATTGATAGTATATTATCCATATAGAATTTAACATTAATTAGAGTGATGATTAGCAAAGTACTAGGAAATTGATTGAGATAGATATAAAGATATTCCGTAGATAGTAAGAATTCAAGTAGAGTGAAGTGATTGATTACATATTTATTGATAGACTACTATAGATATGTAGACATCAATGTAACAGGAACTTTGAGTTAGAATAATACAGAGCTAGAGTTAATAGGCTAATCTGGGCATACAATTTCAGATACAACAGAAATTTAGAGTCCGAATTATGGAAACTTATAGATAAATAATTCAGAATTCATATTTCATCCATACAAAATGTAGGATGGATAGCAATGATCCAAGAATCATTCATTAGCATCATCTTTAGTAAAAGGACTCTATGAGAATTAGAAAGAGTAGAAAAGACTCCCTTTCAGATTTTCTGTCGATATCTACTAAATATCAATTTGACTTTCCAATAATAAATTACTTCTTATTTCATATATAGAACCGTCATTTAATTGTCTTCAAAAAACAACTATGGAAGTACTAGATACAAAAGACGAATATTACGTCGACATATTTTGCAGCGTAGAAGGAGCTCCGCACTCACATGTCCAATTTCTATGGTTTTCTGAACACGGAATTATTGCGACAGACTCAGAGGGTGAATGTAGTTATTCTAACGGATTGAACATAACTAGGAGATTGCGGATTAGTCGAAAGAGAGCAGAAAGGCTAAAAATGATTTATTGTAATGTTACCAATTCTTTAATAAAGAACCGCTCATGCCTCTATGAGGCCTATATTAGTCCAATACCTGATTATAGTAAGCATACTTCATTTTAATAATAGAATAGCGGATAGAATAGATCTAATATAGGAGCTTACAATATTGCTATTCTTTACATAGTATCTTTTCTTAATTTTTTAGCTTGGAGTTTCATCGTGAGTATCATCTTAGGCTCCGCAATATTATCTGTCATCAGTGTTAGCATATATCTAAAAGCAACAGAAAATCGAAATCTAATATCTATGCTAGAGACCTATATCTATATAAAAAAAACGAACGGTTAGTTAAGATTATAAAGGACATTTTATGAAGATTTATACGGATCTAATGTTATTTAGCACACTACACTTTTTGTCAATAATTTCGATAACCATATCTACTAATTAATAAAATATGCCAATAGAATGAAAGCTAGGATAAAGATATTTAGTAACTTTTATAAATGCTGAAGTTATACTCTTATAGGTTGCTCGTTATTATGTAAATAGCTTATACCAACAATATAGGATAAATAACAGCTTACGGATATTGATGTTGTAACCGCTATACCCACCTAATTTATTTTGCTTACCTCGATATTTGCGTTAATAGCGCCTGTACTATATCGTTATAAAGTACGCCATATCAAAACTAACTAATAGTAAAGGAAGCGAACTCTATTCTACGCAGATTAGAAAAAAATTACAATGGAAACTAGGATATAATTATATGTATTATATCGTTGTAAAATATACAGTAGTAGATCCTTCTAAAATAATCAAAAGGATCATAAAGGTACACTCTTTATAGATAGAACTGTAATTGAAATGAATTAAAATTATGAATTTAACATCGCATCATTACTTCAACGCTATATCTATATCAAAAATCACAAGAAATAAAATTGCAATGAATTCAAATTAGGGGTTACAAGAATTGAAAGTATACTTTACTTTAGTAAAATATTATCAATTGAAATTAGGTGTTTATGTCACACTGTTGGGATGTATAAATGCACAGTTTCTATATTATAAAGCTAAAGTAAATGAATTTTCTATTATGTTGTTGATGAAATTACAGAAAAAGGAGATTACAAATTTAAAATATAGCCATAAATCTAGATATTACACTATATGTGTTATATTTTTTCTAGAAGGAAGGGGAAGTTACATTAAAGTTTATCTTAAATCATTAGCTATTATTATGAATTAGTTTATGTTAAAGCATATCTTAAGCTATTCTTATAAATTTACGTTATTTCTATACTTCTAGATATTACATATGTTATTTTCTGCTTGATTTATATTAGAATATATCTTCAGTTATCAACTATTCTTACAAGGTTACATTATATCCATAGTTCTAGATAATATATATGGCTTTTTTTATTGGTCTGTATTAAATTATCAACTATTCTTATAAATTTACGTTATATTCATAGTTCTAGATACCATATGCACTGTATGTTTTTATTTATATTAGAATAAATCTTTAACCATTAACTATTATTTTTTTATTGTCATAACAGTATTGTTGATACAATCACAACCATTCATAACAGAAGATATGGAAAAATTCTGCCAAGCGATTACTACAAAACACAATGTCAACGTTCTTAGGGCCATCCCTACTCAGTGGATTGATATGAAAACCATTCGAGAAAGCTTGACAAGATTCAAAGTTATTATATGCGTCATAAGTGAAGCAACTAAATCGAATACAGTACAAAAAAGATTTCAATTCAAGGATTGGGTTTGTAATATTATTAAAGGTTGTCTGGAAATAAGTAACGATGATATACCGCCCCTATTTATAATCATGAATGATAAATTGAATCAAGATGAATATGAAGATGATATCAATACTTTGGAGTACATTACTTGCAACGATAAATTAACAGAAGAGCAAAGAGAACGACTAGAAGAAAGCTTTTCTCGATTTTATGACAAAGACTGGACGATTTAGACATGCGATTAATTGAAGTTAATACGATAAATAAATGAAATAGAACTATTCTTAATACAGTCTGTATGATTTACAAGATGATGTTTTTGCTGGTATTTGTAAGGTGTTTAGCTGAATTATTTCCATTCTTTTAATCAATATATTTATAAATTATACTAATATAAAATGATGAAACTATAGTTGGTGAATACTCTAGAGCTCTATTAATGGTAATCATCAGGTTTCGTTATCTAAACGATCATCATCATGCGCAATAAATATGCGATGATTAGATTAACATTATTTAAATGGATGCCTAATTGTTTGATTGCAAGAAATTTTTGATCGATAAATAAAGCTCATTATAGATTCCAAGGTGAAATTTGAAATAGCATTTATTTTCAGTCCTGCTACATGTAAAACTAATGTAGTAGTCCATGGGGGTATACTGTATAGTATTGCGATATTTTGTTGAAATTAGCATTCAATTTCAACAAAACATTAAATACAAGGTGAAAATTTAGGGATATAGCTCCTGAATAACATAGTCGTGATGTTACATAATATTATATACTCGTATATTTCATTAAACGATAACTGCATTAGCATCAGTGTTATGTAGCATTAAACTTATTGATTATTATTAACTTCGGCTTAAAGACTTTCTTTCATAAACTATTTTTACCGCCTAATAAGAAATATGGTAAAAATGAAATTTCTTATCGAAATGCTGCAGAATGAGTAGTCGCAAATCGTCAATTTTCTCCAACCCATTTCTTCCTAATCTTGCCTTCCTTACTTATTAGGCTCATAAGCGGATATCCACTTTCCGGATGTCCGGTGCTATAGTAAAGTCCGTGACGACTAATTAGAAAACTAGAAATGGCCCTTGTCTTAAACACTTGTTCATTTTACAGTAGTTAACCCCAACAAAGGTAGCCATTTATGACATAGTATATGAACAGCAATGCTAATGTAATATAGAATAACTCAAGCGTCACGTAGCCTATCAAGATAACCTCCCATCTACAGCGATCTCGTTTACGACTAGCTTTATCAAGCATCAAGATTAGTAATCAAGATATCCATTAGCTCGAGACATTATCGAGTACTTGGTAGAGATTATCCAATTGTAGCTTCCAAAAAACAGATCCTCAATTGACTTTGGAGACATAATAATCATCCTTGTTTATAGAATAATAATTCAAATTATCTTTCATGAATTAACTTGATCACCAGTTTACGCTGCTATCGGATCATATTCTTACTGTATGTAAACTTTGTGTTGATTTATCTGATTGTATTGTGATTAGATATGCATTGTAGCTAGATTAGCTCATTAGATGCCTATAGTTTACTCGTATTCAGACAGTTCAACAGATTGGTTACTGAAGTAATTGCTCTCATTATTCATCTTGATAGAAATCCAAGTTACACTTTATCTCAGTATAGAAGATAATACTATTCATATCCAATGGCTGCAAAAACGGTTCCGACAGTTACTACAAGGTATTCTACTACGTATACGAATCGTAGCCAGTAATAGTAACCGTGCGAGTTTTCTAATCTTCTATTAACTGATTAAATTATTATAATAAATAATCATAATAGCTGCATGAATATACTGCTTATTATATTCTCTAGAGTCATAGAAGTAAGGTACAAAACTGCTGACAGAATTGATTTGTTACTACTCTATAAAATATGATTTACAACGTCCATGCCATTTTATTTAGTTGTATTCTATCTAGAGATAGTAGAGCACCTAACTGTTAGTAGAATAGATTTGTTTCTAATCTATTAAACATGTATTATAACGCCAGTGGTAATTTATTTTACTATAGCGTATATTTCTGGAGATAGTAAAGCAATTCACTATTGACAGAATAGATTTGCTTCTAATCTATTAAACATGATTTATAGCGCCGATGGTATTTTGTTTTACTGTATATTATCTAAGGATAATAAAGCATCTAACTGTTGATAGAGTTGATTTGTTTCTAATCAATTAAATTAAACATGATTTATAACGGCAGTGGCACTGTACACGGATATTATCTAGAGATAGTAAAGCATCTAACTGTTGAGAAAATTGATTTCTAATCTATCAAACATGAGTTATAATGCCGTTGGTACTTTATTTTCCTCTACATTATAATTATCTAAATATAGTAAAGCATCTAACTGTTGACCGAATTGATCTGTTTCTGATCTATACTTTATTTACCGACTGCGTTGATTTAAATTCGGGTAGATCGATTAAGAATTCATCGACTGGTATCGATATGCATGTCCTAGATGCAGTCACAACACACTCTAATGGGTCGATTCTATATCAAATTGTTGTCGTAACCAACCTTGCAGAACATAAAGGTTCCAACTTCATACAGGACGATGTTGTGCATTTTGTGGTATGAATTTCAAAGTTATACATACTGCGATAATGATGGCACACGGTGACAACATTATTGTAACTTACTGTTCATTTTAAAACCTTGTTGTCCATATGAGTAATAGTCCTATTGCTAGCAAACGTAAAATCTGACTAGTGTTGCTGAATCTACGGAATATCGGTCCACAATTTTATTATTTTAAAAACTGCATCTGTATCGTTGATACTGACAAGCTTATTAATTAAGAATAATTCTACGTACGGTATAATCTTATAGGGTTTTATTTATATCTAGGTAAAGCATGATTACGGTGCTTTCGAAGGATTTTATAGCAAATTATCAGAAAGTTACCCCGCATCGATACTACCTCCGTTACCAGGGAAAGCATTCATAGCAACTGAAAGCACTATCAAAAAGCGAAAAAGAATGCTAAACGCGTTGATGGAGTTTATTGCATCCTCATCCAAATTATCCAACTGTGAAATCGTTCAACAATTTTTAGGTGTCAAAGACAAACGTCAGACAGTGGCTACAAGTCGACCCGTGGATGCAACTGATAATCATCCATTAAGTCAAAATTTTGAAGCTGATGATAATAAGTATGGCGTATAAAGCTGTCATAAGAACAAATAGACTGCATTAGTTATCGTGGTGCAAGCGCAGAAAATCGTCCTTGTCGCTAAAATAATCCCATTAATTGATTGATATTGTATACTTTAAGGACCGAGATCAAAGAAGATTCAGACGAAAACAAGCGCGACGACGACAACGATGATCTATTCGGCAGTAGTAGCACTAAGATAAGATCTGGTGGTAATTTTTCGGTCGATAAAGGGCAAGATACAAACTTTGGTAATTACGATACAAGAAAAGATACAGGAGATCTATTTGCACCAACATCTGAACATTCAGAGCAGGCACAAGACCAATCAGAAGAAACAACAGTTGTTTTAGAGTAAGTCTTAAAATGGGCTAGAGTGCTATTTACGCCCTATTTTCAAAAAGTTGATACCAATTTATTCTCTTCAATAATATACGTAATAATATATCTTCATAATCACTTGCTATATATTTTCTGCTTTATTTATCGGATTTAGTTTAGGTAATGACGATTTGGATGATTTGATGAAACAAATAGATGACGGTAACAGTAATAAACCTAAGCCTAAGCCAAAACCTAAGCCTAAACCAAAACCGAGACCCACGGCCGTAAATCAAGCAAATGTCAATCAAATTGATAACATTGGTGATAGTTTGCATAATATAGATATTTCTGATGTTAGTAAGTATATTCAAGATAATTCTGCTGATGATGACGTTAGCTTATTTTAAACTTCCGAAAAAGTGACGATAGTACAGATTGGATTCATTCTTTTTATAACAATGAATTGATTTAAGTTCTAAGATTGCCTTTAGGTGAATGACTAGTATTAAATAAGTGTCTGATAAAATAGACCTGTACAATAGCTACAGAAATCATAACGAAACATTCACATAGAGACCACATTTGTACTCTAAAGTTATTGCCTTCAGCAATATTTCTGTGGCGAGCCTCCTTGGCGGTAGAAGCACTAAGCATTTTTTGTACCATTTGAAGATGTTCTGATGTCGTTCGTAGAAAATCCTGCAATTTACGATATCAATATCATTTTGTTAAGTAATTTTATATTATGAAAATTCGAAACGTTTAAAATATTGATTATAGTTTATGATTCTATCTATTCAGTTAATTAATCAGATTATAAGATATGCGAGCCATCTGTTTACTATAAAATTAGCATGTCAGTCAAATAGAGATAGAGTATAGCAATTACCTCAATCTTTTCAATGTTTGAATCATCATCTTGTAAACCTGTCGTTTTCATATTCCAAGATTTATCTTGAGTAGGATTGAGGTAAAAATAAAGCGTCTTTGAAGAGATCTTACTGAAGGCATTACTAAAGCAAAACTCGTAGTCTCCACTTTCAGTTGCTTTCATTTCGTGATATCCTTCTGATCGCCTGGTTTCGGAAACGATGATTGTCTTTCCGGGAGAAATGATGTAAAAGTCGACATCTAGCTCTCCACCTCCACCGGTTACCTAATAAGAGAGTAATATCGGCATTAAGTACTTTTGCATGTGCCATAGCCTATGCTTAGTTCTAATAATTAATTAATTATCGACCATATCAATCAACTGTAGTTAATGTTGAGAGAAGTTTTAAATCAATACTCTAGTAGTTATAATTCATTGTAATTACATATTACAGCCAAAGGTTGTCCTATATTTCAACTAGATTAATTACCTATTAACTAGTAACAGTCTAGCTTGCATTGTGTACACTGAACCCTTGCTATTGACAACATCTTGTACGATACATTACAATACGGGGCTTGCACAGAAAGGTTCACACTGCACAGTGTGAGAACTGCATAAATTGTAGGTTATTACAATATTTGTCTACTCTACTTTGTAACTAACTCTACTATGCAAAGCTACGACTACTGCAGTACATTTCAAGTTAAGCGGATAGATAATATAGCGGTTTGGTGATTTCATCAACTGTTTTTTTGTACTTATAAATTATATATTATTATAGTGCTTTCAATCCAGTACTATCATGCATATCATCCCTATTTTTACAAGTCATGAAATAGCTCAATATCCAAGATAGATGACTTGTCCCCACATAAATGATCTCCTGCATCGGGTCTTGCGCTCAAATAAAATTGACCACTAACTTGATGCAATTGTTTTCAACGATGGACATTAACCTCAAGGTGGACGATTATTCTCTACATAAACTATCTCCTGTATCGCGCTTAAATGAAATTGACCACCAATTGGATGTAATTGTTTTGGTTAAAAAGCCATTAGGATAGACGATTGCTCCCTACAACTCGTAAGTGTATGTTAATCACTTATATGGTAGAATTGTGCATGATCCCTTCCATTGCCCTTGTTGAAGTTATAGACGCAATTTGTAGAACATTTAAAAAAGACAATAGACAATAGGTACAGTACATTATAAGGGTCTCCCCTGTAGTGATTATATAATATTCGTACAGTATACCAATTGAGACTGTATCTTAGATTGACTTTAAAATGTATAAATTTATGTAATATGATGTAAAAAGAAGAGACTGATCGCGAATAGGAGCTGATAGTGGATTAGGGTCCTAATTCCAGTATCAGTAGTAATAAAGTACATAGTAAATTGTAGTAGACTGTCAACCTGGATATTTAACGAATGGTGACTCCATTTTATCCCAACGTGGAGTTATCAAATCCATACCAACCTCTTATTAACAGATCCTAAATTTGGGCATAGGTATGAACTGGTGGATGCTTCTTTTTCACAAAAAATGACATTAAATTGGAGGTCCATTTCATTTGAGTACAATTTATCTAGAGAGCAATCATCTGCCTTGATGCTCCTAGATCGGAAAACAATTGCATCAAGTAAGTTGGTGGTCCACTTCATTAGAGCACAATACCCGATGCTGGAGATTCTTTACGTAGGGAGCAATCATCTACCTGAATACCCCCCCGATTTTGCAAAAAAAATTATATCAAGTTGGGTGGTCCATTTCATTTGAGCACAAATATCCAAGAGATAGTTTGATGCAGGGAGGAATCGTCTACCTTGATGGTGTTTGATCGAAAAACACATCAAGTTGGTGATCGGAGGACAATACCCGATGTAGGAAATACTTTATACTCATACGCATTACTTTATGTAAGGAGCAATCATCTACTTTAATGGCCCCTTTTGCAAAACAACTACAACAAGTTGGCGGTCCATTGCATTGGAGAATACCGTCTAGGAGGAGATAGTTTATGATATGTTATAGAGGGAGCAATCATCGTCTACTTTGATGCTCCTTAATCGGAAAACAATTGCATCAAGTTGGCGATCCATTTCATTCGAGCACAATACCCAATATAGAAAATACGTTATACTAGTACTAATTCAATTTGTGTTTGATCACAGTAAGTGGATTAGTTTAACCTGGATGTCGGCCATGGCCGAATAGAATGAATCATCGATTACTGTAGACACTATTGCATTTCTTACCTGGTATTCAGCATAAAAGGTCGAGTTACTATGGATATTCTCGAAATAGCAGTCCGTCACTCCGGCATCGAGCTGGACAGTCATATAATTTTCGCCTACACTATTGCAAATACAGTACAGTAAAATCAATACAGTAAGCCTATAAAATGATGCAGCCATTTTCTCTCTCTCTCTTGACGTCGATAATGATGGATTTAAACTTGATCGAAGGACATTTCTATCCACTATAAGTAAGTAAAATAAGCAATATCAATCTTCGACGCAGTCGACGTAGGCAACACTGGAATGGCTGCTACAACACGCCAAGTCTGATGGCCTACAATGACCTAGACTGCAGCAGCCGCCGTCGAATGAGTACAATAGGTTGACTATTGTCTTCTTCTGCAGGGTTTGAGCACGCGTAGTTGGTGTATTGACACGTTTCCATCAGGGAGAAATGGTGAAGGAATGCAATGGAGGAGCTTATCCAACGGGAGTACGCATCTCTGTTAAATGAGCACATTATCGTAAACCGTCAGTAAAGCGACGGGAGTTTGCACTAGTATCGTCTAAAAGCTGTTGTAAACACTTCTCTTCATTCTAGCCTTAATATGCAGATGCTCCATTCCGTAATGGACTTATATTTCTAAACTATTTCATTGAAACTTATTCTACTTTTGTCACTTACATCAAGTCATCAATGCTTTTGAATTCCTAGTACCCCTACTAACACTATCACTCTTTTTCAACATTTTGCTTCTTATTTGGTCTGAGATCTCCGTCCATCCGAGACCAGATACTGAGTGAGTAAGTGTACACTGTACAGTGGATTACTCATACTGTACACTATACAGTACAGTGTACTGTACAGGTCAGTGAGTATTGAGTTAACGTCCCTTTTTCTTTCCTTTTTAGATAGAAATTCACCAATCCTTCACTGTACTGTACTGTATTTTGTTTTCAGAATCGTGTTCATCAATGAAAAAAATTCAAGTGTATTCACTGTACTCTACTGTATTTTATTTTCAGAATCGTGCTCATCCATGAAACAGTCTCAAACAGACTTGAAGAAGTCATAGTCCTATCAAAATAGGATATTTATAGCCCCTCTCTTCCTTGTTAGTGCAGCAGTCCATCATGCATGCCTAATGAAAACACTAGCACACATCCGCAGACGCCATAAAATCCATCACCAAAAAATGAACTAATCTACCATAGACTAACGTGAACGTGAATGTACCTTAAGGTTAATAATGGACGCATACAATCGTATTAAATGGTCAATCCATGACACACAGTATTTCGCATGGAAAGTAATAAGATTGATTTACCCCTGTCAGATTAGTGGACTAGTATTAAATTGAGCTAATAATCATGGAACCAACAATTCTGAACAGTAAGCGACACCATCGAAGGGGGGAAATGACTTGAATCACAAAATAAATTTTCAATTTATTACCAAAGTAATCGTAAACACAAGATCTTATCATTAGTTATGCATCCTGGAAGCGGCACGGCACATGCTTATGGCGCGCCATCGACTAGTGTTAAGTAAAGTTAGATTCTCCATTTTATGCATCTTGTAGAGCTGGTAATAATTGATATCAGTGTTATTAGAAATGGACAATAAATAATGTGCATTTGATTCGATTGTAGCTTATCCCTTGTTGAACTAAGACAGTCTCTACAAGTGACAGCTCTAGCAAAAACTTACACATAGCACATCCAATCCTGAACGAATCTGAACGGCAATCAAAAATAAACATGAAAGAATCATCAATACAGTTACTGCTTAGGGAGGTGAAGAAGACTCCGCTTATGGGTTAAATACCTGTTGTGCTAGTTGAAAATGCTACAACCTCGTGGATTATCACTTCTGCGTGAATGTCTAGAGTCAATTTAGATAAGGTATTATAATTGACATGGACTTTGGAACATAAATATTATAGTAGGATAAGGCCCGCTGTGCCAGGATAGATATTTGTGACACAGAGGTAAATAACCTAGCTATAGAAGTAGATTCGAGAATGGCTAGATCGATTGAGACAGACCTACAAGCATAAAGGAAAATAAGACAGAATAGAAACCCATTGCAAGTCGGACAAGATAGTAGCAACGAAATAATTTTAACCCAATCCATTGAACGTGGAGAAATAAATTCCATTCACTAAATTATCCAAAGATAATCTAGATTATGGCTAAGTTTGAATTTGACCAGTCAAGTAAGATCATGCTTCGTTTCAGTAGTCCAGTTTTAGTCAGATTCAATCAGAAGGGGAAAAATGGAAGGAGTTTGATATATTGCCCTCTTTTGAGTAATCTGTATAAAATGGGCTACTATTTTACAGTATACACTAATAAGGTATGATTTCAGTCAGTATACCTTCCGAAGTCTTTTGAACTATCATTTTCGGCATTATTTTAACAGAAGCTTATTAATATCTTATAACGGACTAATTATTAAAAATTTTTAAAGCAAGAAATTCGCTTTTTATTAATAATTTTTTCAAATATTAGAAGCGTGAATTAGTCCATTCAGTATTATTATTGATCACTTATCATTTCAGTTTGAAAATAAATTCTACCCTGATATTCTAAAACTAGTGACTGTTGAACGTAATGGAGCTCTTGACAAGATCGTTATATTTCCGTGGCTATGCAGCTGTCAATAGGGTAAATGTGAGCACTTCTGATACATTGATTTTCATTTTTGAATAGGTAATGATTGAAATAGATATAGCTGCAGCTTACTTAAATTTGTAGAGCTTGTCAACAGTACTACAAAAATCGTTCCAATTGCATGAATGATAAATGTATAAAAGTTACAATGTTTTGCTTACATTCTGCTTTGATAATGAGTTATTGTACATCCGTGATTTATTGATTAACTATTACTTTCTATAGTTCGAAGTATTATTTAAGAATACTCCACTAAAGTTTTATTCAACATTTCACTATTCAATGATATATCTGGTATTGCATTACATTACATAAGAACTCCTCCGTTATTATTGAATTAGAAGTTAACATTTAATCTTCTTATTTAACCTACTTTACGAAATCGTTTCAATAGTATACTATTGGACTAATTATATTTGTTGATAATAAATTGCCAATAATAAGTACATCAAACTAGTAGAATCATCATTACAATTTTATCGGACTAACAAACGGCTATAAATATTTCACGATGCAGATTCGGTACGAGTCTGATAAGTAGCACATCTTTATAATATAAACATTAATTAGACAGTTGCTATCGTAGAAAACTATTAAAGACTGCAGTCAAATTAGTTATCAAAGATACAGATATTAGGTCATAAATATTCATAATACCTTTTTACTCAATGTTGTATGATGTCAATTTTTCGAATAAGCATTGATTACTATTATAATTTACAAACGTTAAAGGTTTAATTTCTTTCCAAGCCTTTGACAGTATGACAGTAAATAATTTGCCATTGATTCAAATCTAGGCGTCTCACACGACGACTATAGTTGTTTATTTCAAGAAAAGATTTTATTTGATTAAATTTCATAAGTTATAGTAAGAAGAATAAACTGCTAGTTTTTCATTGAACCTTGGCAGCTGATGACGTTATGGACTACTTTAATACAGTTAAACCTTCGTTAACGCAATTACCATTATTTTTAATCCATAAACTAACAGTCACATACCTCCTCTTACTAGCTGCCGGTTAAATGTATTAAATTTATTAATTCGTGATTCTAGCACCTAGCCAGCATAATTTATTTTACATTTAATAAATAAATATATTATTATGGTAATAGTTAACATACAGACCCAACCGGCTCTATCTCAGCTCGATAATTTATTTATTTGGGAATAATATCAGTCTTTTATACGGGTATACCTTTTTAAGATGGCTTTCCCACCTTCCATTAGTGACAGGATTCCATATAGCCCTATTTTTTTTATCAATTAATTTACAATAGTTGATTCAGGACTACTGTATTACCAACGTAAAGGATAACGGTAGTTGGAAGACATCGTTATATAATGTGTTTGAGACAGTAAAAAGTTTTTAGATTAGTAGCTATAGTTGCAAGAAGTGAGCTAATTCGTCGTTAATTTTAGCCTTTCACTAGTCATAATATTATATTAATGTACTTATTTAATCATTGTAGTAGTTCAACAAAACTGTAGGATGGACTATTAATTTTTTGGACCGATTAAAGAAAATGAAAAAAATTAGAAGGAGCAGATATAACCTTTACCACTTGGCATCGAAGTGTAATTAATTTGCCAAAGTTTTATTAAAATGCACTAGAAAGAGTAGATAATTAATGCCAATATTATGTAGAAAGATCCAGTTTCATATGTATGCGTTTGCTACATTGCGATGCTTGATATTTTTAATTTTATAGTTGTCGATCGCATCTCTAAGTCGGATAGTGGCTTGATTTAAAATTTGAAATTTGCCTTCAGTCCAAGGGGACTAATTTGCTTTCTTATGAGATGCATCGTTTTTATTACGTTATATTCTATAGTAATTTCAAATATATAATTGTCAAATTGGTTTTTGACAGTAAACAAACTTTCATCTGCGAAATCAGTAAGTAGCAAGTAGCTGTACAATTTGCAATAGCAAAAAAATCAGACAATTTAATGGGCGCATTCATAGGCGAATTCAATTTAATTAGGAATGGTCTATTCAACTCTTACATTGTTCATATTATAAACGAATTAAAATCCTAGCTTAAAAATTTTATTGGTTTGATTTATTTACGAAAAGAATTTAAAATCATTCATTCATTCATTATCGATTTGACAAGTGGTAGCCATCGTTTCTTATTGACCATCATACATTAGTTGTTTCACAGTTCTACCGGAAGTTCTAGTATCTTATTATGAGCGTAGAGTGCTAGTTTAATTCAATATTGGATCAGTCATCAGAATTAACGTTTGATAGGCTTGTTTCTTCATGATTTAACTTATACTATTTTCTTGGACTTAAAAGATCTTTCCAACTATTTCTTCGTCAAGATTACTGGCAACTACTAGTACAATAGTTGTTAATGATAGTCCCCTGCAAGTTTTACCATCTATAGATCTTCCTGAACTAATACAACGCAAAGCTATCGATCATATGGTAGGTTTCCCTTTATTAAAGACAACATAATTATGATAAAAGCCTTAGTTAGTATGCTACAAAGTATAATAGATTCAATGGCTACAGAAACTTTCATAATTTCTTTGAAACAGCAAAAGAGTGACGAACCTTTTAATATTGTTAACATCGGTGATATAGTCTACAAGATTAAAACGGTAAGCAGATAATAGTAAAACATAGGATATGCCAGGCGAAATAAAGATAGCCAAATCTCACATTTTCGATGCGAGACAAAATTTAACATATCTTTGTTAAAATCATAATGTGTAACTGTAAAGACTCCTTAAATAATACCTCTTTAAATATGATGCAATATCCTGTACTAAAATTCAAACTAGCAATCACTTTAAAGATTGTTACAATAGTCGCATGTTACCATTTAGAGTTAATGCTAAGCACTGTGTTTAAGGTTCCTACTATTCTCAACCGGCATAGAAGCTAATAAATAGTACAAGTTGTCAATATTAATGTATAGCTAGCTATCTACTGACCTCCATTTCCTTTATTACTTGAAAAACGGGTCTTTTATACTTAGGCTCTCCACAATTGCAATATATAGTATGTCTAAGAATTATTAGGTTGAATAGTATCGGATTAGTGATGAGGTAGAATTAAGAAGTGCAACGAAGCCCCAAAATTACTTAACCCTGATTTTAGTAAAAACGTAGATCTTAATACTGATCTATTATTTAAGTCACAAAACTTAATCAATAAATAGTTTAGTTTAAGGTGCATACGTATTCCAACAATTACAGTATATGAGAAGTAAAGGAATGTTCATGAGCGAGAACTTCCGATGGTAGACAGAAATTCAAGATTTAGTTACGCGATCTAATTGTATTGTCACTAAACAGTATGAACCGCAGAATTTTGATGATAAAGATAACATGATAGAAGATAAAAAATTTATTAGTATTTCTTGAAAATAATAATATAAAGTTACTTCTTACGCCGATATAAATATAAATTTATTGTTCTGGGCCATAAATTACGCAGTGGTTTTCCCTTCTGCCTCGTGTACATTCTTATTTCGGTATGTTCATAGTTTAAAATTGAATCTATTTTGATAAAATTTGCTTTTAAAACTAGTATGCAAATTATACATACCTCTAAAAGAGCATGTCGAATATGCTAATTTTATAACCAGCCCTAAAGTGTAACGTGGATAGAGGACTTTTAGCCACATTACTGGCTTTTGGATTTGGGTTTGAAGGTGTTAGTAAGGTAGGCATAAATTAAAATTTTGAATGATTTCAGTGTGGATAGTTGAATAAAATTGTTAATTGTAATGTGTTATAACAATCATTATAACAATTTCAAGAACGGATTAATTAAATATATCATCTTATTAAGGATGAAATTGATACAGTTTTGAAAATGGGGGCGGCACCTGAAAAAATTATTTTTGCGAATCCGTGCAAGCCAATTTCTCATATAAAGTATGTTTTAATAAAATATCATCTTGCAAAGACTTGATCAGTAAGCAGGACAAAGTGGACAGATGTCCAATATGTATGTACGCTGCACTCGGTACCTACCATTTTATTTGCTGGATTACTAATTCTTGTGCTTGTTAATAGCAAATCCTGTGACTTTTCATAAATGTGAGTTTATGAAAGGCGAATGCGGCTGGAAACAATTACGAGCTGTTGACTTTACCGACTGGGAACGTGGTAAGTATATCAGTTTTATTACTCTACAATTTTTAATTTGCAGCTATGTCGTTGCCAAAATTTTAATCGAAAATTTTGTCCAATAAATCAAATTAAATACTCTAATCAGGATTGCAAGAATAGCGCAAATTCCAGTTTACTATTGGGAATTTAGCTATAACTTCAATATCATAACCTGATTTCTTGTTCAATGCATATTTTCGTCTACTTTTAAAAGATGCTAAAATAGGAATGGTTCTCAATTCCAAATATGAGAACATTAATGGCCAATATGCGAATATGATTAGTCCCCCGATGGTGAAATCTCATGAAGCAAAATCAATTAGGGTATTCAGACATTAATGTAACGGACATTTCCTCTTAGTTGTTACCGAAATTCGAAATTGAATTACATAAAGCTGGGTAGACAATTACCAGAAAACTTTAATCCATTCTATTTAGCGATCACCAGCATTAGAGATAGATATTTCGTACGATGTAATCAAATAATGTGATAGTCAATAACAAATCGATAGACGAAGTAACATAAGCTTCATGCTTTCCATCATCAGGTGCAAATCTCATTTGGATACAATGGTTCATACACCGGAAATTTATACGTTATGGTCATGTATCCGAAGTACAGTGATAAATTAAAAGTAATCGATACAATCAACCCACAGTCGGCTTTACTTGGACCACTTACTATTACACGTTATCAAATATTCTTTTCTCCTCTATATACTGATTATCAGGTATATCTTAATATTTTATTTTGGATATTTATGATATTGCAATATGATGTCAAAATTGCTTGATAGTAATTATTTACATGGTTATACCTTGCGAGTAAGCACCTTAAATTCTAATTGTTTCAATCAAAGTATAATGACTAAAATCACAATCAGTTATGCAATATATTAATGTAATGAAATGAAATATGTAGAGATCAAGCTACAAAACTTTAACAAACTTTCATTCTACTTTCGTAGCACTCCGGTCGACTTAACGCTAATACTTTGACACCAAATAAAATTTGGAGAAATAACCGAACAACAATTTATTTCAAAACAAAAATGGAGAGAAGTATAAACCGAACAACCGCACAAATACTTAGCTTTAAGTATTATTAAAATAAATGACAGACTTAAAAACTGTCAACGACCAAACAACCTTTCAAAAACAAGAACGTTTTAACTTACGACAATTCGACCCCGAAGGCCTTTTAAATTCAACAAGTTCTTCAAATAAAATCTTCTCCTACTCTCTCTCTAAATTTTCTAATTGCACTATCATTTATAGGCTCCGTAGAGCCGTCAGAGGTATTAAAACTAAACATTTGCTAACCAATCGCTCTAAGATCCGTT